GTAGATGAATAGACAGTGATTGATTCGTTACTATAAAAATGAATGGAAATATTATAACAAAGGCAAGGTCAACTCACAAAGGAGTTAACTAACAATGTCAATTATTACGTTTATGTATGGCAAATGTGAAAATTAGCGTACCGCTAAGTGTTTACATACCTACCAACCTATCGCGAAAAATGTTTTGTTACAATGACAGACTGAATTAAACACAGTGAATTAGTTAACCTACATAATACATAGTATACGCCCGTTGTATCTATAGCATAGAGGATGCTTTGAGATTTATTTTGTAGGTATCTGTGGCTAACTGTCATTTGTTCCATCATCTTGGGAACAAACCAAGATAAAGTCAGACTCAGTCGGCCTTTAAGTGCCCACTACCGAGCAAAGACCTCTTCTTAAACGAAGGATTGAGCATTAATCACCACGCTTGCTCAAGGCGGATTAGAGATTTCAAACTCTAATTAGAAATTATAAGACCAGGTTATTAATTTTCCCCAGCTTACGGCGCGTAGCTTTCCGCGCGCGCCTCAAGGAGCCAACTGACCACCACAGACGGGGCCCTATAGGCCTGATGTTCAGCCGGGGTTGCGGGCTAAGCGCAATGTGTCACCGCGGCCTCGGGCCAGAGCAGGAGAAGGAACGGGGCGCTTTTAGTCAGTAAGAGTCTGACACTGTCTCTCGCCTTACCCTGGACGGGAGAAGTCATTTGATGATTTTCCCCTGGCAAAAAAAGGGTTATTAATTTTTGGTACTTTCCAAGTTTCGAACCAACAGTCTCTTGCATGAGGAGCGGGGAATCTTAACAACCAAGCCACCACGACATTAAGTACTTACCATAGTTTTTCTAAAGTAACTTTACTGTAAAAATACGAGATCTAGTTCATAAGTACCTAATCAAATTTGGTTTAATATAAGTATAATAGGTACCTATTGTAGAAATGTCAGTTGAGGTCATGAGCATGCCACTTACCTAAATACCTACTTAGGTGTATAACGGTATGTTGCAGTAAGTAATGCGTAGTCAAATACAGTTAAAATGCTGCGTAGCTAATTAAATTACTCATAGGTAAGTACTTCTAAAAATAAAGACTGTCTAATCACAAATGCTCCAATTTCACCACTTAGAAACTATGTAAGTACCTACTCCTGTAGTTTGTGCTGACCTGTGGTGCTGACAATTCCAAAATCAGATTAAGAAAACAAAACTTCACCAAGCTTTACATTCTGGGTATCTCTTTCCAAGTCCACATTTAGGAGAATCCGATTTATACCTACAGCCACAAACAGGTTTCCTTGTAAAAAAGTTCTTTGGCTGAAAGTTGATAACTTTGCGTGGATGCTTGTTTTGGGATGCATCTCATAAAACACACTTGTCATATTTGATGAACAACATTGATAGGTTTAGGTCTTCCAGTTCTAGTCTCGGAATTCAATTAACCGATGGAGGCGAGAACTGGAAAAGGTACTAAGAATGGGTCCAACACCGGGTGTTAGACTGTAATTGAACCCATACTTTGATCACAATAGACTAAAAAAATAATAATAGGTAACAAGACCTTTTACACCAATAAGGTTAAAAGCTTAGGTAGGTACGCGTACACCTTATCAGCATTGTTGGCGTCAGTGCATAGGTACCTACATCGCATACGTTTTTATCACAAAAATATTAAAAGCATTTAGGAGTAAATGTCTATGTAAATATTTTGTATAATGCATACCTATATTGATTGCTAAGCGTATTTTAAACCTTGTAATAAGCTTTTTTCCAAAGCTTATAATAGATTAAAAACGTTCCTTTAAATAATTTTACTATATCTAACCAGTCCAATTGCCATTCACAGGCCTATCTGTCTTTGCCTTAGTTTCCATCAGTTTTTCAATAAGCCATAAAACGGCAGTTTTACGCGTCAACATTGTTTAATATGAAAAGCTAATTGAAGCCGGTCGGGAGGGAGGTCCGTCTCTTTTCATGCCCGGACAATGTAAAATATAATATAATGTGTAAGATCTGTGCAAGTTCATTCTGTAGTGCTTCTTTGAAGAAAGAACCACACCAGTTTAAGTGGACCCGTTCAGCAGGCAGCCACGCCGGTGTCAGTTTGCAACCAATGTAACTATATTTCAGATTTATTTTCAAATTTCAGTCATCATCCTCACCACCTCTTTTGTATTTCAAATGCCTTGTCACACAATACATGTAGGTATCGTAAGATAAAGATTAATGAATGTCTAAGCCGGATGTAGTTCATTGTGCTGATTCATCCTGTTCATCCTGGTCCATACGAGTTGAAATCGTTTACAAAATCATGGCTGATTTTATCATAATACACAAATGTAGATTGATAATGCTATTCTCTGTCTACGTACCTAAGTGCACTTCACACCAATTTTCTGTGAGGCAGTAGGTAAGCCCGCCCATTTGCACCGAAACATAGCTCTCCCACACGTAAAATACATATTATAATACATTCCATCTATATTTCTTCTCACCAAAGAATAAAACGCTAGGTGGACAAATTCTCCATCCTCCAATCAATTTCGGTTCTAAGTACTTTTTATTTTGGCAGAGCTCTTAAAAGCAATAAAACAGCTGTCTGGTCAGCAAGAAAACAAGAAGTTGTTCCCTAAAATTAACGTGAATTACGAATATCTAGATTTTCTTACTTCATTTTAAAGATAATAAAAAAATACTCTACACAAGCGATTTCATGGAGCTCCGTAACTGTAACCGAAATTAAACCATATCCGAATCCGTTTCACAAGTTTCGAATAAGAACAGAATCCATTATAGACAGGTTTTTGTTTCACTGCTCGCACGCCATGTAAATGTTACAGTTTGTTTGATATTTCTGGTAATAAAATACGCTTTGTCTTTACTTATTTTAACTAAAAAAAATTAAATATTATAATATAGATATCGGCAACCGCATCCGAAGCCGACATAATTTATTTCCTATATCCAAATCCGTATCTAGATCCGAAATTTTATATCTACAACATCCCATCTCTACACTGATGGCCTCTGGATAAGGACAAACTGGCAGATCCACATTTGACCAGTTAATCAGTTTAAAGCAAAAAAAACATCCGAACGTAATCAACGCAGCTTGAACTCGTGGCTTTTTATCAAATAAGACAAGTAACAGAATAAAAACTCTTTCAAGTTTCTCATAGATACATAATGTAAATTGTATACGTGGAAACCCTTTTGTAATCTTATTCTTAATTACCTTCCGGTTTTTATTGTTAGTTGGTTTCCTGTGACGTATTACGTTTCTTTTACAACAAACAAAGGGGAGGATATCGAGTCTGTCTGACATCCTACTTGAGGAACTTTGACCGTATTGCTATAATGGTATCATGTTATACCACCAAGCCAGGGGCCGATGGGTTATGTAATGCGATGCACTTTAAAATATCTACATACTGTCTGTATGTCTATAACCTATCTACCTACCAAATTACGTTAGGTAGATAAAATTATCCGCAAACAAACAAAAAAGTTTTTTATTGAATAGGTCGGCAAACGAGCAGAGCGGATTACCTGATGGTAAGTACCTAATCAGCGCCGCCCATGGATACCCGCAACAGAGGAGTAGGTAACGAGTGCGTTGCCGACCTTTTAGGGATTAGGGTTTTGGAGATTTCGAGTTTGGGAGGGATCGGGGGAGGGGAAGGATTGGGCCTCCGGTAACCTCACTCATGCGGCGAAACACAACGCTGTGGTTGTTTCACGTCGGTATTCTGTGAGGCCGTGGTATCACTCCGGTCGAGCCGACCCATTCGTGCCGAAGCTTGGCTCTCCCACACTTATGGTGGAATTGAGAGAAATCTCCCCATATTTTATGAAGTCGCTTAAATAGAATCTTTAGACGTACGGAACTGTAGCAAAATTCCTTCTACTCCAATTTTTTTGGCTAATACCAGTAGGTAACTTACTTGACCTATAGACGACGCAACTGATAAAATTATTGTAATGTCAGTAACCCCGCCTAGTTAAGCAGATTTTACGTCGATACATAGCTATATATATATATATACATATATACATACTACCACATGTACGTGACTATAGGTACCTATACTCTAATCGCTTGAGAGCAAGGTCGCCTTATCGAATTTTAACGCTGATAACTCGATCTTTGCCATGACTATTAATATTTTATCATTTTTCGCAGAATTATGTCATTCATAATTTTCCCACTGTAGAAGAAAGTCGCTGTTTGGAGTCCAAATGGTAGGTACCTACCTTATCGAAATCAGGAATTCGATTGCAGATTGAAGAACATATTCAGTTTTACGTTTCTATCAATTTTAATGATCATTGAGACTTTTCTCTTTAGGAACTTAAATAATAAAAAAGGAATTATTTGATTTTTTGTATTGAATAGGCTCCAAAACTACGATTTGATAATTCTTTCAATATTCGGAAACTATGCTATCCCCGGTGATCATTCGCACTTCGCACGGCGAAACCGCAGAGCTCAGCTAGCTATGAAATATATTTAATCAATTTCCGAGTCAATCGCAGGTACCTATCTAGACAGTTAGATAGACATTTATTTAATAAGTTTTATTGTATTTATTTTTGTGATTGATAATGTACCGATGTTTTTTGGTTGATAGTGTACTAATGTATCCAGTGGAGTTAGTATTTATGTACATAAAATGTAAACCACCATTATCTTAATCACTACCCTACCACTCTTTAAGAGAGGAGTCTTCTCACGCGGAAAAGGTTTAAGCAATAATTACCACGGTTTGATTCGGTTGGCGATGTAGTTTTAAACTCGTAATTGAATTCACGTTGCGAAGCCGCGAACTATGTCGGCTGGCTATTTCACTCTCTGTTCATGAAGTTTACAATGTTTATGTCTATCCAGTAATTAAAACGATTGATTATACTTAGAACCTATTTAATAAACATTTCAGACTGTATAACATAGTATAGAATATACAAAGGAATCTTTTTAATAGTTAGTTAGGAATTATATGAGCACCGGGGTTTATAGACGGATGCACGCGGGGAATATCTTAAGTATCTGATGGCATTCAAGGATATTCTTCATCATCAGCGTCATAGTGAACACCCAATTGGCCTCGAACAGTGTCCATGAGTTTGGCTAAAACAAGACTTTCCTTGTGCGACATTCGGGGTGACTCGATCAGTCCTACAAAAAAGGTTATTAATTAGCTCTCAAACATGATTAATATTATATTATAATAATATTATATTATAGATTTAATATTATAAATGTGATAGTTAAACTCCTTGTAGTGCCAGCTTCTGTACAGATAGTGTAGAAAGTTTTTATAAAAAATAAAAATAAATAAGACCGGTTTAATTGAAATTTGGCGTGTAGATAAGTTAACGTACCCGAATTAACAAATAGGATACTTTTTATCAATATACCACGCGGGCAAAGCCGCGAGCGGAAGCTATATAGTGTTGAATATTTAAATACTAGTTGAATATTTCAACTGGCTACAAAATATCATATTATTATAAGTATTTAGATTTTTTGGCTACATAAATATGGACTAACTGAAACATACCAGCTCGAATGCATCTAGCGACTTCAAGGGCCTGGTAGACAAGACCTGCGCTGTTTCCATACACGTACGGCAACTTGGACTTGTGCAACGGGTAGGTTTTCAATGAACCATCAACGTGCGTTACTTTGTCAGGGAAGTGGAAGGGATCCTCGATCTGTGAAAGGCAATTGCATAACAGTTGGGTTCTTTAAAACTATGTACGTAGTGCATATGTATAGGTGCATCGTGTATGTACCTATAGACCCAACAAACTTGAAGACCTTGACTATATTATTATTAATCTTGGCCTAATTTGCTATCACTTACCGTAATATGCCCCTTCGTTCCATAAATCGTAGCAGTGTTCTTCAGAACCAAACCAGACTGAGTATTGAGCACAGATCTCCTGCCGTTTCCATAGTCCAAAATGATGGTCTCACTTTCATCTACCCCCGAATCATTGAGAGTACCGATAGCTGTCACATTCTTTGGTTCTTCTTTAAAAACATATTGAGATAGCTGCAATAAATAGATGCCGATGTCAAGCACAGCACTGCCGCCGTATTCCTTTTTCCTGAAAATAAATATTGCTTGCGAAATCTTCTTAAAGTACCAATAATAACTTATAACTTTGAATTGACGGTTCACTTACAAAACTCTATCGCTCTCGCAGAAAATTCCGAAATTAGCTTCGATAAAACGAATTTCTCCGAGAGCACCAGCCTCAATCTGTTTCTCAATGTCAATGTAAGCCGGAGAGAAACGAGTCCAAACAGCTTCCATAATGAACAGTTTCTTCTTGCGCGCCAGGTTTATGACGCTCTGAGTTTGTTTCGCGTTCAAACAGAAAGGTTTCTCACAAAGAACGTGTTTTCCATTTTCAAGGAACATCTTGCAGAGTCCATAGTGGTCATTGTTCAAAGCCCCGATGTAGACAACATCTAGAATATTAATTAAAATTGATCGTTTAATCACTTGATTACAACGAATTGGGACAAGTTTATCAAGTTTTGTATTCGCTTGTCATGGCGTAAACTCCAGATAAAAAACACGTTGATAAATGACTAGTGTTTATTTAATATGAAATCGCCAGTCACTTCCTCACCTATATCGCTGCTGTTAGCTAATGCCTGGTATGAATCAAACACTTTCTCAATACTGTGAAGTTTCGCGAACGCCTCAGCCCTGTCCTTGTTCCTGGCTGCCACCGCGACTATTTTCTGATCGCCCTTCTCAGGGTACGAGTTAAACGCATTGACAAAGTCATTGCTGATCTTGCCAGCTGTTACAATTCCCCAGCGTAGAGTCATCTGTAATTATTACGATAAGTAATTTGTTTTCGATGTCTTTCTCACATTGGAAATCACATGAAACTAGCTAATTTTAATCAAAACAACTTAACACATTCGGTGCCCCCGACGCGTATGTGCGTGCGAGGAAACGCACATACGCGTCGGGGGCACTGAATGTGTTAATGGAAATTGTTGTTTCGAAGCAATATGAAGACTATTTATTTTTGTCAGTCTATTTTTTATCTATACTTATAAAACATAATAAACATGAAAACTCGTTAATCGGATAGCTTCGTTTTAATGTTTGAATAAGTTAGGTCAGACCCACGTTTGCCTAGGTGCTAAGAGGAAATTAAAATCTTAAAATCCCACAACCCCACCAAGCGATGCGCGAACGCAATTCGTTATTGCGATTTTAATGGGTTTTTGTTATTAAGCATGTTAAATACGAGACAAAATATCTGACAAACTGCACCAGATAATCATTTTAATTATTTCCCTACAGAGTGACTTTAGTATGTCTTTAGAAAGTTAATGAAAAGCTAGCCCAAAAAATAATTCACAATATAAGGCCAAATTGAAAAATATTAAGTTGGTTAAATTGACCGAGGTAAATTTGAGAGTGCCTTGTCGGGCACCTGTCTGGGCGGCCGGATTTAGCGGACAGCCAGTTCGACTTCCGCAGAGGGCACTCCACGGTGGACGTCATCATGCGCGTGAGAGACCTCACGACGGGGACTGCGTTGGCCAGGGGGCGAGTCGTCGTGGCGGTGTCTCTGGACATCGCCAATCGCTGAGCACCGCCGTGTCCTCAGGGAAGTGATTGGCCTTAGTTGACGCTTGGGTGCGGAGCGAGAGGAACTGTAATGCCGTTTCCTCTTTCTGAGAAGCAGTGATGCTCGCATAAAGGCGGAGCGCGTGTGGGAGGGAACTATATCATCCTCACGTCTCAACCGCCGCAGCAGGCGACACACGGGGGGTCCAAGATCGAGTTACATTCTCCGACCACCGTAAACGCGAGTTAGAGTTGATCTCCGCCCAACGAGAACCAGACTCGAGTGTGCAGCGCGTAGCGTCCCTTAAAGAGCCATTAGCCTGCCACCCATGGGTTTTTTTACAGACACATTTTTTTATGTGATAGGTCGTTAAACGAGCTCACTCAGCGCCACCTATGGACACCCGCAACAACAGAGGAGTTATGAATGCGTTGCCGACCTTTTGGGGATAAGCGATTTGGGAGATTTAGTTTTTAGGGAAGGATTTCGAGAGGGGAAGGATTTCGAGAGGGGAAGGATTGGGCCTCCGGTAACCTCACTCACACGGCGAAACATAACTCTGTACCTAGTTGTTTCACGCCGGGTTTCTGTGAGGCCGTGGTATCGCTCCGGTCGAGCCGACCCATTCGTGCCGAAGCATGGCTCTCCAACTTCGGCACGAATGGGTCGCGAGACAAACGCTTTATGTTACCGCGGGCTCACCCTGAAGTAGGAAAAAAACGGGGCGTTTTTCCCTTTCGCCATACCATGGGCGAGAGAAGTCACTTGCTGATTTGACAAAAACGGCGTATGCGTGCACCTCAGAGACATTATGTTCAGGCTTTTCCGTATTGACATAATTCAATTTAATAATAAATATTAAGGTACAACTTGATATTTATAATAGCTTACAAAATATTCTAAAAAGTTTTCGATAGGTACCAACATCTTATTCCAAACCGGTTCAACCTTCCTAGCAATGAGTATAAATCGCCACAAAAAAGCCACCAATTTTTTTTTTCGCAATCGCGAAAGACACAACACTACAAAATAAGTACAGCGAGAATGTCAAAGTTTAAAATCAGTTACATTCAGTACCTATCTGTATATATGTAAATGTAGTCATACTTGTGTATAATTAATTTAATAAAATTAATAAGTAACTCACCTTTCCCGTGTAGAGTCACGCAAACGATTGATAAACTGAAAAAGCAATTCAGAAGTTGAGTGATTATCGTTTGATAATTTCGAATACAAAAATATTTTTGTGGTTATCTACAACAGGGTGATAAGAGGTCGCACTCGCAATATCAACTCTCGAGGCAGAAGTTAACAAAATACTTAAATTGATTGTATATACCTACCTAATTAGCGCCAAACTTGAAATCATTTTAATTTCTGTTTATTATTATAAGTATGTATTATATTCATTAAATAAGGTAAAACGCGATAATAACAATGAACCGGCTACTACGATGCGCAGTCAGCAAATTTTAATCTAATCAGCCTTTTGTTACACAAATGGCTCCGTTTATCATTAAGTTTTGTGCGATAGGTAACCGTCTGCGATGCGCAATGTGTTGCGGATTACAATTGCCGTTCGGAACATTTTTGCAGAGACTAATAACCATATTATTTATTTTTGACCGACAAAACACCCTCTTTGGGCGATTAAAACCACCCGTTCCTTTTCCTGCTTCGAGTCGGGCCGCGGTAGATCATTTCACAGCCACAACCATGGCCAGCTTTGTTTAGTTCAAGATATGGCTGCCATATCTTGAACTGTCTCTTGTCTCTATTAAAATTTTAAAAATAATATCTCTATACTTTTCCGTTGACGGGATTACAGGATTCCGGACCTTTGGAAGGCGTACGAGGGGCTGAAACCAACTCGCAGAGGCCCGTTGAACAACTTTAAGTGAAATGGGACATCAGCCGGCAATTATCCCTGTATGCACAAAGAAAGAAAGTGCACCCAAGGTAATCCCCGGTTGCTGCAGGACTGTTGCGAAATGTTTGGGTGTGGGTTGCTATGGACTGGTGGATATGATATGGCATACACATAAGTACTTATAGCTCTAAATTAAAAATCTATCTTGGACCAAACAAATATTTAAGTAATCACAAGAACCAAGGTTCGGTTAGTTTTCAGTGATTCGTGATTTTCACTTTCATTTTCTAGCTAAGTCCGATTGTAAAACAACGGTACGGTGTCAGAATGTAATAATTCAATTATGTATATGTATATAGGTAGGTAGTTCGGGTTCATTAGGATAAGAATTGGGATGCGTATGTGGATCTGCGAACGCACACTGCAAATGCCTGTCACCAACGCACTGAAAGCCGCTTACCGTGCAATTTGAAACTGGTTTATAGGCACTTCGCTCAAAATTTTGACTGGAAAGACCTATTTTTTTCACTAGGTACCATTACGGCTATCCCTAAGAAGATGTAAATAATCGTAAATTCTTCTCTTTTCCTTATTACATGCTTTTACAATGTCACAAAAACGTACAATGTTGTCACTTATCATACAAACATAGTTAATTACTGTTACATAAATTTCATTCACATTGGCATTCGACGATTTATGGTTATGTATGGCCCACAGGCCCACATACAGCCACATTGCATATGATAAAACGGTGATAACGTGTGCACTTTTTGAATTCTTTGGATCTTAACTCTATAATTTGTATTCAATAGGAATAGTGTGCATATGTTTATCTTTTCTTTCTCTAACTCTTACAGGGTGTTGATGGAAAACTTGTTTCTTATTTCCATCATCTTCATTCTTATTTCAGTCATAAAGTGACTTATATCGCCCAGGCTGTTTCTGGCTAAATACCTGTTCCCAGGTTCTTCTCCTGTTCCAGGCCGAAGCGCAGTATTGCGCTTGGTGGTCTATTGGCCCTAATAGGCGCGCGCGATACGCTACGTTCCGAAGTTCCGAACGCTCGGGTCTGGTTTAGGTCAGGCGGTGAGAAACCCTTACTCGCCGCCGATCACTTCCCTGAGATCATGGAGATGCTCAGCTCAAGTAGGGAACCGCCACATTAAGCTCCAAACGCCGACGACTCCGACTACTACACGACGTTGCTGAAGTCCAGGCACGCAGAAGTCAAACTAAAGCGCGCTTTAGATGCACTTCCGAAATGGCTACAGAAGTAGAGGCTGGTTGTGAACGTGGCAAAGACCCAAGCACTCGCTCGTAGTTCACAAAAATATTGTCCGGGCTCTAAACCTCGCAGGTACCAATGTGACTTTCTGACTTACATGTATTGTCATCATTTAGAAACCAGTGAGTGACAAATGTTGAAGGAAATTATCATGAGGAAACCTGGACTTATGATTTCTAATTATAAGTTTTAAATAGCCAATCTGCCTTTAGCAAGTATGGTGATAAATGCTCAAACCTTCTCTGTGTGAGAAGAAGGCTTTGGTAAGCAGCGGGCACTTATAGGCTGATGATGTAAAACAACTACACATAAAGCAGCAGTCATATTTGTAAGGCTGTTTTGGCACTCCATGTTGGTAATGTACATATAATATAATTCTATGAGTAGAAATATTCGTATTATTTTTAGAAGTACAAACAATAAGTTTATTCATATGAATTACTACTGCAATTTATGTTTAACAGTACCTAGTCTTTTTGTTTAACTGAGAATTTATCGAACTGTTTATGTAAGGTAAATCTTTACAAACAAATAATCAGTCTGTAGCTATGTGCATTATGTACCTACTGAATTACTGATAATACTACAAAATAAGACAACAATGCTGTCTGTTATAAATTGAAGTCTATACCTATCAAAAATATAAAGCTAAAGAAAAACTTATATATTCTACTTATGATTGGAATTGAATATTTATTTATTTTTGTGTTATTTAGTACATCAACGAACAAAGACTGTAAAATATATGAGGTTTTCCACATATACCCCATAGTTTCTATGCATATACATATATATTGGTTCACAGTGGCCCGCAACAAACAACCAATATAGCTATAGAAGCCTAGCAATGGTTATCCATTGGCAAGAGTAACTTCACATAGAATAAAAACACTATTTAATAGTTTTGCAAAGATAAAGTATCTTATTATTTGCTGTATATGAGCAGAGAAGGTACACAGATGACTTCTTACAATTTGGTAGGTCTTAACACCCCAAGATTTGAATAAAAATTTTAAACAGAAAATTCCAAATACGTTTTAATAAAAATTAAGGCTCGTGTAAGTTGCAATATTGGATAAAAGTGATTAGGTACTTGTTTATAATAACTTTTTTCATGATTAATAAAAAACGTAACAATAGGTACCAATATAAAGTTTTATCGAAGTAAAAAAGGGTATACCTTTGTATGAAAGAAACTTTATCGAATAACAATAAGAATACGTATCTTAAATGCAAGCTAATTTAGATAATAACAATACAAAACTTTCTTGGTGAAAACACTGCCACTATAAATTGAAGTTTCAGTACTTTTACAAAGTTTTAGCTAAAGTCAGTGCAGTGCAGTGTCATAATGTCATTCATTTCATAGGTATATCAACTGTCACATAACAATCGCGGTTCCTTCTTCTGAAAACTTTCTTGATTTACTATGAATAAAAATTGAAGTAGACTAAAAACAATAAAACTTGTTTGATGGTTTTATATTATTACTACTGGATTAATGTACTTTGTGATTATACTACACTATATAATAAAATAATATACGGTACGGTGATTTTGATACCAGGTGAAAAATTCGTTAAATACGTTTTTGACAATAACCGTTATTTTGTCGTTATTCACTGTTATTTAAAACATTACTAATCACTAGGTACCTACCACGTAACTATTTTCAAAGGTCGAAAGTGTCAAATTTAGAAACAATATTAATGTTTCTAACTGGAAGGAGCAGTAGGTAAATTAAAATTGAAAACCTTATCAAATTGTATTTTTATTGTCTGTCATATAATTGCATAAAATAGTACGACAATATCCAAATTAAAAATATTCGAAATAAATATAGGTATTTAAATAAATAAAAAATATGAGGTACACGATTATTATAATAATAGGTATCGTGTTCCTATAGTATCAGAAAATAAAATAAAATTGTGATAACAAACATTCAAAATAGCACTTTCAAAAACTAATCACAATGAGGTAGGGAATAGCAAGTTCAGTAAAATACTGTCACGACAATATTTCCACAAAGTGTAAACAAATGCACACAATTAACCTTTCTATTGATATGTTAAGTTCAAGCAGTAAACCCTATTGTGTGTTTGTCAAATAAGATTTATGCATGAAAGTATGTAAAGATTTAATGATTGAATAACATTATGATAATTCACATGTCGAAGCTTAACAAGACTTAAAACTATAACAAAATTGTTAACCCATAAGTTATGAGATACAAAATATCACTGCGAATATGCTAGTTGTTGAGAATGTCGTATACAAGCAAAAGTAAATAACTAACAAGAAATTTCATTTTCGGACATTTATGAGACGTATTGCAGTACTTATACTTACCTAAAACATAATTTAACACCATCATGTATGTACACAATTAAATATAAATTAACATTCAATTACCTAACGCAGTTCCGCATAAATTATCGTTAAAAAGAAGATATTTGTAATTTTTGTATAGATACTTCACAATAAAACCTGCGTCTCATAGCTGTACCGTCTAACAATAGTAAAATACTAATTTAAATAACAAAATAAACGAATAAGAGATTGTCTGTTTAATTAAAGCATTCTAGTTCATTCAAATGCTACTTTGAACGCACTGTCCAAATCCGCTAGGAGATCTTCCACATCTTCTAAGCCCACTGAAAGCCTTATCAGTGCATGCGTAATACCTAGTTCCTCGCGCTGCTTTTCGGGCACTGATGCATGTGTCATTAGTGAGCTAGAAAACAAATATCGATGAGTTAGACAAATATACCTTTAGTTAAAGAAAAGCTGGAATTTTATTATGAATATATTTATGTAACTTACGGTAATTCCGCAAGACTTTCATATCCTCCCAAACTCTCTGCCAATGTGAATACTTTCAGCGAACTTAAAAACTTTCTTGATTCTTTTAAATCACCACAATGTTTGAAACTGAATACTCCGGAATGACCACTCGTTTGCTTTTTGGTGATATCGTGATGTTTGTGTGATGGCAAGCCTGAAACAATATATACCTACATTAGCGCTTCTATGGATTGTCATGTTATTTATTACACATATTAGGATTAAGATTAACATAAGGCTTAAATTCTCTATACTATAGATAAGGTAATATTGATCAACGTACCTGGGTGCATTACTTCGATAACCTTGGGATGTGATTCTAACCATTTGGCAACCACAAGTGCTGATTCCTTATGACGCTCCATACGCAATGCCAATGTTTTCAAACTTCTATTGACTAAATAACTATCAAAAGGCGATGGAACGATTCCCATAGCTGAAAAGATATTAAAAGAAAACATTATTATAACGCACAAGAACAAAACCGTTGTAGGTGGAATCGTAAGTTCGAACTTTGCTCCCTAATAAGAGACTGACTGTTCAATGAGTATAAGCAATTTACATATTATCAATGAGGCCTCGAATGTGAAACAAGATCTACATGATAAACTATCGCCGTAAATATTTCTTTGTATCTTGTTTTATGTAGTTTTTCGATTACATAACTTATAAACGATTGTAAAGAAAATGTGGTTTTTATTATGAATAAACAATAAGTTAAGTTAAAATTATTAAACAAAATAAAAATTCATCGTGGTGTAAATTAGAAAGACTTCGTTACTGTAATTTCATCACTAGTAAAATGAGTAATGCTAGGGCTTAACCGGTACCTACGTAAACCGCAAGTCATTGTATATACAACTATAATAATAATTGAACTGATAACGTTTCTCTACGTCATTGCCTAATACAACTATGATCGTCATGATTGGTGATATTACCTCATGAATTAGCCAAACAGGGGTTAGGCAAATTATATGAAAAAATAAAAGATATTATGTCATCTTATATTACTTTTTTAGTCACGATTGAATAATATATAATATTATTAGTTGCAGTAGGTATTATTAGTTTGGGGTGTGCAGGTAACGATTTTTCTAAAGCTGCTAAATATCTACTTATAAAACGAAATACATAGGTAACACTCACAATTTTGTAAAAATCGCAATTTATCTGCTAGAACTTCATCGTTGACAACCGCTGCTCCCATAACTACATCGGAATGGCCATTCATATATTTTGTTAAGGAATATAAAACGATATCCACTCCAAAGTCCAATGGCTTTTGTAAATAAGGTGTAAGGAATGTGTTGTCTACAACGACAATAATGTCACCGAGACTCTTTGCTGTTTTCACTGCTGCTGCAATATCTACAACTTTCATGTTCGGGTTTGTTGGCGATTCTAGCCAAAGCATCTAAAATAAAAACATGTAGAGTTAGCACCTACTCATTGACTAAGGATTTAGATAACAGATAATAGCAACCATAAAATGCATAACAACATTAACACAAAATAATAATGCAATAAAATGTTATCGTGTTAAATTGTACCTATTTACTTTGAATTAAAACATTTCTGATAAAGATTGTTGTGGTTAAATCATTACGTGCATAATTATAACTCCAAATGTAATAATATTATGACTTTTCGTCACTTTAATGTTAACACGCGCCATCAGTTTACGATAGTGTTTTCACGTAAAGTTACGAAGTTTGGTTCGCGGCAAGATAAAAGTAATGATATTCTCAAAATGGTTAGCTACATGAAAAAATTTTAAAACTAAATTATTAGTTACCTTGGTATTTTTTTGAATTGCTTTTTCTAAATTTCCAGGGACTGTAGTGTCTGTAAACGTGACATCGATCCCCATTCTTGTAACAACTTGTCTGAAATGAAAATAAAATAATAAGTTTAGTTTAGCTGTGTATTAGAAATGACATAAAAAATGTTGTACAAAATATTACAGTGTAAGTAAAAAATAATGTGTAATTATTACACATTATTTTTTACTTGGCGTTTTTTACCATAGTCCAGAAAAATTTCATTAAACAGAATTTGAGTGATAATTTTATTTACCTTAAAAGACGGTTCGTGCCACCGTAAACATCATCAATGGAAACTATGTGATCGCCTTTACTGAGCAGCATCACAATTGTTGACATCGCGCCGAGACCCGAAGCGAAAGTAAAACCATGTTTTCCACCGTCTAGTGCTGCAAGGCATTCTTCTAAAGTATTCCTAGTGGGATTTCCTGACCGCCCGTACTCAAAACCCTACAATAATTAAAAATATTATTTTTGGAAGCACTCTATCTAATCAAAAGAGAAAAAGTATCAAAGAAAAGCAGAAGCCTTAATACATATATGTAGTTAAGTATTCAACATTTAACTTACCGTATGTTCAGCCGGAGCCGGTTGTTTGAAAGTAGTGGACATAACAATCGGTGGTACTACGGCCGCGCTGTTCCATTTTTCAGGTTCTTGTCCAGCGTGTATGGCGATTGTGGCAAAGCCTGGTTTCTGTTTCAAGAATCCGTTCTGCGCCATCTAGTAAATGTTTAGGTTGCAATGAATATTCAGCATCAAATTAAAAAAAACGACTTATTTTACATTAATATTTAAAAGTTAAGGTTTTTTTATAACAAAAAAAAAATATTCGCAAAAAATATACTTTAGAGCTCATTAAAAATACAATAAATTACTCATACTTTCCAATTTTTTTTTAGTTTACAAATTATCTTTATTGAATAAGAAATCGTGCTTACAACTTATTTTCACACCAAGAGATTAAAATATATTTTTGAAGTAAATTTTAATACATTAACTGATAACCATAGTCCATCTTATTTAACAGTAGCTCTAAAACACATTTTAAAACATATGCCAAAACGACTACAAAAATCTAAAAATAATTGTACTAAAAATTGCACGCTAAAATTCAAGGTTAATGAGAATGATACAAAATGTGGCAGAATTTCATCAGGATTATTAAATACATTTTTAGTATTATTTGCTTATGAATTTCCAATAAGAATTAAATCTTACCTTAATTTTTAATTAATTTCAATTGCCGCTAAATTACTTCTTATCTAACCTTTCAACACGCCACCACCGACACTTGATTTCCAATTCCGAATGAACTGTCTTGGATGTCAAAACGGCTTTTTAATGTACATTTTATACCACCCGGCACACGACACTGACAGCCAGCACCGGCACATTAATATGAATCACACACATCACATCGAAATTGATCGAATGATACGGCTTAGGATGTATACACACAGTGACAATAACATGTGCCGATAGCACCAAATTACACCTAAGCAGTTTAGACTCACGTCTCATAATAAAGCTATTAACAAGATTTTTTTTAATTATTATAAATATTTTATTATTGTTGTGAAGTAACAATCATTATTTTCATCGGATCTCAGGATTTTTAATGCTAACAATAACAAATGTTATTTTTTCTAAACCAAATTACTAAACCAGTTATCGTTATTGAAATAACGTTGAATAACCGTTATACAAATATAATAAATACTAGTCATTCGTAATATTATTTTAAATCAATATATCGATAGACATTGTCATTATTTTATTGTAATAATAAAAATTGGGTTTTATTTATTTTCATGGCAGTCAAAAACTTTGGTGCTATATTACCTACAACATTGTTAGGTCCGAATGTCTCGTTCCAGGCCATAAACTCCAAAAAAAAAAAAAAAAACGAATGTCTCGTTTCCCGCCAATTTGTAAAAGTAGCTGTCAAAATAGGTAATTAGGAATTTATTTGGAGTAAAGTTTAAAGTTGATTTGTTTACAGTTTACCCATTAAATCTTTGAATTCTTTATTAACAGTGAAATAAGGTAGTGTGCATCAGTTACAGAAATTTACTATGAAAATCGATAGCAAACCACTAAGATATGCTCATGCTGAAGGGCATACCGATGTATGTTATTCTGAAGATGGACAGTAAGTACACTTATTTTAAAAGTAGGTACATTCTTTACTCGGTTGCCATAAAGAAGAAAAAAAAAATACATTCTTTGTTTTTTAAACCTGCTTTACATGATAAAATTTGTTTTGTTCAGGCATATTATAACGTGTGGAAATGACGGTGACGTGAGGATATGGGTGGACATCGAAGATGATGATCCGAATTCACATTGTGTTGGGGAAAGTGCACTGGCAGTGTGTTACAAAGACAAGAGGCTTTATGTTGCCACTGATAATCATGTTGTTCAAGCATACACATACCCAGCTTTCGACAAAGATGGAATTGTCACTAGGTTTACAGCACCGGTCACACAAATCAAGTCTTCAAGTAAAATTGAGGTGCTATTCTTTGATCCTATTGTTTGTTGTATAATTTTCCTGACTTTATTTTAAATTATTTTTTGTTAATATTGATATAGGTTTTGGGATGCACATCGGAGAATATGGAAGCGAAGCTCTGCAACTTGGAGGGTGGAGCACCTTTATTTGTTATGACAGAGCATACAGGGCCAGTTCTCAGTATAGCTATTTGTCCCCACATGAAGTTTGCGAGTACAGCTTGTGGAGATGGAAAACTAAGAATATGGGATATTGACACACAGAAAATTGTTAAAGAGGTTTCATGTGTTCCAAAGATCAATACATTTTATGCAGCCAAAGTATTGTGTATGTAACATTCATTTCTTTTGAATTTATTATATGTATTTGTTAAAAAAGAAATTGCCTGTTTTCCTATTTCTAAGTGATCATTACCATTTTCATAGCTTAGTAATAACAGGGAAATTTCTAAAGGAAATAACATATGATGACATTAAACAATGTTAGGAAATATTTATACTTAGGTGGCAAGGTTGCATGCAATTCATAAGTAGATACAATTGTTTGACTTAGTGTTATAATTTCCAGGTCGTATGGATTTTGAGCCAACAGAAGGAAAATATTTAGCCTATCCAAACAATAGAGAGATCATATTATTAGATTGTGAAACATGGGGCCAAAGGATGACTTTTACACATAATTTGGCAAGTACCTTATTTTGTTTTTCTTACTTTTCTTTTAAAGATAGTAAGTAATATCCAATTGTAAACACTAGACCCGGTATAAAAATAAAATACTCTTTATCTTACACTGTTTCAAATGTTTTCAGTGCAGCAATATTTGTATTCAAATCTTTCTTTATAAATCCAATTACATCCAGTAATGTCTAAGGTAACCACTGAAATAATTCCATTTGATGTACATTACTTAATTAAGTTATTATAATAATAATCTAACAAATCAAATCTTTTTTAGATAAAATGTGCAATATCTCAGTGTGTATTTTCCCCATGCGGGCAATATCTGGCTGGGAGCACAGTTGCGGGACAGGTTGCAGTGTGGGAGATTGGTTCAGGAGCATGCATTGACATTACCACACATCCAACTTCACACAATGTCACAGCTATGGCATGGAACCCTAAAGGTAAGACTGAGTATTTTTTCTGCACATTTTAGCTTGTTTATTATAATAGGAATTGGTAAGTTACTATTTAAAAAATATACCTAAATGTTGCTTCTAAATAAATTGATTTAGATTTTCTAATACCACCACAGTTGTTATTCTCTGATAGTAGCGGGACACAAAGATATGCGCATTACACGTTTTTTAACATTTATTTTTTTCCAATGTAAGGACAGTTCAGATCATGCATCTACTAACTAAACATATTATATTGTTATGCATCATTTGCAATGACCTGAATAAAAATGAATGTACCTAATGATTATAATATGATGTTGGCATTCTTTTGCTCATTAGGGTCATGATTATAGTTTATTATAGTTTACCTATGGATAGACATAGAACAGACCTTTAAATGAGCATATTCTGCATAAAATTAATGTTATTTACCCGTTGTTGCAAAATAGTTATTTTGGAAATCCCTAAAAGCAGGTAGGGTTGCATAGTAGGGTTACACTTAATTATTTAAGGAGAAGTTTTTCATCATTTATATACCATACATATATATAACTAACTTATTTAAGTAAATAAGTTTACAACATTAGTTTTTTTGGAAAAAGTGAGTTATCATGACTAAAATTTCCTTATTTTCAAAAAAATGTAACACTTCATACAATATACCTACTCTTGCCCGGTTTCACCTGCTAATCGGCTCCATTTGATCGCAGCGCGATGTTTTAAACTCTACTTCGTTGATAAATAGAATAATCAAAACAATTGTTCAATTTGAACCAGTAGTTCCGGAGATTAGCGGCGTTCAAACAAACAGACAAACTCTTCAGTTTTATAACATTAGTACCTATAGATTTTATTAGATGTGTATGCTACCTATTCATATATGAATGTTCTTAATATTTTTAAAAATTTTAAAGAAATCAATTCGACTTGCGGAAATCGTTTGGTTGATAAGAAACTAGAAAGAAAACCACATCAATACATTTAAAATACCAACAAATAAATGATTGCAATTCATTGAAAGGGGCTATGTTTTTTACTTTTATACCTTGACTTATATGAATATATGAGTCATTCCTACAGGAATCAGTCATCAGGAAATCAGTTAGAAGCATCTGTATGTCTGTGTAAACTTTACTAAGATTAAATAATGATTATTATAATAATAATACTGTAAATGTTGGTACATCATCGCCAAGAGCACTTAGTCATTTACAGGATCGGCTTTTAGAGGGAAGCCTTAACGTTTGTTTATCACTGCATAGTATAAAACAAAGTCACTTTCTCTGTCCCTATATTCCTATATGTACTATAAAACTGTACTTGAACAGTTTGACGCATTGAACGGGTAACTGCAAATATTATGAATCAAGTCACTGACCATTATTCAATTAAGGTGACAAAACCGTTATTCAAAGTGTCCATTGCAATGGCATTCGCTCCAACTTGTAGGTACCTATGCGTCGGCAGACAAGTACCTACTTAGATACTAACATAATAAATGCGTAAAATAACTACGAGTACCTATACCTATGAAATTATTAGTATAGTAATCGTCTAGTATCTTGTCGATACCTGTGGCTACTAAACATACGACGCTGAATTATTAATTGATTAACACCCGGTTTCCGAAAGGCCGCTCAATGTTAAAATCAATTTAATCTCTTGTCAAGTCATCTGATTGGTTGACTGAATTATTAACAACCAATCAGATGACTTGACAAGATATTTGACACCTAGTTAGTTGATTTTCGGTTGGCTTTCGGAAACCGGGCATTAGTCTATCTTTACACACGTTCTTCTGACTGACTTGTTTGTTGTAGAACGACTACAAGTCTTACACCCGGTTTCCGAAAGACCGATCAATGTTAAAATCAATTTAATCTCTTGTCAAGTCATCTGATTTGTTGACTGAATTATCAACAACCAATCAGATGACTTGACAAGAGATTTAACAGGAAATTAGTTAATTTAGCGTTGACAAGCCTTTCAGAAACCGGTGTTAGTCTTATTTTAATAGACTGACCAAGCAAAGCGTTACTAACTTTTTGCAAAATTCTCGATAAAAGTATAGAGTTTATAGATTTTATAACAAACAGGTATCTATTGTGTAAATAAATGTGTAATACTCCTGCTTATTTAAAATTCCTTTTTTTTTTTAAATAACATCATCAAGTGACTTCTTCCGCCCATAGTGTCAGACTTTTGCTGACTAAAACTCCTTCCCCCCGTTCCTTCTCCTGCTCTAGGCCGAGGTCGTGGGGCCTTGTTGCGCTTACCCCGCAACCCCGGTTGGTTTTCGCCCTATACCATCGTCCACCGTCTATTGCCTTTTTCATGCGTGCGGGGAACGCTACTCGCCCTACGCTCGGGTTGGGTTCCTGTCTGGCGGCGAGTTATCCTTACTTGCCGATCATCTCTCCTTATTTATGACTTCTGGCATTACAGGCAATGGTGTACTAGCATATGTTGATGCCATGGGTCAACTGGGTATGTTGGTCAACTGCTATGGAAAAGACAGCAATGCAGCTACAGCAGATAATAATGAAGATGTCGAAATGATTGAGAGGGTAGACGGTAAGGATAACCACTTATTATGATCATAATATGAGTCGATACACTACGTCAAGGAAACATGTAAGTCTTCAGTCATTGTGTTAAATGTTTTCCTGTTTTTAACCTTCAATATTTACTATCATAGTTATAACTATATATAACGACTACGCATGAATAGTATTGTATTCGGGAAAGTTGTTATAAGTACTCTGCTATGACCATTTTCCTGGATCGCGGTCAGTTTTACCCCGATTATGTCTTGAAGTTTCCCTGTTATACGAAAACAATTAGGTCTATGGACATTATAATGATAATAACAAGAGTGAATTTCCTACAGACAATGACGACATCGTAGATGACCTAATAGAAAATTACGAGAGTGACGATGACAATGCAATATCTCTGCAAAAAATTAAGAATGAAACGTTGGGGCTTGTGGAGCAAGATGAGTCGAGGCCGGCTTCGCGACGAAATGCTACTCCAGCGCCATCTACTGTACCACCTCAAGCACCTTTTCAACCCTCATCCACCCCGGCACATTTGGAGCATAGGTAAATCATGTTTTTTATAATATCTAACTTTTACGTAACGTTTTTACTCGTAAATCACAACTCCTAAGTCAATTTGTTCTTTACTTGTAGATACATGTGTTGGAACGATATCGGCATAGTTCGGTGTCACACTGCCGAGAACGGAGAATCCACAATAGACGTAGAGTTTCACGACACGAACTTGCATCACGGCATACACTTGAACAACTACCTGAACCATACAATGGCCAGTTTATCTTCTACTGTGGTTGCTTTAGCCTGTGAAACACCGAGGTAAGCCATACGATTCTGTTATTTATATTTATTTTTTTATGTGATATGTCGCGAATCGATCAGGCGGATTACCTGATGGTAAGCAATTGGCGCCGCCCATAAACACTTGCCGTTGCCGATCTTTTGGGGACAAGGGATTTGGAGATTTAGGGATTGGGGGAGGGGAAGGATTGGGGCCCCGATAACCTTACTCACACGGCAAAACACAACTCAGTGGTTGTTTCACGCCGGTTTTCTGTGAATATTTGGTATCACTTCCGTCGAGCCGACCCATTCGTGCCAAAGCATGGCACTCCCACACTCAAAATAATCTCTTGGAACTTTTAGCTAACAATATTGTAATCTTTCCTTTTCTATCTTTAAATTTTCATTTTATACATAAGTTTCTGCGTAGCTTGGTCGTGAGTTAACGCTATATTTTATATGTGTGGCAGTAAGTTGGTGTGCATATCGCTGGTGGGTAGCAGTAAGGAATGGAGTGCGAGCATGCCCGACACGGAGGAGATCCTGTGCGTGGCGGCCGCCAGCCATGTCGTGGCCGTGGCCACTAATGCCAGGCTACTGCGACTCTTCACTCCCATGGGTACCCAAAGACAGGTCCAACAACTTCTCTAGTAAATTCATCTGCACTGTTGGCCCGGTGGCTAGCCAACTGGCTGCCACGCAACCACGATTCCCGCAAGGAACAATTATCTGTGTGATCCACAAATTGTAGATCCGGGTCTGGGTGTGATGTGTATGTGAAATTGTAAACTTATTTGTAAACGTATCCACGACACTGGATATACTAGTGAAGGGCAGTCAGCTAGAGTTGCGGGGCAAGCGCAATGAGGCACCGCGGCCTCGGCCCAGAGCAAGAGATGGAAAGGGGTTAAAAACCCCGTTCCTTGACGGACGAAAGTCAGTAAGAGTCTGACACGACTTTTCCCGCCCGACCCTGGGCGTGAAAAGTCATTTGATGATTTCACCCTCACAAAAAATACATTAAAAAAAAAACATCATTGAAGAATCATACTCAAATATTCATTCAAATAGTACAAAGTCATCTTACTGTAAACATTAATTGTATATGTCACATGCTTTGCGTGACCCGGAAATTGGATCTTAGATTTCACACTGAACTGTCATGCTTACAAAAAACATTATAATGGAGTTGGTATTGTGACTGTTATCTAGATTGCATCGATGACGATGAAAACGCTTATCAGTTTAATATTACTTTAGTTTCGTACTGAGAATGACGTTAGTGCTATTTATACCTACATTCTACATAAATACTTGAAGCAACTTGGAGTTGATAAATACAGATAATTATTAAAGATAATTTGCACACACCTACTTTAGTGAGAATTCAAAAAGAATAGTCATCTATAGTGTAGTGATTTTTTTACTTGACTTAATATGTAAGACATGAAATTGATCTTTAGGTGATATCTCTGGCTGGCCCAATGGTATGTCTGGGAGCTTTCAACACAGCAGTACTAGCAGTGTACCATAGCACAGACCCAGGTCCCTCAGACCAGCATCTAGCCATGGACATTGTCGCCTTGAATGGTAAGTCAGCGTTTTATTTATAATTTCCTAATTAGTTATAACAGTTAACTTATGTTTATTCAGGACAATTCAGGATATTCATCCGTACAATTTTTTGTAATTATATGTAACATAACAGCCATTTCATACTAAAAGAGGTCAAAAGTCAATCTCAAGTAAAAATATATGTCTTATTTTTTGACACTTAAGCTTTAAGCCACTATAACACTTCTGCCAGTGATATTGTGAGTCTTATTTACGTAGGCAATAGAGAACAAAGTTTATTAAAAATACAAAAATATCTGCATTTCAGGTCGCCAGGTTCGAAGTAAAACAGTACCTGTGCCGTTAACGCCAGCGTCTAAACTCGCGTGGCTTGGCACTAGCGATGTTGGATCACCTTGTGCGTACGATAATACAGGAATGTTGCGAATGTATGATGTCAGTAGTGGTGTGTGGATGCCACTATGTGATACCAACATGCATGCTAGAGGAGCTTCTGACTCCTGGTTCATTGTTTCTGTGAGTAATATTAATTATTGTTTTAATATTTTAAGAACAGTAACCCCAGTTACTATCAGTTATTAAAAACATTTTTCTTTCACAACCAACCTAACATTGGCCCTCGATTTAACAGAAACAATAATGTTTTGATTGAACTTATGAACTCGCTTTTTTTCGACTGCCTACAGTTTTTCTTGGTAAACTATGTACTTGATAGTCAATTTGAACCTTTATATTTTTTTTGTAGGTAAGTGAAGCGACACAAAAAGTACGTGCAATACTTTGTAGAGGAGCATCGTTTCCAGCTACTGCACCCAAACCTATCATAGCAGAACTAGCCATACAGGTATAAAAAATCTAACTATTTACTAATTAAACTAAACATTACACCATCAAACAAATATTAATTGTAACTATTTTCTACATTGTAGATACCTCTTTGTGAAATGGACACAGAAAAAAGTCAATATGAAGAACAGCTCGTCCGATGGGCACATACAACTTCCGATGTTGACGTAAAAACTGCACGAGAGACTGCACTTAAACTGTTTGCAGTAAGTACTTGTACAAGCTCTTAAACAATATGCACCAAAAGTACGCAAACACGTGCGTTTACATATTATATCTTCAAAACATGTTTACGAAAACAACGATAGCTATAAAATGTATCATTATGTGACGAGTATAAGTCTATAGAAATTTATTTGTTGACGATTTTCAGCTCGCGTGTCGCAGCGAGATCGAGCAACGCGCATTAGAACTGATGGAGTTGCTAAAAGACGACCGACTGCTGCCTTTAGCTGCAAAATACGCTTCCCGACTTGGCCGAGTGCACTTGGCGGATAAGTTGGGCAACTTGGCAGAAACTTGGGAGAAGGAGGCAGACAAACTGAATGTTGCCCAAACCTCGCACTTCCAGGAGTTGGATACACAAGAGACTTATGACGTCACAAATACTGAACAGGATTTGAACGCCAGTCTAATTATACCACAGAAAGTTAAAGAGAAGAAAGTTGACGCTGATACTTCACTAAGACCAGTTGTAAGAATTTTGATAATACATTATGATATCTTATTCCGACTTATAATAAGTAATATTCAGAACCTTAATAATACTTATCCTTGTTGCCTTGCTTGTTATTTCCCTATCAGCCCATCTAGAGTCTAACATTATTCTCTGTTACTTTTTCAGCCCATAAAATCGTCGCCCGGTAGAGCAAGAAATATTTTCAAAAAGAAGTCTACGAACTCAAGTGTCGCTCAAAGTCCCCTCAGTCTAACGGAAAGGACTTTAGTGGAAGTTCACAAACCGACTGAAAATTCTGAAAACGATGACGTAAGTATTTTAAACATAAAGTGCTTTGTAGATAAATACTTAGTCATGCTAGATAATGCTATATTTTTTGTCGTCGTAATTTAGGGCCAATCACCTGTGATTATTAAAGGTCATAATTATGCAAAACATGTTTTTAAAGTGTTCACTGTCATTATTGAAAAGTCAAACTGATTGAGAAATCAATTGATGTCCGATTATTTTATTAGTTTGATTACTTGTAATTCAATATATTATCATGTATAGTTTAGTAATTAATGCTTCCGTCGTGTAATATTGTAGGTGGTTTCGATATGATTTTATTTGCGTTTGATGTATTTTATTCTTTCGCCTTACAATAAAAGGAACTAGTTACGGTATGATGGTCAATAAATAAAAAATCTTCAAATCATGGATCATTAAATAGTTCCCAACCATTACATTGCCAATGGCAGATTCATAAAAATGTTTTAGAGCCATTACAAAAGAGATATTGTATGATATTGATATATATTGTGATGTTAATCAACTATTTCCTTTACAGCCTTCAGCGCCATTGGAAGGGGAAACTTTCGTAGATTGGTTTACAAGAAACAAATCTATTCTGGAAAGACAAAACCCAGAATTAGGTCCGTCAGAGTTAACTCGGCAGGGTATCAAAATCTTCAAAGCTGTCCAGGGAAAAGGGGCCAATAATACGGAGAATGGACCAAAAAGAAAATTAGATGAAGATACGAATAATTCCGAAACTCACATTGTCAACGCTCCTAAACAATCGAAACTTAGTGCCTTTGCATTTCAAAAGAAATCATAATTAGTAATGTTTTAATCATGTAAGTAACGTAGTTTTATAATTTTAGTAATAAATATTTTATTTATGAGCAACTTGATTTTATTTTATTGCTTGCTTCACTAACATCTATGGAAAATCATATAGAATTGAAGATGTTTCTATAAATTTCGTAAAAGATTCATGGATGTGCCGTCATTACATACCAACTAATATTATAAATGCGAAAGTAACTCTAGACTGTCTGTCTGTCTTTTCTTCACGCCTAAACTAGTTAACCTATTTGTGTGAAATTTGGTACAGACATAGTTTGGAACTCGAGAAAGAACATAGGATAGTTTTAAAACCAAAAATTTGCAGGAAGTCACTATTCCACGCGAACAAAGTGTAGGCAAAAGCTAGTAATAAAATATTTATGCCACTTAAATGAGGTAGAAAAATACTAATACCAAGCTTCAAATTACTTTGATTAATGAGAGTATCCTTATTTGAAGATAATTTAATATATATTATATAACAGGTGTACATTTAAATAAGTCACCATCCCTCTTGATTTCATAAAACCTATAAAACCGTTGCCATGCACGTGTGTTCTGCAACAGGTCAGAGGTGACTGTCCTCGTAATAGCGTGGCGCTTAATTTAGTGCTATTTAGAGACGCGATATCACACAACTGATTAAGGTTCGCCATATCTATGATATAAACAAACCTCGAAATGTCAATATTTTCGAATATTATCAATAACAAGTTTATTCATTTGTTTATATAAGATAGTAATGGGTCAGCAGCTAGGTAAATATGTATGCAAAGATAAGCCAACATTACTATATATTAAGTAATATTAAAATTAATTGCATTCAGATTTGCTTTGTTCCCACGAGACCCTTTTGGTCAAAACATCTTTTTCTTGCTACGTAAATAAGTATATTAAAGCTATTGATAAGTAAATTACGCATCTATACAAGGCTACATGCTAAGTCGACAGGGCATGTACTGCAAATTCATCATTCCTTTTTCATAGCAATTAATAAGAACACAATCCCTGTATTTCGTTTACAATAATATACATATCATTTCCGTAAAACATGGAAAAACCATTGTCACGGAAACATTACCTATACAATATTATCCATGTTATAACTACACTACTAATTAGTAGTTTAATTAATGTGATTTTATGCTTAATAGCGTCATTCAATTTGATAGGACAGCAAATGCTGACAGATCATTTGGTAGTATGTATGCAAATGGCATTGGTCTTGGATACCCACCAAACTGTAAAACTTGCGAGTGCGTTGTCAGTCTCGAGATTTGGAGATCGGAGATGAGGAAAGGGCGTACGATAACACTACACACACGGCTAAACATAATGCAAGCGTTGTTTCACGTCAGTTTTCTGCGACTTTGGTCGAACCGGACCGTGCCGAAGCATGTCTATTCCATATACAAGATACAGTCAACGTTTATTAGTTTCCGAGTAACAATATGGGTTTCTCCTTCCTTCTCCCGGTTAGGGTAGTAAAATTTGGCTTAGATTAATCACAAAGCGAGAGCTTATAAATAATTTATACATATACAGAACATAAATGCTACATTTAACAAAATTTGATACCTTTGATACCCTTTCCACCCCTTTGAAACCTTGCGGGGTCAAGCGCAATAAGGTACCATGACCTCGGCCTGGCAACAAAGAAAAGGGGTGTAGTCAGTAAGAGACCGACACTTCCTCCGCTAGAGACACTATCTAGGTTGATTTTCCGTAATCAATAATAAGGTCTACCTACCTACATCAGCTGAAATGAAAATTAAAATAGATGATACACTGTCATAACAGGATATCTAATTTTAACCAGTGTAAAAAAATAATAATACGTATCAAGTTTACTAAGTGTTAAAATCGCAAGTCATGCTACCTGTATTTTAGCACGTCATCGTAAAACAGATACTTGGATTGATAATGACGATGTATTTCACATTATCATCGTGTGATGACATCACACATCATTCAGTTTGCTCAAACGCATCATCATTATGACTGTGACGTAGTAGGAATTGCACAATGTATATAATTAGTGACGGATCAATAGAACATTCTAAACCAGGATGATCGTTTATACATTTTTAAGGAAAAATGTGTTATCATAACCAATATTTTCAATCAATTTAAGATTACGAATTCCGTGGTTATTCTAGCATAACAAACATAGGTACCCTATATCATTTATACACGCAGACTTAGGTACCTACACTATAATTATGACACCGAGTTCCTAAATTGAAGTAGAGCAATGTCACTATTTATGCTAGTAGTGTAGGAACATCTTACAGTAAATAGATACATAAGTATTTAGGTGCATATCTATAGAAAAATCATACAATATTCTAAACTTCCGATTCTCTTTTAATGTTACGATTACCCAAGAATCCTACATATCTTCAATCACATACAAAATAAGTAGGTTCATAGTTAATTAAAGACGCATGAAAAGCAAACGTACTTGAGGTATTAGTTTATGTACCTGCTAACTTTTTATTTTACATAAACCATAAGTCGTCTTTGTCATAACTTATTAAAGAGAAAAGGAGGTGAGTGGCTCCCCGGTTAACATGGTGACCACCTGATAAGTGCCCACTTTTTCATACTTAGGAACATAGTTATAGAACATAGTAGTGTTTATATTATTATGTAGTGACCATTTACCACACCACATTTTAATTCCAATACAGCCCAGAATGTAATGCTCGAAGTCTAACAGGTGTTATTATTCTTCACAATCACTGCTCCAATTGCTGATGTTGTAAGTTTGTAACAGGCCTACAGCAGAATGACCATTAATAAAAAATATTTTTTTAGGGCTTTCTTTTTCTTACCTACAGTATAGATATGATTACTGCCTAAGTAATTAAAGTATGCAAGTCTAACGCGGTTGTAAGTCATCATAGATTCTTACCAAACGAGATGAGCATTACAATTAATGTGTATGTACTATGAAGGACTGAACACCATGATGGTGAAACGCGTGCGTTCGTGCAGCGGAATGTTGTTGAATTTAAAGATTTTAATTATGCAGATATTTAGTGTATCACGTCGTATAATTGTGTATGGTAAAAAAAAATTTGTGCACGCAACCATTGTGGAGAAATTCACCAAAAACTGATTCCGCTGGGCGAACGTTGTCCTGGCGGAACTTTTTTTAATCCATAGACTTTAGAAGAAAAGAGATGTATCCAAAAATTAGTGTGTATTTGTGTGTAATTGTGTATGTATGAATAAAACTAGTGCATGCATAAACTTCGGAGAAATTCAAGTTTCCGCTACGCGAACGTTTGGCCATTAGCTAGTTTTCATATAAAGCGCTTACATAGAGAGCTGTAAATTTTTACATACGTTGTTTTGAATTTGTTTATATTTGTTTAAAAAACAGATTTAGAAAAAATCGTAGGGTTTAAGAGATAAAAATATAAACGTAAAATACGCTTATTAGGTCTTAGTTCTTAAAGTATGCACTTTGGGGTCTAGATTTTCACGTTTATACAAACCTTGTAAGTGTCTGCCAAGTATCAATGATGTTCCGTTAGTAATTAAATAGTTATAGGACAAATTTACCATGAATAGATCAGTTTACAAAGCAGTCAAATATCACAACGTTCTAAATGAATTGCATGGTAAATTGTATGCTAATAATTAGTGTATTCATTCAACTATTCACATGCAAAATTTTATGTCATTAAATTCAGTAATTAAAGAAAAACAATTATAATATTGACGAAGCATCGAAAACCTACATAACCCGACCAAGTTCGGATGGCTACAAAAAAGCGGCCGTGCCATATATCTAAGAAACGTTCTTAACTTTCCAATATAGCATTTATTAATATGGTACAGTATCGTACACAAGCGTTAGGAAAAAATAAAACACTTGCATTTCTTGAATGAAAAATATTTTTTTAATAATAACGCCACTATCTACGATGAAAACAAATCTTCAATTAACAAGTACTTCTCTATTTAAAACCGCGTACAACAATATTTTTACATGTAATACCTACTTAATTATGTAATTATAATAATGTTAACAAACGCTTGCAATGACAGCAATAGACTTCAATGTGTTTTAACTAAAATAGATTATGAACTAGCTTTTGCCTGCGACTTCGCGTGGATGACGAAACTTAGGGTAAGTATAATAGTTCGAGCTTCAAAAAAAAAAAATTATTCACATCACATACACAAATCACATTAAGTTCAACAACAAACGAATACGTGCGAAAACATATTGCCCTCTCTTTTCTTCAAGGATGACAGTATCGCTCGTAGCGCGCAGCGCGTTGTCTATTTTTTCACACAAGAATATTTTTGATCAATTCATAACTACAATACTTAAACTATTAACTATTATACTAAAGGATTAAGCGTACCGAACTTCGAACAAAATAATTCTGCATATTTTGGTGGGGTGCGGGGGAACACGCTCACATACATACGAAAAAAAATCGATTCAAGAAGTAGTTTTTTTTAAGTTATTAGATTGTTTGATCCACTAAAGTTGCAAAGGGTAACGCTCGTGCATGCCTAGTCTATTGGTTAAATAGTGTAATAAGCTACAATATGATAAATATTTACCTAAACAGTAGTACATAACTACATACTTACATGTGGTAAATATTTAATTTCCCTAAGGGGTCTATACTTAATTAGAATCCTGATCCGTGAAATCTTCAATAGAAATTAGCTGTATGAATTTTATTTGTCTTAAATATACCTAATTAGATTATATCTCAAGTCTCAAGCGCATACTTAAATAAAGTACCTACGTAAATAGTACCTACTTTCTGTCATAGTCACATTTAAAAAAGTAGGTGCCCAAAAATAAATGACCTATAAATTATTTCGAAACAACAAGTGTGTTATCACCTGTACCAATTCAATACCGGTATTATACTGTACATTTTGGGATGTTACCTAAATATATTGCACAGCCGCTTTTTTGTAGCCATCCGAACTTGGTCGGGTTATGTAGGTTTTCGATGCTTCGTCAGTATTATAATTGTTTTTCTTTAATTACTGAATTTAATGACATGAAATTTTGCATGTGAATAGTTGAATGAATACACTAATTATTGGCATACATTTTACCATGCAATTCATTTAGAACGTCGTGATATTTGACTGCTTTGTAAACAGTGATCTATTCATGGTAAATTTGTCCTATAACTATTTAATTACTAACGGAACATCATTGATACTTGGCAACATGTTGCAGACACTTACAAGGTTTGTATAAACGTGAAAATCTAGACCCCAACGTGCATACTTTAAGAACTAAGACCTAATAAGCGTATTTTACGTTTATATTTTTATCTTTTAAACCCTACGATTTTTTCTAAATCTGTTTTTTAAACAAATATACACAAATTCAAAACAACGTATGTAAAAATCTACAGCTCTCTATGTAAGCGCTTTATATGAAAACTAGGTAATGGCCAAACGTTCGCGTAGCGGAAACTTGAATTTCTCCGAAGTTTATGCATGCACTAGTTTTATTCATACATACACAATTACACACAAATACACACTAATTTTTGGATACATCTCTTTTCTTCTAAAGTTTATGGATTAAAAAAAGTTCCGCCAGGACAACGTTCCCCCAGCGGAATCAGTTTTCGGTGAATTTCTCCATAATGGTTGCGTGCACAAATTTTTTTTTACCATACACAATTATACGACGTCATACACTAAATATCTGCATAATTAAAATCTTTAAATTCAACAACATTCCGCTGCACGAACGCACGCTGGTGAAACTCGCAAGCCTTCAGCCAGCTTTGGTCACTTCTTCGACTCCATTGCTCCTGCATGACTATGCGGGACCTCACTACACGATAAACAATCTCCAAGCATAAAGAACTGGGATTAGAAGTTCTTCTCTAAGAAGTAGGTACAGACTTCTACTTTTCAGCATTTGGATAACTTCCTGACAATAAAACAGTTCAGTCCCCAAGAGGCAGGTAACTTTTATCTAACCACTGAAAAGTCAGCCCTTAATAAATAAATTAATTCGGCTCAATTAACTTTCAGACATTGCTCTTTTTCTGTCTACAGTCGATCGGCATACCTAATCAATTTTAATTCGAACGATAAGGTAAAGTTAATTAATGACAAAATTGCTCTTTTAAACTCTTTGTTGTCCTAAACAGGCCATTGATCCCTTCTTATTTCATCACACAGCGACATAACAAACCAGAATGCACAATTTCTTAGTGGCTTCCTGTCGGATCGGATGTGTGTATGTACCTAAATTATCGTCGGTGATTAATTACGATACCGCAAAGAGAGAGAGAGAGATAACTTCACGGTAATAAAGAAAAGACTTAATATTTTCAACTAATTTATTTTTAACGTAATGCCATACATTTTTTAAGGAACGTTATACGTTGACCAATTCAGCTTCATCAGGTGGTGGGAAGAGTCCATCCTTGATCATTCGGCGCCACTCGCTGCCATTTGGATAAGCAAACTTGTCCAATATACCTGGTAAGAATTCAGTGCTGTATCCGGGAAGCTGGAAAACCCCAAAAAGTTTTCAGTTTAGTAAAATAGTGGATAAAATGCGTCTTTGATTTAGAGTAGGTAGTCGACCGCTAGCCAACTGCCGTGCAAAGTTGTCGGGAAACTTGAAACTTTGAGATTTTGTATCGAAAATCGGTAATATTAGGTACAGAATCTGGAATAGTGCCCTGTATTTAAAAGGACGTTGAGGAAATAAAACTACCCATTTGGCTTAAGTGTGTTTAAACTAATGCAAATCGATGCCTTTCCTTTCATGGTATAAAATGTGATGCCTACAATATACATTTTGTAGGATTTTGTTTAAAATCACAATTCCCTCACAAAGCTAAGGACAATCATGACAATACAATACAAGTATAATTATACTACTAGTTTAAAAAAATAGTTGGTTGTGCAAAACTTCTATCGAGTAAATCCCACTAATACAATACAGTAGACGTAGTTTATATTTATATTATTCATAACATGGCGAAGTATAGGTACCTTAGGTGCGAGGTACTTGGCATTTTCTACGATGCAGGGGTCCACGAAATGTTCGTGTTGCTGGTCGACGTACTCGATGAGTCGGTCCTGCATGGTCGCGGATACGCTGGCGTAGTCCCAGTACTGCAGGTGTTGCACCATCTCACATAGACCCACACCGCCCGCGTGAGGACAAACCTTCACTGAAAATTTTAGATTTTGGTTAATGCACTAACTTGTTTTATGGTAACTTATCTAGTGTTAGGTCGTTAATGTTATTTATTTCCATACACATTACGTACGTAGGTAGTATGCAGCGCGCATACTTGACTAATAGAATTCAACACTGGGTTCTAGCATCGTCTAGACCCAGTCTAGACATAAGAAAAACTCTCTAACTCTAAAGTAAATAAAGTTCTTTTCAAGAAGTCTAGATTACATTTAAAGCCTGCTGGCTCCGACCGTCATAATTTTGTTCTATAGCAATTTAAAATACGCGGCTTTCTAAAACGCGTAGTTTGATTTTCTATTGTGGCTTAACCGCCAAGAATATTTATTCATAAATGCCTTTATAACAGGAAGCGTCTTTTCTTGCATAATGTGGCGATCCGGATTCATTCGCATAATCGCATATCGATAGTAACTGAGCTTCTCACAGTGATGCAGTCAATAATTCTGTTTCCTACATAAAATTCACCCAGGAAACTATATTCCAACCGAATTCTTTCTTCACCTCAGTTAATATCTCGGCTACCAGTCGACTATCTTTCAAATTTAAAGTTCACAATTATTTGCTAGAGAAACTGACAGATTCCACTAATTAGTGTATTGTTGTTTTTGTTCTTGTATATATTCGTAATCTATTCTTACCATATTTAATTATATTATTTATTTATTATTTATATGTTATATGTGTATTTGTAGGTTATATTTATTGTATTCATATATTATATTTTTGTATTATATGTATGTATATGTTGCCTTATATGCCTATGCTTTTTAATCATTTGTGTGCTTGTTTAGAACCTATTGTTAACACTTCTGTGCATCACCCGTGAGGTTGACTGGTAGAGAATGCCTTCGGGCATTAAGTCCGCCTTTGTATGTATTTTTTTTATATGTACATAAAGTGTTAAATAAATATCTTCTGACTAGCTACTCTCTCGCGGTATCACCCGCTGCTCGGCTCCATTTGATCGTAGCGTGATGTTTTATAGCCTATAGCACTCAGGAACATTGTAGTTATCTATCAGTGAAAGAATTTTGGGAATCCGACCAGTGGTTCCAAAGATTACCCCTACATTCACACTTACAAATTTTACCTCTTTATAATATTAGTATAGATTTATTTTGTTGCGGGATTCAAGACAGTTAATCGTCGCGCCGGACTTTAGTGTTTCGATGTTTTCAGTGTTGTATCTACTATAGACTAGCTGAACTTCCTGGCTTACTGGGCTGGGTTTTGGGAGGTTGTAAGCTTGTGTAATAACAAAAAATAACATTCGTTTTTGCCACCCGAGTGAGCCGTGCTTGCGCAGACAGCCCAAACGCGGTGCGGTGCCCACCCGTTGTATAAGTATACTCATCGCCATAATGTGCACTATTACAAGCGAGCTCATACCACGTAGCTTGTCTAACACATTTTTTAAATTAATGCCACTCATGAATATCTACGAAACCCGTTGAGATTTGAAAATAATAGAGCTTTTTTCACTTAGTTACGTAAGTCATTGTATTAATTGAGGATGATTCCCTGTAGGTACTAACTTACCAAAAAAATACTACGTCCTAGAAATTAAACTACTACTAAACCAACGAAAAGATGTCGCTGGTATCGGTCGTAAATATTTTTTACTTTGTAATTTACCTTTAAGTTTTTCAGCCATAAGATACACAGAGAGTATCTCATTAACTCCGCCGATACGAGCCGAGTCTATCTGGCAGTACTGCATGCCCCCGCTCTGAAGGAACTGCTTGAACATAACGCGGTTGGCACACATCTCGCCCGTCGCCACTCCGATGTTATAGGGCCTATAAATAAAAAAGGATAAAATATTAATGTACGTAAGTAATACTTTGGGTCTTTTTACAAAATTTTAATAGATTCACATAACTTTTTGTCGATCACGACACCCTACAGCGTAATATTTAGGCGGGTTCTAGAAGAACTGTAACTATCTTTTAATGAGTGAGAGAGATTTTTTTATCCTTTTACGGCGAGATGGAGTGTCATACTCCAACTGACTAAAAGACCACCCCGTTCCTTCTCCTGCTCCGGGCCGAGGCTGCGGTTCATTATTCTATTTTTGCTCACGGGTATCGGCCCCACTCCAAAAGTGCAGTGCAACCATGTTCGCCATTAGATAGTTATTATATTACTGTAATAATTTAAACCTGATAAGAACTTACGCCAAAGCTTTGGAAATGGCAGCGTGTCCTAACACATCGTCCGGCGAGGTGGGCTCTTCAATCCACATCGGGTTCAGAGGAGCCAGCTTCTTCATCCATTCGATAGCTTCGTTCACACTCCACGCTTGATTGGCATCTACCATCTGAAAGTAAATATCAAATGTAGTAGGTAGGTAGGTATAATGTGACTCGTCCGATTCCAATAATTCTCGTTCTAAAAGAATGTTAAAGAGAATTTGAGGGGACAGTCGACATTGAGCAACCATTTTGTTGCCGTGGCAGTTCGCTAGTAAAACAAACGAATAATAAGTGTGGGAGAGCCATGCTTCGGCACGAATGGGTCGGCTCGACCGAAGTGAGCGGCCTCGGCCGGCCGGCCTCACAGAAATCCGGCGTGAAATTACCAAAGATTTGTGTTTCGCCGTGTGAGTGAGGTTACCGGAGGCCCAACGGATTGGGGTAGGGGAAGGATCCTTTCCCAAAATCTCCAAATCCCTAATCCCCAAAAGGTCGAAAACGCACTCGTAACTCCTCCGTCGTTGCGGGTGTCCATGGGCGACGCTGATAGCATACTATCGGAAGCAGATATCTACTATATCTGACGTAACAATGTTCGAAAGCACGACGCGTTGGATTCTCAGCCGAAGTAACTATTTTTGTAGTCAATTTGTTGTTGCACAAATTGTATGTATATTTTCGTATGCATTTTTTGCGTGATTCGGCGGCAAACGGCTAGACCATTTACGTGATGGCAAGTAAACGCCCATTTACAAACGCAATACTAAAGTAATTGGAAGTACTTTGCCGGCCTTTGGAGGATAAGGTGTTTAGGGATTCGGAAGGGATCACTGGTAACCTCATTTACACGGCGAAACACAACGCTGTGGTTGTTTCACGCTGGTTTTATGTGAGCCGACCCTTCCGTGCCGAAAAATACTTCTCCCATACTACATAATATCTACATGCTGCGTACATACCTACCGATGATTACTACAAAAAGATTAATAAATAGTTTTTTTACCACAAAATTTTGTTAACACAATTTTTTAAAGTAAATCGTAATAGAAAGGTCGTATTTCGATCTTACCAAAACATTATCAGGACCGATGCACTTGCGGACAGCGCTGCATCTTCTGTAATCGTCATCGAAGTTAACTCCAACTTTAACTTTGAAATATTTGAAGCCAAGCTTCAGATACTTTTGGCACAATGACTGCACTAGCTCGTCGCTGTAGCCGAGCCAACCTGGAAGATTAAGTAATGTAGTTATACATATCTACGTGTCGGGGTGGCTAGGAGGACGAAGTACCAAGTGTGACTTTTTCCGAGCTAATTAATTACCTAATTTCTATGATTATTTAGACACTACTGACATACAGTGAAGAAAAAGATCGTGAGGAAACCTGGACTTATACTTTCTAATTATACGTTTGAATCCGCCTTGAGTAAGCATGGTGATTAATACTCAAACTTTTTCCGTGTGAGAAGAGGCCTTTGCTCAGCAGTGGGCACTTGTAGGCTGATGATGATGATAGGTAGATCTATACTGATAGTGAACTGTTGATAATTTGCTATCCTGCTAATTTATTGCCATTCGTAAAAGTTCTATTAGTTAGTTAGATAGAAAGGAAAACCGTTTATTACACTGCGAATACATGTACAAGACAGGACACATATAAATGTCAGAAAAATAATACGTTGCAGCTTAAAAGACCATTGCTTAGCTTAATGTTGTAGCCTGGGCACGCAGGCTCAAGTCCACAGCGCTATTTAGCGATTCCCAGCATTAGCCGTTATATCATTTCCACATCAAGTTTTTTTATGGAATTAGAGTAGTAATTGATCTGCGCCGCCTATGGGGGTCATCCATGATGGGCGGCGCTGATCATTTGCAATACTAATGTCAAGTAATAAAATATTAGCTTTACTATTACATCGTGTTGAAACCTGCGATGAGAGCTCTTATTAATTCACGTGAGTTAGCCGTTATTTTTATATAATTAAGTCTCACGATATTTTCTATCTAAAAATAGTATTTAGCTCAAAGTGCTAAAGCCTGCCACTAACAACAGGCAGACTATAGCCATTTACATTACAGATCTGCTGTGATGTAAATTAAAGAGATTATAGGTGACTGTTGGCACGATCATTATCGGTTTATCGTATCAGGTAGTGTAGTGTAGTGAGTACTAGATCAGGCAGTGTTTATTGCGCTATTTAACCATCTCTAATGTAGGTACTCTAAATCCTTAATAAATAAAACAGCTTACCAACTTGTGTTGTATACGCAGGGTATCCGTTTTCCATAAGATACTTCACCCTCTCCTGTTTGCCGGCTTGCTTGTCCTTCAACATTTTGATAGCTTCTTCTTTCGTTATAACATCCGTTATATAACGGAAGTCTATCGTTGATACTAATTGCTGTAATGTCGACATGTATCGTTATTATCATTTTAATCACAACGTCATAAGACCTTTGTTGCTGGAAATAAGCCTACCCAATAACTAGCCGTTATGGGTTAATTAATAGACAGAGTAGGCAACTGTCTAGGGGTCCTTTGCCGTCAAGGCCATAGGCCACTAAGATACAATTTCTTTTGTACGATTTATTAACTTTATAAACGTTAAATATCATATGTTAACTTCCTTCCTTAAATTGAGTAGTAACTTATAATATAAATATTATAATATCTGTAAAAAGAAAAGGGGGCCCTAGAATTGCATTGCGTTATCCGGCCCTGAATGTAGACATTACATAATTACCTATTTAAAATGTTAGACGTCATAATTCATAACCAGTTGTTTGAGGTCTGAGGATGTGCCCGCAATAACACAGATAATTAAATTTACTATTCAAATTGTAATTTATGTTATGTATACAAATGATGGTTAATTATTTTTTTAAGTGTTTAAGTATTAAAGTGTAACCTCTGGTTCCATGTCAACCAGTAGCCTCCAGAGCGGTTTGTTTTCGAGGCGAGCCCATAAATCCCACAAGGAGTTCAGAATAGCTGCCGCAGCCAAGTGTGCCACGCCTTTCTCAGGTCCAATCTGATAGAAAAAAAAAATGATTATGACCTTAAAATGTAATATGGGTAAGTAGAAAGTACCTAAGTGTGTAGGTACTGTGCTTTCACTTAATACTAAATTTTTATATTCTCCAGAATGGCAGATTTTACATACCTGGAAGTCTCGACGAAATCATTAATAGATTTTGAACTTTATAACAGAAGGTTATCTAAGGTTGAAAATGTAAGGTTCAAGATTAGTCAATGCCCACCTGGTTTAACAATTATGATGCCTTTTAATAATAAGTACAATCTTATTATTAAGTTATCTTCATATGTGTATAAAACTAAGTAGAGGGTAAACCAGAGACTACCAAAATAAACTTAGTAATTTACTAATAATAAGTCTTTACCTATGAAATTGCCGTTTTGGATGAAAAAATTTAAACGACTAATCAATAACCAAATGACTACTTTTGGAAAAAGAATCCCATGTTTTTAAAACAAAATTAATTAGCCTTACACCCGGTTTCCGAAAGGCCAATCAATGTTAAAATCAATTTAATCTCTTGTCAAGTCATCTGATTGGTTGACTGAATTATCAACAACCAATCAGATGACTTGACAAGCGATTTAACAGGAGATTAGTTGATTTTAGCGTTGACAAGCCTTTCAGAAACCGGGTGTTAGCCTAACAAAAACTATTTTGATTTGAAATGGCCAGTACTGCAGAACGGCAATTTTATAGGTAAAGACCTAATAACTCAATTGGTGCTAACATTTTTATGTAGGTAGTTCTAACTCACCCATCGCATTTGTGAGTCATTGGTAATAGTCCTCCAGAAGCCAGCGAAGTCAGCGAAGATATCAGCAGCATTCTTTCCGATGATGAATTTCTTCATAGACCTGATGGTGAGGACTATGATCTCGGTGCCACGACCGCAAGTGAAGGTTAAGCCAAATCCTTGCTTACCATTTGCTGTGCTTGTAGTGACGTAGGCACACGAGTAGTTTGGATCAGTGTGCTGAAAAAAATATCCTTTATCTGTACAAAGTTAAAAGTATTTTGGGAGCGGGGCAAGCGTAATAAGGTACCGCGACCTCCGCCTGAAGCAGAAGATGGAACAGGGGGTTTTATCAATAAGAATCTGACACTCCCTCTCGCCTTACCCTGAGCGAGAGGGAATAATTGTTGATGATTTTTTTCTACCAAAAAAAGTTAAAAGAATCTTAGGTATCTGTATATACTTGACGAAGAACCTAGATAATAATCCCCGAGCACCGGTATCCTCTGTGACGTCATCGCTCCGTCGCGTTTCCATCGCTCTAACCCTAAGCGGAATACTTCACTCACTCACTCCATTACAGGTAAAAAAAATTATGAACTTGTTCATATAACGAAGATGGTAAATTTAAATAAATAAATAATGGTAAATTTAAACCTTCTCCGAGTGGGAAGAGGCCTTTGCTCATCAGTGGGCACTTATAGGCTGATGATGATGAAACGAAACTACATACTGCTTCATAATTATTCATCCTTCTTAATTATATTCATTTATAAGTAAAAAATATCACGCACCTATAAGATTTAGTTCTAATCAGTACATTGAAAATGACGTTTTATTTAGCTCAGTTTTAGCTAGCTTGTATTACTTTGTATTAAAAAAGCAAATTAACATGTAGGTAACATAGCTCCATATTATTTATAGATTATTAACTGAATGTAAACAAACCATTAGGAAAAAGAATGTTGACTTACCAAGGCGTCAGATCCGTGAGAGCCCAAGGAGGTGGGAAACCTAACATCCTTCACGTCAATGGTCACAATTTCCAAGCCTCTTCGGTCGGGTATTGGCATTTTGTACAAGTTCTACCGACGACTACAATCAACTGAACGGATAACCCCGACACCACAGTTTGCTATTTGGTTATCATTTGAATAGTATTCATGTTGTTTTCTTTGAGATAAATAAGGGAATGTTTATTTAGGCTTGCCACTACATTTTTAACTTTAACTGTATGTCATATAAGTCGAAATTAACTTGCTATGTCGTAAATGATAACCAATAGTTTTAATGTTGTGTTACATAATGTAATTATCTTCGAACTATGCATATTTTTGTATTGTAGATAGTTGGTTAAAACATGATTGAAGAACAAACAAGATAATTTATTGTTACACCTTCACTTTAAAGTAAACTAGGTAGTTCCATATAAGTTTCCAAATTTGTGTGTGTTGCTTGTTTGTTATTTAGTGACGTATTAAATACTCATTTGTGTTCCAACACCTACACAAATAGATACTTATCATATTAAACAAGGTACCTAAGAGATAACAAATAACAAAACACTTCAAAAAATGATTTATAAAATGTATATTCAATTTCTAAAATCTTAATAACATTTTTGACACCTTGTTACCTGTTTTTACAATAAACACTATTTGTCTTTACAAATCTGTGACTAGATCAAAAATAGTTTCACTTAAAATGTTTCTTGGTATAATATTTTTTAGAATATAATTACAGGCACTTTCATTTGGTTTTCCTTATAATTTAATAAATAAACGCATCAGATGCATGATTGAGCTTCTTTACAATAGCAATTTAATAATCTTTTATATTATAAATCACATAATAGGATTATAACGTTTATTTTTTTTATTCCCCGTAAACCTTATTCTAGTCATCCAAAAATATGAATGATAGCTTTACATTTTTTTTTATGTGTCTATATCACACATTTCGCTTTAGCGAAATTCAATTTCAGCGTTTATTGATATACTGATATCAAATAAAGCTGAACTATAATTAACATCTCTTCCATTATGATTTAAAAACTTCCATACTTGTTTCTAGAAGGAAAGACACAATAAACTTTAAGGAGACATGGCGCGTCGTGTAACGTCTACGTGGAATGTAAGACGGGCGACCTATCGCACCGATAATTTGTATATAGGGCTTTTTTAATATTCTATATTTATGAATTCAGACAGCGGCTCATTTAAAATAGTCAACTGATACAAATAGAGCCCTCAACGACGCCCAACCAACATTAAATGATCTGTTAAGTTACAATAGTAATTAAAAATACTACAAAATATATTATACAGATGTTTCTGTAAAATAAAGGGAATGGTTTTGGAAAGTAGCCATTATCGCCTCCGCTCACCGCTCAATTTATGAAGGAGGTCTCAAAACTAAACTAGTAACAATGTGATGTATTTTTTTCATTCATAGACATAATTTGATGTCATCAATTAGCAAGAGCTTATTGCCTTATTTATAACACATATTTGCTAAGTAAAATCTCACAATTTGAGGAAGTTTGTATATAGGAATATCTTAATTTTACTAATAAAATCAAGCACCTATCATTTCAGATTTTTTCGATAAAAGGTTAAGAAAATAGTAATTTAATTAAACTTTACAATTAGAATAGGTCTTATTCTATACATATCTAAGCAAAAGGCTTATATATGTGTGTTGAAGTTATTATGCTACAATTTCTATTGAGCGTTAAATGACTGACATAGACAAAATGAGACTGATAGTTTCAATGACTCAATGAGACATGTTAGAGAAATCAAGTAGATAAATAAATATATACTGCATTAAGAAATTACATGAAAATTATTTTACAGACTACAACAAATGCTGTGGAAACAATGCATCGACAAGATGTCTTCTGAAGTACAGAAGCTGAACATGTTTATCAATACTTACATGTTTTTAAGCAAATGTAAAAAAAGTGATAAAACTAGCAAATCTAAAGACCAGATCTTTCTTGATTTCAATTCTAACATATCTTCGGATTTTATTTAGAACCTCATTTCATTTTACTCTTGTATATGTTGGACAGGTCTTTGACAACACTTCTCTCTCCTTCACGCCACAGTAGAGTAGCTAGTTGACCCAATGTTGCGTTGTCGTCGTTGTTTACCCACTCCAAAAGTAATTTGTACCGAGCCTGTAACAAATTAAAAAGATATCATGAAGAATTTTTTATCAACTTCAAGTTTGATGAAATCTATACCAATATTATAAAGAGGTAAAATTTGTAAGTTTTGTGTGGGGTAATCTTTGGAACCGTTGGTCGGATTTACAAAATTCTTTCACTGATAGTTAGCTACAATGTTCCTGAGTGTTATAGGCTATAAAACATTCAACACGCTACAGTTAAAAGGAGTCGAGCAGCGGGTGAAACCGCGCGAGAGTAGCTAGATATATCTTTAACTACTTTAATTGAACAACAAGGCTTTGGTATTTAATTTGTGGCTTATTCTCATATGTATATTTAACAAACGTGTCTCTAGTATTACATAAACTAAAACATTTTATTTACAGATCGGCAAACGAGCAGACTGATTACCTGAAGGTAAGCAATCAAGCAATCAGCGCCGCCCATGGACGCTCGTACCTAGTACCAAAGGAGTTACTACAAGCGCGTTGCCAGCCTTTTGGGTCCTTAAATGAGTCCGGTGGATTTAGAAAAGGAGGATCCTGCGATTTTACCCCATGGGATTCCTATTCACGTTGGATTTCAGGACTAACTGATGCTGAACTGAATATCATCAAAATGTAATTTTCAACAAAAAAATCTTAAATAAAATAAATTATTATGTATTATAAAATCCAAACAGGATTCTAAGGAGTATGACATCAACTCATCCAAAAAGTATTTTTTTACTGCTTTATCGTATAAGTGATGAATTTTACCAAGATATGAATTAGATCTATCATCAATTCGACTGGAAAATATTAATGAAAAATTTGAAATAGATCACACCAAACAATCACGTCCTTTCATACAAACTTCCCACCAAATGGGGGGAACAGCATTTAGTGAATTTCGAAAACTCAATTATCGGATGCGTACTGAAAGAAAGAATCCACCCTGCAAGTTTTAGATTTTCATGATCAGCGTGTTGGGGCCAAGCATGATAATTACTTCAAATTGGTCAAGTAGTTTCACAGCCTATTCAGGACAAACAAAATAAAACCTTTCCTTTTTATAATTTAAGCATAGATATATTTTTATTTGTTAGAAGACATGTGCAAGATAAGGTAATAGCATACCTATCCAAACGAAACTGCAAGTCATTTCGGGTCTGTTAAATTCCACACAGAAAATAAAGATAAAATATGGTGAAATTAATATAGATAAATTTCATCAGCTATAGTTTGATTATCAGCACTTACTTTATCAAATTACTTTATATTTATAATGTATCGCTATTATGCAATATCTCTCAAATAGCAATTAGTACATACTCCAAGAAAAGCTTATCAGTTTACACGTATTAAATGTTATTTAGCATGCAAAGCAAGTACCTAATTAATAAGAAATACTAAGCGTGTTTCTAGTGTATTATTTTTATTGTAATGATGTAACTGAAATAATGCACAATTTTAATTAAAAAACAAAAATATTATTTTAATCTATATCATTTTGGGTGACATAAATGCACCATGCTAAAAGTACTTCAACGTAGGGATGGCGGATGTTACACAACCATGGATGCCTACGAAGATAAAGTTTCCATACTTGATAAAGATCGAAAAAACACATCGACATATATATATTTAAAGTAATACTTTACGAATATTGTGACAACTGGTAATATTATTTAGTTAATACTAATATTTAAAGAGTTAAGCTTGTGTTGTGACGTTATGGCGGCTAATATCCGAAATAACTGGCCCGTTCCTAAAATAAATATCTAATAAAATATTAAAACTATGTTCTAAAATTTTAGAGAACTCATCGATATCTACAAAAAAGTTCAAGGGTTCATTTGTCAAACAATCATACAAATGTAACTTTTAAAATTAAAAAGCTGATAAAAAATCCATTTCAGTAACCGCGTAATTCGTACTTTCATATTAATCCTTATACAAATAGAGTATTTCGTACTGAGATCACTTCAATACCTATTAATTACTTTCCGAATGTTTGTATCTGCGTATTGCAGTCAAAAGATATAAAGAATGTCATTTTTTCCTATGACAATGTCTTTTCATAATTATATAAATTGACTTTTTTGTCAATTACAACAAATTCTTGTGTAGATTTACTTTTTATGTATAATCACTGTGTGTGGTTATGGAAACTTTGTGAAGTTTGACTGTATATGTAGTTGACGCGGTGGCTGCCGTGGCTGGGTAATCGGCTACCAGATATGGGTTGATTTAAAGGGGAAAATCATCAAATGACTTTCCCCCGCACAGGATCAGGCGGGAGGGAGTGTCAGTCTTATTGACTGAAAACCCTCCCATTCCTCTTCCTGCTCTGGGCCGAGGCTGCGGTGACTCATTGCGCTCATCAAGCAACCCCGGCTGTTTCGGGTGTGGGTATGTGTATTTTGTAAACGCATCCACGACCCAGGAGAATATTCCAGTGTCATGATCATCAAGGAATCACTTCGTGAATTATTGCATCACGTTCTGCCTATAAAGTAGTTTCTTATTTAATTGCAATTAGATATCTATTTTGTAAAAATATTTGCGTGAATATTTTACATGCAATAAAGATTATAGATGATTTATCGAAATCTATCACGTACATTCCTTATTCACATTATAATACCTACTCGTAAAGGCTCACGTAAAGTGTGAGAGAGTCGTGCCTCGTCCCAAATGGGCCGGCTTGACGGAGTGATATCACGGCCTTGCAGAATACCGGCGGGAAACCAAGCTTTATGTTAACACGTTATAATTCACCGTCCGAGCGAGGTCACCGGAGGTCGGAGGGGGAAACAATAGGTTTCCCTCATCCCCAAAAAAATCCGAAAATGCCTTATCCTATTAACATACTTATTGGGGGCACAAGCTTATTGCCATACACCAGAATATAACACTTTCTACTAGCGACCTTGTTCTTCCGAACGCTGAACAAGGGTAAGTTGTTTGTCATCCAACCAAAACTAGACCAGTGTACGGCGGATGACGATCTGATTAAATGCACGCTGCCCTGGCGCGAATCAGGTGTTGACAGTCTCCCAAACACCATGGCAACTCCTGTAGAGAACATCCCTCAAGCTCCAGCTACCGCAGTAGGAGACACTACGGGCGTCGGGGATCGCGCGAGGATCTCCAGCGACCGTCACCTTGGGTCTACGGACGGCGAGTTACCCTTGCCCGTCACCCGACCAAAACTAAACTGAGGCGTAACGCGTGTTCCACGCACGCTTTAAGAACGACTACAGATGGGCTGTGAATGTTTTGCGGCTTCGGCCTGGAGTAAGAGGTGGAACGGCCTGGGTTTTAGTCAGTAAGAGTCAAATGATTATTGTTCTTTCGCGCTCATAATAAAGTCTTCCGCTATAATGGCTTAAACAATCTAGCTTTTTTGCTAGACAGTTTGCGGGAAAAGTTAGATTTCTTATTAGTACCTACCTAGTATGTAGTAAGTATACAGACCTAGATCCGTTAAGGGCGTTTAGTACTCATCTTTTCTGACATATTTCACTATGGACCACTCTACCTCAAACCTAAGCGTTTTCAAGAAAATTGACAATGATTTTTTTTTATAATAATTGCAGATTTTTTGCCATTAATTAAATTAATTAAGTAAAATTCGAAATTTGTGCGCCTTATTATTATTGATTTTTTACATGCGGTATTAAATGATCTATGAATTAAATAACCAAAATCCTACGTAGATTAACTAAATACGTTGTTCTAGACGTGTTCTAGAAGTGTGGGAGAGCCATGCTTCGGCACGAATGGGTCGGCTCGACCGGAGTGATACCACGGCCTCACAGAAAACCGGCGTGAAATAACTACAGCGTTGTGTTTCGCCGTGTGAGTGAGGTTACCGGAGGCCCAATCCTTCCCCTCCCCCAATCCCTCCTTAATCCCTAAATCTCCAAATCCCTAATCCCTAAAAGGTCGGCAACGCACTCGTAACTCCTCCGTTGCTAGTGTCCATGGGCGGCGCTGATTGCTTACCATCAGGTTATCCGTCTGATCGTTTGCCGACCTATTAAATAAAAATAAAAAAATAGATGATTAAGTAAGTTAAGTTACATAAAAGTAAATATAACTTTACTAGTACTGTATTTCATTATAAGACCATAACTATATCGTTTTTAACTATACATAGTTATACGTAATTGCAATACAAAAATCTGTAGTTCAATTGGACTAAAGCATTACTGGGCACTTACCTCACATATACTGTATCCACGATTAGTTGCATCCAGCTCCGCAGTCTCAATTCTACCCTCCGTGTAACCTAGTGACCTGAAGAAAGTCTTCCAATTTTTCCCAAGGTTTTTTGATATGTAATCCATGTACTCATGTTGAGGCTATAAAAATAAACATGCAATGTTTTTTAAAACATAAAAATAATTACTCCCGTTACAATAATTTGTATGTGTGGATCAGGCAAATGTTCTGTGCCACTGAGTGCAGCATATTACTAGTATACATATACAAAATAAAGCTGTAATTTCTTTATTAAGCACAAGATTGTACACTATTGGACAATGGAGCTTGCTTCATGTATGAAACCATAGTCATATCAATTTTCAGGATTGATGATGATGACATTTTTATGTCTCCATACTAAACATTATAAGAATATCTATGAGTATTATTGTGTTACTTGTTATCATTGATATTTAGACAAACGTTATTGAGGAATGGTAGTTATCTTATCTATGTAAATAAGGGAAAAAGTCTCTACTGTCTGAGAGTTAAGGGCTAGATTTGTAGGTATCATTACTTAATTATTCATATCAGTATTTCAGCAAAACAGCTTTAAACCAGATTTATAAAACTGTAACTAGTTTGTCAGATAAAATACTTAATTAAGGTTAGATTTTTTTTCATTAAGTTTGCTATAATATGCCATTGACATTTTTCCTTATGTGGTTTGCACTCACACATGGTGAAACTAGACACAGACAACATGGTCATAAACTTATTTACCTACTTTTAACTTAGTTTTACTTTTAACTTAGTTAAACTTATTTACCTACTTTTAACTTAGTTTTCTTAGTTTAATTTATTTACCTACTTTTAACTTAGTTTTCTAATTTTAATTTGCAAGTGTAGCTGCTTGCCTTGTTAATACTAGTAAAACACTCACCCGTACTGTAGCCTCCATGAGCAGACAAATATTGTTGTCTTTTTTAATTGGTTCCTCTTCATATTCTTTTCCTTGCTCTGTTTTAGTAACTGGTCCAAAATAGTATGTGTTTCCCAACCGGACTCCACGGGAATTAACTATATTGTAAACAGTTCCACTAGCTAAAAAAAATGACAATTGTTATAGCAAATTTGTGTTCTATATCAAATTTGTAGCTACATAAAGATAATATTTTAGTAAGAAAGTTACTAGTATATAATTGTATTAATAGCTTATGAAAACAAACAAGTCTAATTTATAATAGCTGTTAATAGCTAATTATATAAATTTTACTAGCTGTCCCAGCAAACATTGTTTTTGTCATAAAAATAAGGGTTGATCGTAGAAGGGTGAAAATTGAGGATTGTATGTATTTTTGTATGTTGTATCATAAAAAAATTGAAACTAAAAATTGTCTTAAAAATAAAGAATTTTGGTGTGGAGTACCCCTAACATTTAGGGGGATGAGAAATAGATGTTGGCCGATTCTCATAGATAATGGATATGTACAAAAAATTCCATCAAAATCGGTCAAGACATTTCGGAGGAGTATGGCAACAAAAACTGTGACACGAGAATTTTATATATTAGATATCTTATTGATACTCGTGTTTATTACTCAAGACACAAATGACGCACACAATAATTTAATATTGATGTCGCATTTTACTTCATATGCATACTATCATAAAATGGCAACTTGTCATGAGTAGCTTAATATTTCACGGAACATGGCATGTATTAGACGCACGTACCTTGAACATTTACAGAGCCAGAGCTGCCCCGTTTTTCTTCATATGTCTTCGTATAATCCTCGTCATCATCTATGTCTGGTTTTTTCGCCTTGCTTTTCTTTTTTTTCTTATACGTCTTCTTTTCTTTTTTTATTTCGTCATCAGATAGTGATTCTATAGTGATTTCTTCCTCCTGATCTTCATTTTGATCTTGATTCAAATTATTTCCATCAGGTTGTGATTGTGGTGGTACAGTCTCTGTAGATGGCCTTGGAGCCCTCGGAATTGCATCCGATTTCAACCCCTTAAACATTTCCAAAAGCTTGGATACTTTCATGTTTATGGGAGCCATAAATACAATGTTTTTGGATAAATATATTATATTTATTAGAAACACAAAGAACTTTCCTTTTCCTTATCATCAAACATAGATGTCATAGTCATCAACTAAAATAAACTTTTTTCACTTGAACTTCACAACATTAAGTAACTTTTTAAAGAGTATTACACTGGATAAAGTTGCCTAAATAAATTAAATTAATTAACCTTTTATGACAAAAACAAATAGTTGCAAACTTGCGAAAATATGCACATCGTCCTTCACTTCACAAACAAATTTGAAGTATTTAGTGTTGCCAGAAATCATGCATTTTAGTTTACTTTAGGAATCTTTTTTTAGTTTGTCTTATAGATAAGACCCGAATATATATAATATCATATGTTTTGTTTATTTTATTATTTTTTAAGTTCCACAAAATAATCGGGTTGTTGCTTCGTAAACATAATAAAAAACGTTGTTCACATAGGCCACACTGAAAATTACTCATCAATATTGCTGTCTCGCTCACACTCGGTAGCGCTGCTTTACGATAATGTTTTTACTTTTTTTATGTTATGGGCATCATCGTCTCTTTTGTGTGAATGAATAACATGTTTATCCCCGTGTCTAGTGTTATTATTGGCAGTTTATGTATGTACATCACAACTATCACAGAATGGGGTTTCCCTTTTCCGTCGACATTTTAAACTGCCGTATTCTAAGTAGGTATTCACCTAGGTAATTAAATCGAACTGAATCTAATAAGAAATATCGACTTGAATTGGAAATACTACCTACTACCTAATAAAACAACACAACCACGTGCTCATAGAAAATACACGTAAACAAAGCTTGTCTCGTGTTTCGCCGTGTGAGATCGTCGCCAAATCCCTCAGAAGGCCGGCAAAGCGACAGTGCAATTGTAAAACTTTGGTGCTGCGGCTGTACATACCATGCCGATTGCTTTGGTGCCATGAGGTGATCTCTGACTGCCCCGGCCTGGAGCTGCAGGAAGAGATATCGGCGGCTATTTTTGCGTCTGTCCATAAGAATATTACTTGTTCTTGTATCTAAAAGATCTTAAATATTTTGTAATGAGTCTCTTAATTTGATGAGTAACTTTTGGTACGATTGTTGTGATTGACCAATAATTATAGACAACAAAAACAAAAACAAACCATATAAATAGTAATACCTTGGAAGGTACACTTTTAACTCTTAGAACAGTTAAACTAACTATCAACATAATAAGTTGATAGTTTACCTCATGTAAATAAAGTGAGCCCATTAGCGTATTAGATACTTAGGTACGATCTTACATAAATTCTCTACCGAGAGCCAGGTATGTTATTAGACGCATAATTTTTTCTTTATTACATTAAAACCTTTCCTTCACACTTGGATTTTGACCTGTGTTGTGGTTGCGGTTACAAAAATACAACTTCACTTAAGTACACAATACACATAGAACCGGAACAACAATTTATGAATTACACAAAGAGTTGTTCCCTGCGGGTATCGAACCCGCGACACGTTGCGCGGCAGCCAGTTGCCGAACCACCGCGCTAACCATGCAGTCAAAATTACATTAAGTACCTACTTTACTTCAGTACTTCTTTCTTTTAACTACTCACATGCGAGCTATGTGTTGTTATAAATCAGCTGTTGTTATGCTATTGACCATTGACTGACAACTATGGATATGACCACAATGTAAATAAAGCGATTGTGATCAACTGACAAAATTCCATTTTTAAAAATAAGTCCAAATTGACATTTGGTCTCAATGTCAGCGCTATCGCAAAATTTTACATTTACTTACTTTACTCTTTTATAAAAATGGATAAAAAGGATTGTGACTCAAAGTTTTCCTTTTCGTTGTCATTGTTAAATATATTTAAATTAAGACTTTTTGATACAATTTACGCTAAAGGTCCAGCTAGTGAAATCCACTCTCCTCGGAAGGAGCATTGGCAACATTCCGGATCTCCACGAAAATCGCCAAAGGATGCATGTTCCGCGGTTGGTGTCCAAAAAGACCCGTGTGCCGACAAGTCTGCCGGTGGTGATGCACCTTTCAATAAAGCGTGCAAATGTAGGCCAGATGGAAAGAGCTCAGCTGGTGACCGAGGTAAAACGGGAGCTGGAGTAACGGGTTCCAGGGCAGGACGGACTTGTGAAAAGGATTCTGACAATCTTCCAGCAGGTGCAATAAACCCAGGCCTTCTACGGCATATTCATAACGCAGCTCGATATAGATTACCCCAGTGTTTCGAAGGAGCCTGTGTATCAGTAAAACATAGTGCGAAATCGAACTGGGTGTTTGGGCATTCACTTTCATTTAGTTCTGTGTCACCAGGAGGTTATAAGGTTCTGATGTCTTACGTAGATAAAGAAAAGCCGGCTTCTTTGCCTTACTTTGTAATGGAAGCAGCGCCTGGTGGCCAAATGAGCTGTGAAATGCGGGTGAATCCCACTCAAGGCACGAGGGCAACAGTGGTTGCACAAATAGCTGAAGGAGAATTCTATAGTTTCGAGAGCATCATGGATGCTTACTTTAACAGGTTTACAGCTTCTGTAATCGCTGTGAACCGAGAGTTTATTGCGCTCCATTATCTTCAGGTAATCTTCATTTCTCCGTTACTAAATGATCCATCCATCCTCCCATGATGATAAAAAAATATCCACGATACCTATATTCAGATTTAGCTACATTAGTTTGTATAGTAAGTAGTGAACTCCTTTAAAAGATAGCTTTAGCCATTCACGGTATCTTCTTCATGGAAAATCTATTTGTAAAAATAGCACTTCGCCAATTCTGATGCTTCGCAAGGGTATGTTGCTTTGCGGATGCAAGCGCAATTAATGATGTAACATTGCCCAGCTTGGAGCAAAAGAAGGAATGGAGTGGTTTTTATCAGTAAGAGACTTTTACTCCCTCTCGGTCCTCGCCTTATCCAGAGTTATCCAGAGCGGGAGAAGTAGTTATATGATTTTCTGATATAGAAGAACCTTCCCTATTATTTATTTATTTATTTATTTATTTATTATTTGGAGGACCAACAGCATTAACATTTATTAATTATATAACAAATTATGTAACATGCAGCCAATTATAGGTCCCCACTTTTAAGCTATTGTAAACATTACAATTACAACGTGTGCAGACACAAAGTAATAAATTACACTGTAATACACAACTACAAAGTTCAATCAAATAAGATGTTTTTTAAAGAAATCACGGCTCAGCATCCTTCTCACTGATGCATGGTTATCATTAAATATGTCAATGTCATGTGACTTACATGATATGTTTAGTGACTTTCCTGCTCGCCACAAAAAACTATTCCGTCTATAGTTTGATGACGCTAATGGTAGATGGATCGGTTTATAATGTCGTGTCACTATAGCTGGAACATTTATACTAACTTTAGAAAGAAGTTCGGGGCTGTCAATTTTATTAGCGAGTATCTTTAACAGAAAAGTAGTATCGGCGATTTCTCTTCTATTTGCTAATGGAAGGAGATGAAATTTAGCGCACAATTTTAAATAGTCACTGGATTTGTATTCAGTCCTGGTACGGTAGCACAAATATCTTATAAATCTTTTTTGTATTCCTTCTAATCTAATTATATATTTATCATATATGGGGTTCCAAATTTGGGAACCATACTCTAATATACTCCTGACAAACGTACAATACAATATTTTAAATGTTTCAGCTTCCTTGAAAGATGATGACATTCGCATCACAAACCCAAGAGCTTGAGAAGCTTTTTTCACAATACTGTCAATATGTTCATTAAATAACAGCTTGTTATCAAATATCACGCCGAGATCACGAATTTTGTCACATGTACTAATCTTCTGACCCTTCAACGTATAGTGGGAGGAAACAGTGTTATTCTTCCTGGTGAAAGTGACAACAGAGCACTTAGATGGATTCAGGTCTAACATATTTTTAGTGCAGTAATTATCAAGACGTAACAAGTCAGCTTGAAGAGCCTGAACATCATTGTTAGATGATATAGTAGTAAAAATTTTCATATCATCAGCGAAACAAAGTAACCTGGAAGAGTGAAAACAGTCACCAATGTCGTTCACAAAGATTACGAATAGTAATGGGCCCAAAAGAGAGCCTTGAGGGACACCGCTAGGCACGGTTACCCAGCTGGATATATAATTTTTTATAGCAACTGCTTGTGATCTATTAGAAATGTAAGATATGAACCATCTCAGCAGGTCTCCCCGTATGCCCATTGAACTAAGTTTATGAATCAAAGTGCAATGATCAATTCTATCGAAACATTTACTGTAATCAGTGTAAACGACATCGATCTGTTTACCCCTGCACATGTTATCAGTAATGAAGTCCTCCAGAATTACGAGGTTTGATACTGTAGATCTACTTCTAACAAATCCATGCTGACAATCATTAAATGAATTCCTCAATGCAGCATATAATTGCGTGTGAATCACCTTTTCAAATAACTTTGCTATTAAACACAATTTAGAAATAGGTCGATAATTAGTTACGTCCGCTTTCGAACCTTTTTTATGAATCGGAGTTATAAACGCTTGTTTCCATATTGTTGGCATAACACACTCGTGTAATGACTTCTCAAATAGCAACAATATGGGCAAAGAGATAGTGTCAGCACAATTTACCAATAGGATAGGAGGCACACGATCTGGCCCGGCCGACTTGTTAATATCTAATGACTTTAATAATTTAATGAGTTCATTGCGTTTAATCACTATGTTGGAAATATTCACGGCCGTTTTATCACAACTATCAAAATCAGGATAGAATAAGGTTTGAGAAGATGGTAAGAAAGTCGAGTAAAAATAATCCGAGAACAGATTGCAAATATCAGTACCCTCACCCGCAATTTTATTGCCGTAAGTTAACGAGCTCGGTATGTTAGAAGTGTTAGACCGGGATTTGACGAACTTCCAAAAATATTTCGGGTCAGTCCTAATAGAACTTTCCACCATCTTTATATGTTTAAGATAACATTCACTCTCTAATCTTTTCACTCTTTCCCTCAATAATTCAAAAGTAGCCTTATCAGACAAGTTACCATAAGTTTTAAACTTTTTTAAAAACTTATGCTTTTCTTTTAATACTTTCTTTAAGGCAGCAGTATACCAGATAGGGTAAGTATCATTCTTACATGTTTTGGAGGGTATATTCCTATTAATAATAGCGTTTAAATTTGAATAAAAACAATTCACAGCTGACTCAATAGATTTATGTTTAAATTCGTCATACCAGTTAATCTCCGATATTTCCTTATTAATTTTATTGTAATCACCCTTTCGGTATATGTATTTTATACATAATTCCGATTTTAAATAGGTGACTTGAAAGAAACATACATCAATGTTCAGTGCATTATGATGAGGATCAATGGTTATGGTGGATTATGTTGGCACTCTGTTTGACTTTGTGTGTTTTTGCATCAAAAATAAAATAAATCGTCTCGGTAACTAAAATGTAGCAGATAGTCGTAGCTAGTTTGCACTAGTTATAGTTTTATAACAAGAAACTAAAAACATAAGGTTCTTTGTGTCCGGGGAAAATCATCAAATTACTTGTCCCACCCAGGGTAAGGCGAGAGAGAGTGTCAGACTCTTACTGACTAAAATCCCCCGTTCCTTCTGCTGCTTTGGGCCAAGGCCGCGGTGCCACATTGTGAAATACATAAGGCTGTTTTCACAATACGTGAATTGATTTGTTGTTGCAGGCTGTGACAGATCAACTATCTCTGGGTGCGGAGGTGGTGGCTCGCGGTCAGTCTGCGGAGCTGAGCTCTGCGTCGGGTGCCGGTCGCTGGATCAGCGAGGACCATTCTATCAGTGCAACGCTTGGCAACAGGGGCTTGGATCTTTGTTACGCTAGAGATATTAAGCCCTTTCTCACCGTTGCTGCAATGCTTGAGGTGAATATTGTTAAAAGATTTAGTTTAAGTGTGCTGAATGTGGGTTATCAATTTGCTTTATAAACGGATTTGGAAAGTAAGAAGGTTAGCTACCGAAAAACAGAAAATAGCTATCTTTCTTTAAAATAGAAAATTGATTGGAGATTTTCGATAAAAATACACGCGACGACGCTACGCGCACGCTACTCATGACTAAGCCCCGTTGTAAATTGCAACTAGTAGAGAATGTCTCAATTACCAAAATTAACAAATTGACAAAAACGGTATGATCTTAAGAGAAACGACACGACATCCTTACCTTCCGCCTGACCCAGGGACCTACAGGACACGGAAGTTTCTGGAGGTATCTTTTACAGCGGGAGTAAACGACCGGCTGTTGTCACTGTAAGCCACATAGCCAGGCGCGAGAAATGAGGACACGCTGGTTCTCAGTCAAAGCACACTGTATGTGTATGTGTCTTTCGGTTGGTTCTCGCAGTGACGATACTCTGGAGTTCTTTCCCGCTGTACCCTAAACAGGTATCTCGCGAAACTTGTAAGCGCCTGCGTCAGTCACAAGGTGAGGATGCCGTGGCGTCTAGTAACTCCTGAAGTACAGTTAACAACAAGCTCGAAACATCAATTTCTGTATTATAAAATGCAACATCTGCACGAATAGAACTATTTAAAATATTTATTTCAGGTGGGATTCGCAATCCGGCGCGCGGTAGCAACACTGGCCTACGAGTGGCACACAGAGGAGTGGACGGTGCGCGGTTCGGCAGACTCCGACGGTCTAGTGGGAGCTACGTTACAGAGGTCACTCGGAGGCAAGAGGTCACAGCTTGCATGCGCCATATCGGCACTCCTCAACCATCCTAATGATAAGTTTAGGCTCGGGTTTGGAGTTACAGCCGCGATTTTTTAGATATACTGGGCTAAGCAGACTGCATCCTCAGCTTGTCACTAAATAGGTATGATAAGTGTTAATTATAACTTGGTAGGTAGCGATTTGTTTCGTTATCGTACCTTCAACGAATGGACATATAATTTTCAGTAAGGTTCTTGGAGGAATAGTCCAAACAAAAATGAGTCTACGAACTCTTTCGGGATATAATGAAAAATCTGTTTGTAAATGTTGTTGATTGTGATATGGTAGCCAAGTTCTTAGATCCCAGTAATTTGTTTTAGGCATGTCTTATGTATGGTTTTAGCGTCTTCTATTGTTATCATGTTTGTTGTCAACCAAAATACATATGTTTTTATTAGGTTCTTACAATTCTTTACCTTTGTATAAAATTTTATATGGATTTCTGACCTGTACTTTACACTTATCAGTGGAATTTGACCACACATGCCTACTGGTGTAGGAGAGTTTTAACATTATTTTGATTTCCAATCGAAACTGTTATTGTAATACTTATTCATATTTACTCTAATGTTGGTACTGTAATGTTAATTGTTTGTAGTAAATAGGTTTTATTTGCATATGTCGTTTTTATTTGTATCGTTGTTGTGTTTAGACCTTTATAGAGGTATTTACTTCTTCTTTACACACGTTTTGTAAATATATTTTTTTTGTAATATTCTTTCTTAAAATATTGATTTGTTCTTGTCGTTTGCAATTATTAATAAATATACACTTTTCCTGATGAAGTGACAAATAAAATTTTTAATTTTGCTCAGTATTGGCTTAAAGCTTACCCCTCGTTCAGCTGTAGTTCATCTACATGATTCGCGTTTATTATTTTGAAGGCACGAAACATTCACAGGCTGTCCTCACAATTTAATAATGCACACAAACACTAGAAAACACTATTAAAAATTCATTTCCAATGTAACGATAATGTAGGCGTGTATTATCCGCCGTCGGGTGCGTCAGTGCATCCCGGCAGCGACGCGTTGGGCGGGCGCCTGCGCGACTTTTGGGCGGGGTTTCAATCGCCGCCCTAACGCTATACGCATACAATAATGGACTTTACATCGTAAAAATAAAGTGTTATTTGATGTAAATAGGGTTTGAGTTTGGTAGTGTGGGCGTAGGGAGCTCCACTGCTGCAGTGTGTATTCCGTAGAGCGTGTCAAGCGAGGCGAGCGCGCGGCGCCGCGTGTCGGCGGCAGTAATGGTGATGGAGCGGCTGGCGGACTTCGTGAGCAAGTCGCTGGAGGGTGGCGAGGCGCCGGCGCCGCCGCCCGAGCCCGGCGACGCTGATGACGCTGACGATGTGGAGGTGGACATCACGGAGCTGGAGGAGAAGGCGCCGCCGCCGAAGCGCCCGCGGAACTGGCTGCTGTCGCCCGTGCCCACGCACCACTGCAAGCGAGAGCAGCCGCCCGACGATGATGATGACCACAGGCATGGTGAGTTACCAGCTCATTCTATATCCAGGACATGTTAGCTATAGTGACCACACGCTTTCTTAATCACTAAAACTTATTCAGACTAAAGCACAACTCTACACATTTAATTAATCCATAAAGAAGGATTTTCGTTATAAAGATTAAAATAGGGTAATTTTAAAATAATAACATGTAGGTAAATAATTAATGTAAATTACATGCAATTAGGAACAAATGGACTGAAATAGTTATTTTGAGTGAAATTTCAATCTGGGGTAGGGAGGTACTGTAGGTACAGAGCTAATGTTGCTTAAATAATGTATCGTTGATGTTGGTGTTATTCCAGACTGAATACTACACTAGACTATTTTTGTAGTTTTTACGTAAATAAGTGACAAAGATCACACATCCACAGATAGGACCTGTCTTATAAGGCTGCGTAATAACAGATAATGGCACTTGTAATGTTTTTTTTTTTAATTTTTGTTGCTACACCGACGACCCTTAGATCACAAATTAGTCAGTTTCACTAAACAGGTGAAAAAGTTTGTAAACACGAAGGTAATAAATATTAATTACGAAGCATTTAAAACTTCAAAAAAAGAACGTACTCGTTCCTACGTACTTGCATGCAGATCTAAGCGATAAGTACATAATTTACCTATTTTCTATTCTATGTGATATAGTAGAGGAGTGGTTAAAGGGCCGGCCACGCACTTCTTATGTCACGTTTCCATGGGTGGCATTGATCACTTACCATCAGGTTAGGTGTCTGCTCGTTCCTACTATTTCTTTAAAAAAGTTACAGTAACACTTTAAACTGATTGAGTCACGTTTGAAAATTCAGGCAATCACATCCAACTTTTTATATTTTAGACAAATGCTTTACCTTAGTCCAGATATTAGTTAACTGTAATATTTCTAGCGATGGCACAATATTATATAGTTAGCATTACTTTCGATGCCGAATCAAGGATTCATGTAATTGTAGGTATACCATTTGGTTAATTATGAAGTTTAATTTATGTGCCTAATTTTTTACCCTTTTTAAATATTTTTGTAATAATTCCTAAATAATTTGGGGAAGCTGTACAGTGGCAGTAGGGTACTTTCCAAATGGTCAAATTATTGTGATTTTGTTTCTGAAATATCAAAAACTACAATTTGGATCGTCCTTGAAGCAGAAAACGTGAAATAACGCTTGCATTGTGTTTCGTCGTATGAGTAAGGTTACCGGCGGCCCAGTCCTTTTCCTTCCCTTTCTCCAATCCCCAATTTCCCAATCCTGAAATTCTAATAATAACCCCTAAAAGGGCGGCAGCGAACTTGTACCCCCCTTTAGTGTAGCCAGTATCCATGGACGGCACGGCGTTAGATCGATTGGCACCATGTACCATAAAAAAATATCGCAATAGACAATCGATTTATCTCGTCTCAAATTGGTCTATATTGTAGTATTTTTTTTTTTTAGCAGATCAATAAGTGATATTTGTCGTAAAATAATTATGGCGTCACAACGTGCAAAACATAGAAAATTTTATTCCTGTGTTAATCCGGCTATGAATCACGAATAACATTATTTTTTTCTTAAAATTTACGAATATTAAGAATACCATAAAATTAACGTATTTTATGGTTTTATAAGGTTTTTTTTGACTTCTTTTTGACTGAGAAAAGTATCCAATACGAGACTATACCTGAGATAAATTGGATTCTATTGCAATTTTATGGTACATGGTAGAAATAGAGCTGACGGTTCACCTGATACTCCTGATAGAAAGTAAGCAATCGATGCCGTCCATGGAAACCTGCTATATTATAGGAGGTAAAAGTACGTTGCCGCCATTTTCGGAGTTGTTATTAGAATTTCAGGATTGGAACTGTGTGCTGTCAGCGAATGTATGATATTCGACATGACAAAATTAAATCAAATGTCTTTAATGCATCTATAGTGTAAGAAGGTGGTATACAATTTTAATAAATCTATCAACTTTAGGCCCTATTCATGTCGGGCCCCACAAAGGTCTTGTAAATGAATTACAAAAATATATAACATTTATCAAGGAAAGGCATTTTTTAATTATTAAATTTTCCTATATTTCTTTAAATTAATAGTTGCATATTTTATTTTTAAAAAGGTACAGTTACAGAATACAGAGTAGTTATAGTTAAGATTAGTTTAATACCTACATTATACTATTTTTAAATCTTCACTCAAATTACTGCTGTACACAGCACTTAAATTAATACATCTTCATAAAGAGGTTAAACAAAAAAGGCAATAATTAAATGGTAACAACAACAATACAGCAATATTGAACAAGTAGGTAGGTACATACTTAGATTATCTTAAGTGAGTATTAACAAATTATGTAAGGATTTCATAAAACTGTGGTGACCATGCGCAAACATATCAACATGAGAACATACATCACTATATTGTCTACACATTCGGAATAATGAGTTATTATGGGATACATTATTATTACTGGTTGGTATTCGAAGGAGCTGCGGAGCGCACACAGATCGAGTAGGTACCTTAAAGTGCAAACGACTTAGGAGTGTGCTTAAATAAGCCATTACAGTTCTTATAAAAGGTGGAAATATCGCTCATCCATCTCCTTTTATCCAATCCGACCATGTTGAAATGACGAAATCGAGCTTCGTATTCGGGTATTTTACGCCGTAAGCCGTATTTTGTACTTAAACTTCTGACAAATCGTCTCTGAACAGATTCTATACCTACGTGAGTTTTATATATTGGAGCCCACACAGATGCGCAGTATTCAACAATATTCCTAGCTTAAGCACATTATAGAGTTATCAATGGAATAGCTTGTTTAAAAGGTTTTCTATTCCGGAGCACGAACGATAATATACGATTAGCCCTATTGCAAAAGACATGGTCAAGTCAAAGATTACACCCAAGTCACGAAATTTTTTTACTCTGTCCATAATTGTAATTGAGGGGTGTTTTCATTTTAGTAAATGATATAACCTGGCACCTTTTTATGTTAAGCGACATAATTTGACTGCACGGTTGGCGCGGTGGCTGGGCAACTGACTGCCGTGCAACGTGTCGTCAATCGTACTAATGTGCGATTGAAGAGCGTCACAGTCTTGGTGGTTAAAGATCCGCCTGAAGATTTTTATATCGTCAGCATAGGCTAAACATTCACTGTTTATTTGAGCCAGTAAATCATTTATAAATATTAAGAACAATAATTACTTTAGTTACTTAATTTATTTTGTACCTATACATTCAAATGATTATTGAATTTAAATTATTTATTATACCATCAAACCAATTCGGCATAAATACCAAAATATCTATAGTATTATCAAATTAAAAAACCTACGATGAATGCTGGTGCACATCTGTTGGTGGGTGGGGTTATTTTTATGCGTGGTCCTTTTTTATATCATCCGACAGCAAATATGAAACAAAATGATAGAGATAATGAAGGTGGCCCAGAGGTTAAGGCTCCCGCTTCTCATGCCTTGGAGTTTGGGTTCCAAACCTGGTAGGTATTGTGAAATTTTCTGTTCATCCATACCTACATATAATAGAAAAATCACACCTTAAGTGTGTTTCGACATCATTGACAAGCGGTGAAGGGTATATAATTTCTAATAATAAGTGCCATGCTTGCCACCACCAATTTATCAATGGTAGGGGCAAGTGGTGATTAATTCTCAAACCTTCTTGAGAATAGCGTCTTGGCTGACCAGTGAGCACTTATATGCTGATGATGAGAAATGATGAATGAAGTTCAATCAGTCTAGAATCTAGTCCTTGTGTGCAGTCAGAAACAGACCGTATCTAGCTTGATTTCAGATCAAACTTTAAAGTTTTTGCTAGGCTAACCTTTGGACAGCCTGCCAAAGTAGGCTAGGCGGAAATGACATTCAGAAGCTTCCGCTACATTCAAGAAATTTGTTAGGTCACACGGCACACCAAATAAAAAAAAGGGACCCGTGTAACTGGGTCCCTTCGCCCAAGACTAGTTTTCAACCGCAATGAAAATTATAATATTTTGGCTGACTTAGTAATTTAGACAACAATTAAGATATGTAGAGGTAAATAATGTTAATAATAAAAAGAAATCTCTTAAATTAGTAACTCGAACAGAAAATATTACTTAAATATTTCTTCATTTATCCAAAGGTGACCTTTTCATTTATTCCAACTAAACCATAAATAGGTACTTTTGAAACGAAAGTACCTAGTCTGTCAATCTGTTTTTCAGTGAAACTAGGTGCTAGTTGGTGAAGGAATAGAGCTCATGTTACATATCTAATAACTAATTTGTCTATAACAAACCGGCTTTATAGTAATAATCTTCTCATCATCATCATCATCAGCCTATAAATGCCCACTGCTGAGCAAATGCCTCTTCTCATACGGAGAAGGTTAGAGCATTAATCACCACGCTTGCTCAATGCGGGTTGGCGATTTCAAACAATTGGCGATTTCCAGGTTTCCTCACGATGTTTACCTTCACCGTATGTCAGTGGTGTCTAAATAATCATAGAAAGTACATATAACTCGGAAAAAGTCACATTGGTACTTGCCAGGTTTTGAACCCTCATGCATGAGAAGCGGGCTCCTTAACCTCCGGGCCACCACGACATTAGGAACAATCTTCTATTGTCGACTAATTTCTATTCATCTACATGCTCCATATAGGTACTCGTACTATAACCTATATGGAGCTACGTATGTACTAATTCTAGGCACCAAAACTTGTAAATCTAACATTACCCTCAAACGTACATTTAATGTTCACGCAATCATAAAATATTTTTTCAAACTTTATGGCCACAAAGTAAGTGATTCCAACTAATACTACCGCATTTCACCTGGTCTCTCTAGTTACATTAAACATAATTTTTAATCTTATTAAAAATTCTTTAATTACAATTACTTATTAAGGCTGACAACACAACAATCGAGTCATTCAAATTAGAATATTCCTTAATTTTTTTTAACTAACACTGGTTTTGTTCACTAACATGGAACTAGTTAACCCGAAGTAGAATTTTAGAATACCTAATATAAGGTATCTTAGGTTTTTTACGTGGACAAGTGTGGGAGAGCCATGTTTCGGCACGAATGGGTCGGCTCGACCGGAGCGATACCGCGGCCTCGGAGCGGTACCGTAATACCACAGCGTTGTGTTTCGCTGTGTAAGTGAGGTTACCGGGCGCCCAATCTTTCCCCGACCCCAATCCCTCCCCATTCCCAAAATCTCCATTTCCCTAATCCCCAAAAGGTCAGCAACGCACTCGTAATTCCTCCGTCATTGCGGGTGTCTATGGTCGACGGTGGTTGCTTACCATCAGATAATCCGTTTGCTCGTTTGCCGACCTATCACATAAAAAAACATGTTCAAGAAAGGCAATAAAATAGACCTGTACTGTAGCTGTAGCTTTCAGTAAAACTCAATTTATCTATAATTGATTACACCTAAAAGCGTAATTTTTAAACGATCATTAATTATATTAAAGCGCGGATTATCACCGAACAGAGTGCGAGAAGAAAGCTCGGAATGGATATCCGTGAAAGAGTTCTCAATCAAATAAATCAGACCCTCGACGACTTTAACAGGGGTTATAGTTAGCGCTGTACAATTAATCACTGTTCGCTGGTCGTAAGATGTCTGAGGAGTTCGGATGCCCCGGAGACGAAAGGGGAGAGCGGGTGTGGCTCACAGCGCCGCCCACAGCCGGATAATCCCTCCATTTACATAATTGCCGTATAAAAAGGAGAGCTTCCCAATTTGCTAAATTGCTTCAAACGACAATCTTAAACGTACAGCCGGTTTGTTCCCGAGAGGCGAGAGCAGAGCCGCCCGCGTCTCGCGTCGCTGGAGTGGGACCCGATTAACGATGTATTAGCACTTCTCTAATTTATTTCTTGATCAATTTAACTGGTCCACTTCTCACAGTATGAAATGAAGACTATGTCTAGTTATTGTCTATACTTTACAGGGTTTTATTTCGCTAATCTTATATTTATTTGAAGCGTATCCTTCGATATAGAAATTAGAAATAGAAGTTTTTTAATGGATGGGAACGAACGTACGTGCTGCGCAGATATCATGTAAATATATATGGTGCTAGAATCTGTTAGTCATACCCTGATTATTCATAAACCAATTTCTATCGTAATTCTACAACATAATTCAACAGCAGTAAAACTGAGTAGAGCTGTACTCGGAACGGAACCGTTATTTCGTAACTCAATTACGAGCGGACTACGACGCTACGGCGCTACGATGCTATGTCGCCGCTACGAGAAATGCTACGACAACATCCCGTAGTCACATTTAAAGTTAGTATTACAGTTTAACATTTTCGTTTGAATAAAACATTGGGGTTGCGTTTTCATAGGATTCAATTACGTAGTGTTACAAACTCCTTCGTCCACTAATCTCGAGTTGTGGTTAAATGTGTCACTTCCTTTGAAAGCTGTTTAATACTGAAAGATTGTTCGTATGATTAATAATTATTTTCTATACTTGCTCAGTTTATTTAATTCTACTAAATAAAATAATAAATAATTAATTTGCATTCACTTTGCCTTGATCAGCATGTGGTCACTCGCGGCGTTTAGATGTATTGTTTAAGCTTTTTTTTTTTAAATCGGTTTCCTGTTCCTTGTCCCTTTATCTTCTCTATAACTGTATTTCAAAAGTATTGGGGTATTACAGCATCCCTGTGGGAGTCGACCCTCCGCCTCATATAAAATGTTGATTTAAACGGCACTTGTGTTTTGATTTAATCTATTAATACTTATGACATGAATCGGATTGTTTTTTTTTAAACAATCAGTATACGTACATTTTATTGAATTATGCCGTACTTATGTTACAGATCTTGTCGCGTCTAAGGAGGACAAGTATGTCTTAATAAAGAGAATAGTAGGTACGACGCCGTTAGTATGTGCACGCTTTTAAAACTACCTTACTTAATATACAAGGAAATAAGTGAGTTAAATATGGACTATTTATTTAATCTCCAATTAAAAATGTTTCGGATTTCGGCAAATATATTTAACGAACTATTTAGAAATTTCGAATGGTTACAGTTTTGCTCATCTATGTGGACCAGTATTAAAAACCCACAGAGAGACCCAAAAAACGTTTACCATAATTTTTTGGGTTTCCGAATCCAAAGGGCTACTTTGCCCGTCTGTCTGTCGCGAGGCTTTATCTTATACTTTTACCACTACGCCAACAAACATAAAATACAAATAATTTCAAGGGTCTCCCATGCAACAAACGTGATTATAGTGCGTGCACGAGTCTGATTAGTATTCAAGTAGTTGTTTTTTATGAAAACATTTCTGGAAATTTAATAATTCCTTTCCTTACCAGATGCAACAGACAAATCTCCCAATGGCAGTAACAACAATGGAGGGGGCAAACAGAGACGTTCGCGGACGAACTTCACATTGGAACAGCTCGGTGAACTGGAGCGGCTGTTTGACGAGACCCACTACCCTGACGCCTTCATGAGGGAGGAACTCAGTCAGCGGCTGGGACTCAGTGAAGCTAGAGTTCAGGTAAGGACATTTTGTAAGTACTGAGTCAGCTAGTACTGCTTGACTTTCATTGGCGCCCTTTGTGCTGCCCTTCTTAATGTATTTCCCTCTTTTTTTTATTGAATGGAACTAACTCCCCACTTCTATGTTGTCGATTATACTGCCAGTATTACGTGATGACGGCAGATTAATCAAGCGTCGAACTTAACATTGTGCCAGTGCCACACATGGATAAATATACAATTAATTTAATACCTAATCAGAAAACATAGTCATTCACAGGGACGTATACGAAAGACAAGGAGATAGGTATACATTGTAATATGTATTGTTAAGTTTACCTTAATTTATGCACGCCTACATGTATCTTATAAAATAGAATATTTCTATGGAATATTTATTTAACTTTGACGAATTAAATTGCTTGGGAAAAACACGAACAGAAAACAGAGAGGTTAGCTATTTTGCAACTAAAGTTAGTTAGCTATTTTGCACCCTGACCGCACAGACAGGACACAGGTTAAGTATCGTTCAATAAATAATTAAAAAAAATATTAAGTAATTTTTTTTTCAAATAGCACAAAAATTCGTGGCGATTAGATTTTATCTAGGAAACTACTACTTACTTATTTAGTATTCAAGTATTGAAACTTCTTGCATGTAATTATCAATTTATAACTGTGTTGCCATCGTTTAAATCATTTACTAGCAACGGCATTGCGTGCAAACTCTCCATATATGTATGTAAGTTGTTTACAAAATGCAAATTACTATTACGTTCAGAATATTGAGATGTTTATGTTCAAATGTTATCTTTACACGGTAGTAGTAGTAGTTTGTAAGGTGGAAAATAATTTATAGGTATATTGACTTTTCAATGCAATTTATTGTAAAAATATAAACAGAGAGCAGTCAATTATCGATTTAATTAGGGTTACATTATTTTATGTATTTTCTGATTGAAGGTATGTCGTCATAATATGTTGCCGTTTCATAGAAAAATCAAACAACAATATCGTTTCGGACATTTCGATAAATGTATTGAATTCGATTAGTTGGAAACTACCGTGTCGTGTACCTACACTTCATTCACAGTACAGAATTAGAATTAGAATTGAGTTTCATAGTCGGACAGTTACTCACATTTATAACTAGCCACTCGCCCCGGCTTTGCATGGGTGCAATGCTGATACTGAATTTCTCCAGTGGATTTATGTTTTCTATTATACATACAAATCGTCCTCTACAATGATTAAAAAAAACGCATCAAAATCCGTTGCGTAGTTTTTAAGGTAATCGACACACAAGGATATAGAGACAGAAAATGTCACTTATTTTTTATGTTTACGTGTCGTGATGACAAAAGTACTAAAGGGTGGAGAGCCACGCTTCGGCACGAATGGGTCGCCAAGACCGGAGTGATACCACGGCCTCACAGAAAACAGGTGTAAAACAACTAAGCGTTGGGTTTCGCTGTGTGAGTGAGGTTATCGTAGGCCCGACCCTTCCCCTCCCCCAATCCCTTATCCCCAAAAGATCGCAAACGCACTCGAAACTCATCCATTGTTGCGGGTGTCCATGGGCGGCGTTGATTGCTTACCATCAGGTAAACCCATTTGCTAGTTAGATGACCTATCACAAAAAAGGGAACGATCACTCGTAAAGTTATATGACGTCATATTATAATGAGCGTCACAAATATCAATTAACTGCATTAGCAGCTACTCAACACGAACACATTTAATGCTTGTGATAGTCGTTGATATTATCACGTGCGATATTAATTACAATACAGCAATATCTCCTACCCCTGCTTGTTAATTCGGTGCGTTTAGAGTGTGGGGATGGTACATAAGCGGTGCGAGTAGCGATTTTTATGAAATGATAAATGTACTGGTTATTTTAAAAGAAGAAGTGATAATTTTCAAGTATTCTCGAATATGAATATGGAGTATCTTTGGCAAAATTTGCATAAATATAATATTTTTTTAGTGGGGACAATCATCGAATTATTACTTTTGCCCTGGGTGAGGCGAGAGGCAGTATCAGACTCTTGCTGAGCCTTCCTTCTCCTGCTCCGAGCTGGGGCCGCGGTACATTATTACACTTACATCCGCAACTCTTGAAATGTAATTCTGACGTTCAATCTGCTTAGAAACCGTATAATCTCTCATATAAAACCACTCAAACTCCGTACGCAGATACACCTAAATGTTTAATTACAAAACCACATGTTGTAGTTTCTAAAACTTAGATATCATCTAACATCTAAATATTGTTGCTACAAATTCACCACTACACATGTTTCAATTAACAAAAATGAGTTTCAGTTCTTCAGTCTCACTAAAACTCTAAAACGGCTTAACCTACTCAGTAAAATAAAAAGAAAACCATTGAAAAACATACATCACAATTTATACAGCTAGCTAAATTGTTTTAAATTAGGTTAAAACTTATAGGTTATAAGTTTTAACTAGCTAAGTTTTAATTTAGCTAGCTGTAGAAATTGAGATGTATGATTTTCAATGGTTTTCTTTTTATTTACATTTATAAGAAACAGTTAACTTAATCTAGATTATTTTATGATAATGAAATGCCTTAAAACGCCGACCCCAAATAAAACGGGACAAGGGCAGGAAGATGATGATGATGATAAAATGCCTTAAAATATTCGTTAAAGTTGAAACGTTTGGTTGAGAAAAAATATATGGAAAAATTGCGTGTAACATACTAAAAACTAGTTGAGAAGGAAAAAAACTGATACTTATTAAAAATCTTTTTAAAGCTGTTCATTATAGCCAGGTCAGATAGTCGAACTACTATATAAACGTACCCTTAACAGAGACGGAGCCCCCAACTCATTACTAATGCACGTAATTAGCTGTGAGCGTCCAACAAGCGACGCTTTATCGGCTATATATCGCCATTAACGTCCCATCGGCGTTAAGTATCGTAAGTGGCCGATCTTAGTGACTCCCACAATAAATAGATAAAAGCCTTGACCCCGGACAACGTTGTGTGTCTTCACTAGTGTCAAACGACCTCTTTGGTGACCTTATTGATATTTATTTGCAGTGATTTCGTTTATTGTGTGCATTCGTGTTAAATGTGTTTGCTTTGATTCTGATAGTCGTGATTCGTGATTCATTTTTGGGTCATATTTATTATGCTCTTAATTGTTCTGATTATTTTTAATGGTTTATGTCATTTAGGTGATAATGAGAATATAATCATCTTTCTAACCTTGCTAGTAGTAGTAGGTATCTTAGAACAACAATTTGTGAACCATATTAATCAGGATATCTTAAATATTGTATACTAGCTGCTCTGCTCCATTTAATCGTAGCGTGATGTTTTATAGCCTATAGCACTCAGGAACATTGTAGCTATCTATCAGTGAAAGATTTTTTGCAATCCGACCAGCGGTCCCAAAGATTACCCCCTACATAGAAACTTACAAACATACAAACTTACAAATTTTACCTCTCTATAATAGTAGTATAGATTAAACTTACATTGGTATACATATTAGTATATTTGTATGGTATCTTAAATAGTATTTAATCATTTGGTCTTCGTTGGGTCGTGTTTAAGAAATCGCCTTGCTGGTGTACAATATAGCATATTGTGTAATAAATAAAAATATTTCTTTTAGAAAACGAGCTCGCGACTCGGTCCATAGCAGACGAGCGACCAGCATTATTAATTTGGCAATAAGTTGTATAGAATATTATTATTTTATTTAATATCTTTATGCACAAAAAATTGTACAAAGGTTCGCTTAATGCCATGGGCATTCTCTAACAGCCAAACCTTAGGGTGATGCAGAGAGATATTATTAGTTGTATATATGACATGTATGTATATATATGTGGAGTGCAGCTAAACAAATGTAACCAGAGTATGTTTATCTAAGAACGCTTCGTGTTTGTCTGTTATTCAGTCGTATTGTCTTATGTAATCAGAGCTAATGAATTCGCCCCTAGTTAGCGTATCGGTCGCCACTCGGTAACAATGTATGTACGTACTCAGTACTGCAGTATGTTGCTATGTAGATTACATTAATCTAGTTCCTATAAAATAAAATCGTTTTATTTTGTACCTACTAGCTTCCGCCCGCGGCTTCGCTCGCGTGGTATATTGAAAAAGCAGACTATTAGTACCAAATTTGAACCAAATTGGTCCAGCTGTACAAACATACATATATTCTCACAAAGTTTGATATTTTTAATATTAGTACGATAGGAAAACTGTAACGCCTGATTAAAGCGTAAATTTTGGTTATAAATAGTTTTGGATCAATTTATTTCCGTCCCGAATAACAGAATCTTGGATTAGATATTGTTGGAAATTAATTATAGGAATTCACTGTATCTGCATCGATTTGTCAATTTTTCTTGTTCTTCTAACAAATTTATCACAAGACTATATAGGAGGTAGTGGTTTATGCAGCTCCGTAAAAGCGGTAGGAATGTCCTTCCATTAGCATTTTACAAGTAAGCATGGATGGACGTTTGTTACTATTTGAAATTTTTATATTAAGACTAGTGAACGTATCCGAATTAAATTTGGCACAGAAAGAGTTTATAGTCTGTAATTTGAATCTTATATTATTTATTGGGCTCACAAACAATTGTTTACACCATCACTACAAAGTATAAAAAAATTCGCTTTCCCTGTCCCGTGCTTGACTGTACGGTTGGCGCGGTGGCTGGGCAACTGGCTGCTGGAATTTTGATCCGGTTTTTTTAGTAGATGACCTAGTGACTGAAGAGGAAGTTATAATAATATCCATTAAATAGTGAAGAAATTTAGTATTAGCATTGGACCAGTGTGAAGCCGAGAGGGTAGCTAGTAAAATACCTATTACTTACATTTATCATAATATAATACTGCGTAACAATCTCTTATAGGTAAGAGCATGCATTAAACTTTTTAATTAAAGTTAAGATTATGACAAAAAAAGTCTTAATTAATAAGTCAAACATACAGATACATACATAAATATAACATTGTGAAAATTTTTATTAAGTACATTAAATTTTACCAAATAAATAGTAGGTAGGTAGGTAGTACCTACATAAAAAAATATAGTGCTAAGATTCAAATTAATAAGAATAAGAAATAACAAATAGACCTCATTTTACTCTGTAACTGCAGACGAAACCGCAGGCAGAAGTTAATAACAATACAATTACACAAAAACAAAATCAATTACAATCAATTTAGTCTGTTTAAATTAATTTAAATGTTACGTAATACGTGCATTTGTTGATAATGGCAGTAACAATTTGTGAGTCGACAGATTGAATGCAATCAGTTTTGTCCGTGCTGTCCAAGCTAATGTGGTTACCTTGTTTGTTTGTCTTGTACCTTGTACACGGTAACCAACAGTAATGTAGGCACCACGTGAACTATGCCAGGACAGTCCCGTCTCGCGCACCATGTAATGCGATTTCCCGAAACTCGCGACGAGATCTACCCCTGTTTGTTTCGTCAGTTATTACAATAGGATTAAATGCAAAGTGTCCTTGTTTGCTTGTTCTCTCATTGTTTGGGTGTAGTGTTTTTGTTTTTTTATATGATTGGTATTCGTAAAAGTAGTGTAATAATATTACGAAGAATAGGTTAGTAGGTATGCAGCGTAACTTCAATTAAGAACGAATGGTTAAGAAACCTTATCGACAATAAATATTTTACAATTTAATTGGACACAAAAAAGGAATCTTATGAATAAAACTATTAGGTACTCACCTTAATTTTCAGTTCAATTTAAATCGATCCCAACGCATTATATTTTGTTTATATCATCAATTCTTTTATTTTATTAGCCTTTAGGACAATCGTTATAGCGTATTCTATGTGCTATATCGTTGTGAAGTATGTACTTAGGTTTATTTCTTAAATTACTATTTTTGTTATACAGGTGTGGTTTCAGAACCGAAGAGCAAAGTGCCGTAAACATGAGAGCCAGATGCATAAAGGTAATCTCATTCATTCACTCATTCATTCATTCCCTTGTATACTTACTCGTTGTTCAAAGTCCAAAATGATTGTAAATCTAATTATACTTTACAACTGAGTACACAGATCTCCACTAGCAGTCCTATGTTAATTTTGACCAAATGTTTCAACTCCATAATTTATATTCAACACAGTTTCCCTGCTTAATGTAGTCGAAAACTACAAATTGCAAATGATTCTGGCAAACTAGTTGTCGGCGAGTTGGCACCGCTGTATAATCGCAATGAATCCACTCGTGCGTGCGTTGCACTACACGAGTAGTTAGCGGGAGTCGCCGCTGGAATGCACAACCGAATACTGACTGTCAGTACAGAACTAGCGCATTATGTATTCTCCATGACTTCGTCTAACTCGATTACAACTCCCGCCGGCGCCGGTCCGACTCTAACAGTTTTTTAATTCGACCATAACTCACGCGGATGAATAATTAAAATGGCGGGCCGAGGCGGGAATCCGCGCAAACGCGGTAAAAAAAGCCCGGGAAACGGTACACGCGAGGCGATAAATTCAGGGAATTGCACAACGCACTTAGCGATCGACTGACTGACCTCCCTCCGACTGGTCAACAAGGAAATAAATAAATAACGCGAGACTCCTTACGCCCTGAACTTGTTTCTCTATCAAGCAGGACTACACAAGACTGTGAATCCAAATAAAGCAATATGCAAAACAGACGTAATTCTTTAGTTAAATCTATATAACACTCCTTTTTGAAACAATGAAAAATGAATTTAAGGCCATAAAACGGCACTTTTGTCAAATTATATGTAAAAAACTAGATGAAGCGGGCTCATATTTTGGGCTGTCGTGTAATGAAATACAGGTGCCACAATTTATACAGATAATAACAAGTGTATACGTATAACTTGATGATTATTCAAGTTACATATAAAAATGTTTATGCTTGTAAATATGATACGTGCTCAAATTAATGTCAAATCGAAGTATCGTCAGAGATAACAATTAAGTACACACATCTTGACGTGGCGGTTGTCCCATATCCCCAGTAACACATTGCTCGGACAAAAATATCAGATTATTATTGTATTGTTCGCGGCGAGTGCCGTCTCTGCTCATAACGTGACAAAGACAAACGAGACGTGACTGCGCGACTTATCCGCGGAAACCTCCAAGAGATCGCACTATCGCGTGATTGTGAGAGCATTGAGGAACCGCTAAACGGAGCGTAAAGCGGAAAAAAGCCGCTCGCCGGAATCGAATAAAATGATTCCCCGCGGGAGCCATTCGGACGCAATCCCGCCGTCCCCTGCTAAATGTCTTATTAACTTATGTGCCGCCCCCGCGCCGGCCGGCCCCCGCAGCCGCCCGACCAACACGAGAATAATCATGTAAAGTGAAATGAAACGGTTATTTGTTATGTTATGCCCCTTTAACGCAGCGACGAGATTCACAATGTTGTTATTGATTCACGCAATCGTTTGTGGCCTCATATCGCTGATGTGAAGATGCATTGTCACGTAATTCAATTTTATTTAAGTGTTGCTTGAAATACGATGTAGATTTCGAAGAGATTGTGTCATCTATATTGTCATTATTTGTTTGGATTCATTCCCGTAGCTCCGTAGACGCTTGCTACGGTGAGACTACGTAATTGCTACGGCGCGTAGTGACTACGGGTCTGATCTGTAACTTTTTATTATAAGATTGCAAATTAAATACCATTAATGCTTATTTATTATTCAAATGGAATACATAATTAATAATATTTATTTAAACACTTTCGAAAATACGGAGATTGTATGTAAATTAAATAACTTATGAAATGGAATATCTAATATTATTCATAAGTAAGTATATTTAAATGCTTTCGAGACTTTTCGAGACGAGTATTTGATTTTCAATCAAATGCCTGAAGATTTGCAAGATGCAATCTTAATCATATCATACTTAATAATTAACATGGCCATTATTTACCCATTATTAACAAATAATAAATTATTTGTATAGTACAAAACATTGTATCACTAATTACGGCAATTTTTCAATCATAATAACATTGTGCCTTTTATAAATAAAAGCTTAGAAATAGCAATACATTGTACATGGCTCCACATTAAATCATAACTGTAGGCGCTGAATCTTCATAAAAATTAAGAATTCATATTTAACGAAGACATGAATCTTCGCCATTCCCAGAGCCCGCTATAAAAACAATCAGAGCAGCCGTGAAATTCAAGAATAAAAGAATACACCGAAGCTTAATTGTTCCCCTGTTCATAAAATTGTAAAGTTATTCGCGCGTCGCGAGGGTGGCGATGTTTTATTGCGCACAAACCGCTGTAAAGATGTTCGTGCGCTTTAAAATAGCAAGAGGAGCTGCGCCCCAGCTTACCTTCTAACTCGATTAAATTAAACAACTCAGAGTTAATCAAATAAATGCACGGTGGTCGTCGGGTGTCGGGCGGGGGCGAAGCGCCGAGCAGTGGCGGCCCCAGCCGAGCGCCGAGCGCCGGACGCACACGCCGCCGGTATTTATGTCGGCACTTCTCGAAAGTAATTCGGTGTCAAATATGGAAATAACTCATACGCGCCGGGAACATCTATTTTGATAATGCCGACGGCGACCGGAGAGGTTCTGATTTACAGCAGCCCGCGCGCCCGCCCTAGCGCCGTGCTGCCTCTCGCGCTCTCACACACGTATGCTGTCCTGCCTCAATAACTTTACACTATGAATTTATTTTACTACTTCTTTGAGTAACAGTAACTTGGTTGATAATATTCAATTAACACGCGAAACCGTTCAAATTACTATCAAATTTTGTTCTCCGGTTGGGAGATTTAATTTTCTTAAGTAATCCAGTTGTCACTTAACGTGATAAAACCACCCCTTTATGGTCGCGGCGTTTAAAAATCTGTTCGGATGATCCAAGTTTAATAAAATAGAATCTCGACTGATATAATCGAATAGCGAGGTCTTGTATTAACAGTAATTAAATTAATGAATCTTTCAGACGAGACCCATGGAGCACCTTAAGTCGGGAAGATCCGCGTTAATTTATTAATTGGCCACTTCGCCCGACGGGCGGGCTATAAACAACGGATCTCACTTAATTTACGAGCAAATTATGCTTTACTTAAATATCAATTTAATTAAGTGGAGTTCGGGAACGGATCTTCGTGGATTTGTGTAGCGCTCCGCGCGCCGGATCGCTCGTTTGTCTCTGCCAATCGAGGCGGATCGATGCGCCCGTCCGCGTCACTCGTCGACAGATTAACTTGTACATTATTTATTTGTGAATCCTTAAAAAGCGCACTTCTATTATTTTATTTGGAATAAAAGACTTGCAAGTTGCTCTACTGTATTTAATTATTTACTTTGAAGTATCACCTAGTTAAAAGCTTGACTACCTTCAGGATTATTAGTAAGTGGCGGTGGCACGCCACTGGAGCCGTGCCGCGTGGCGCCGTACGTGTCAGTGCCGCGGCTGTCTGCGGTGCCTCGACCACCTCCAGCACCACAGCTGCCACCACTCACGCCGCATCCACCACCTTCCACAGCATTCGCACCCTTCGACTCCGCCTTACTCTCGGCTGCTGCTCATCAGGTAAGCATCGTCATATTATAGCGACGTAGATGAATTTAGGCATTTACTCGCGCTTCTTGTATACTAAGAGAGAAGAACATTATGTACCCCAAAGTTTACTTTTATTGGATTCCGAGCTGGTGTACTAACTTTGTTCTTTATGGCACAGTACGCGAGTGCAGCTGCAGCGGCAGCAGCGGCTGCACTATGTCCCCCGTACGCTGGGCTGGCAGCGCTGGCAGCGCGGTGTCGCTCGTCGTCCATCGCAGACTTACGGCTGAAGGCGCGGCGCCACGCGGCGGCGCTGGCGGCCGCGCGAGCCTCCCCGCCGCCTGCGCCTGCGCACGCGCCGCCCGTCGCTCCCGCACCTACTTCCACTCCCACAGACACATAGCCACAATAAATAAAAAGGAATTTCCTAAATAATACAAAGAAATCAATCTCTTATCGCCAGTGGAGTAAGGTTAAAGTCACGTATTCACTTTGTAAGTCTAAACCTACTAGACTTGCTGTATCTGTAGGTAACACGTGAGAAGTCTTAGCTCCAAACTTCAACCGGTCATTAAATTGCTATTATGTACGCACACAGACACACGGAGGTGGAGGTAACTTCTACCCAGTGCAGTTATAGTAGGCTTTCAATTGATAATATAAAAATTTGTACATACATAGTTACTTATCTGTCGATGATGACATTATTCTAATCTGCATACGTCTCAAATTGTAAATGATGATTATAAAAAAAAATATAGACTGTTTGGATTTACATACGTTTACTGATAAATTATGTGGTAGGAATCTTGTCCACTTGCGTTATAGAAAATGTGTAAGTAAATATTTATATTGAAAAACTTAACCTAAAGGAAAAACTATTAACTAGTAAACTCTCTAGTCTCTTTAAAAATACTTCGTATTACTAAATCTATACGGTCTCAATACTCTGAGGACTCTCGGTTGGTTCCTAAGACATGAAAGTGTAATAATAAATAGTTGAACTTTGTTATGTGGGTGTTACCTATACTTAGTCATAAATTTAAGATTTCGGCTCCCGCACACAAATAACAGTATTTAAAAAAATATAATCTTTATCAAACATACGCAACATTCATTGTATTTGTTTGTTATTTAAACTTATTTTTTTATTGCTTATTAAGTTTTCGTTTCACACTAGATGTCGCTAGTGTGGAATTAGATCGTACTGGCTGATTCGTCATTGTAATTAGAATGGATTTTTTTTCAATATAAATATACGCGGTACATTGATAACATTTTACGTTTTAATCCTCACTGGGGTAGGTAGAGTAGGTTTACAATGTGACATCTGGTCTATGAATACCAATATACATACGTAACAAGACAAAGAAAAATTAATGCTGTTAAGGATTTCATCATAAATAATATTAACTTTAAAGTGAACCACATAAGTACTATAATTGTGTGTGGGAACCCATTTAAAGGAATAAATAGCTAGATAAGAACCTACATGTTTGTCAAATAATGTTTCCGCTTGTATCAGGCATGTACAGAAACAGTATGTTAGAAATAAATGACCAAACGAGTAAATCGGACTGTGAAATATTTGTAAATTAATAAGCTGTGATAAGTGTACGTGTTGGAATGGAATGACGATGATCTCTTTATAGTAACTTGTTTTTTTTTAAATTATTTATCATCTGTGGCTATTAATGTAATATTTATGCAAATATAAAAGCATGGCGTATTTATGTTTTGATAGGAAATTGATTATTGCGGGTCAGTGTTTCAAGTTGGGATGGCGTTACAATTGGGTAGTTTCCTAGGAAAAAAAATAATTATTTTAACTTTTCGACTCAATTAATTATTCAAATACATATATGTACATTAATCATAATTCATTTTACATATTATCCAGTATTTTTTTAATTATAAGTATGCTTATTGATAAATCGTGAACTCGTATATTGCGATCTCATACAAAATTCATAGAAAAGTATCGAATTTGACAATTTCAATAAAAGTATTGAATTTGAATGTACTTACTAAGAAACTACCAAATGCCAATGTTAATCGATGTTCGATAGGTTTGTGGAATTACGTACCTAATTGTGTTCCATTAATGTGTAACAATTGATTACCTAATCATAAAATGATAACATTTTGTTCTCGTTTCGTAGCGTGCCGTCAGCGTATCGCGTACGGTACGCTTCATAATCAATTGTCACGCGTGCGTCACCGGAACGACACAACTTTTTCTACGCGATATGCTTACGTATAATTTTGTAATGATTAAATACATAATTTGTTTCTTAAAAGCCACAGATGTGTTGAAATTAATAACGGTATGTAGATACTATCAATAAATACTTAAATAACTTATCTAATATGAACAATGAGATTCATAATTAATGTAAATATAATAAAAATAAGTGTTCGGTTTCAAATATCAACGCTCTGTTTATAGTTGTGTACTTATAAATAAATATTTAGATGAAGAATGTAACATTTTTTTTTTGTTTCACATGACTTATATTTCGAGAATTTCTCCATAAAGTTGAAAATAATCGTTTAAATATTCATTGTTACAAATGAATATTTTAACTCGGAATATCGCTAAGCGAGTACCACCGAGCAATGATACAGATGAGTTTGTTATTTGACGTCCCCCATAAATCAGGGCTAGGGGTGTGCATCCCCAGCGGCGAGCGATATTGTTTCTACATTTGCGGCTGATTGATGACAGCCCTAGCTCTATGGTTGTCTGTGCTACCGTCTATAAATTGTTGAACTATTCATAGCTAACCTTTGTGCATTCTAGTAATAATACCATGAATCATATAAATAGGGAGCTGCTTGAAATTTCAATATGTAATTAAGTAAGTATCTATATGTCTGCTCCGTAGACATATTTAAATATGTAGGTTTGTATCAATCATCATAAATGACATTTGCGCCTTAAAAACAAATTAAGTATTGGATAGTATGTCTAAAATCTTTAAGTTCTTGCATAGAAATAGCTAAACATCCACATTGAGCAGTTTAGTTGAGTAAACAAATAAACAAACGGCGAACAAATATTTGTACAGGAATAACGTGATAAAGTAACAACATGCACTTGTTCGGACGGAGACGGGACGAGACGTAGTGTATGCGGGCCGGAGCCCAGACTGGGGCCGGGGAGCGTGTTTGCGTAAGCTGTTAAAAAAGCCCGCCCTCGCATCGGCTGCGCCCAATTAGGGCGGCGACGCTGCTGATTGGGCGTAATCGTGTTAGTATCGGCGACAAACAGCCCCCTGCACCCTGTCTCCACAACATATACAACCTCACTCGATTATTGTTTAAACTGCCTTTACATCTACTTAAGGGGTACATTCTAATCATTATTACGAACTTGGTAGTTTACAATTGAATGAGAAATTCTGTTATTGTTTTCCTTATAGTGAAATGTTTTTATTATTTGAAAACAATTCATTGATAAAATCATTTAACTACCTATTACGTGATATAAGATTACCTATCAACGAATACTTTAATTAGTCAGCTATTATACTAATATTATAAAGAGGTAAAAGTAAGTTTGTATGTACCTAATCCTTGGAACCGCTGTTCGGATTGCCAAAATTTTGGCTTTAAAACATCACGCTACGATCAAATGGAGCTGAGCAGCTGGTGAAACCCCGCGAGAGTAACTAGTATATTTCTATCTACTTCTGACGACATATCGAAAGTTATTGTTATACTATAGACTATAGTTAGCGTCCATTCATAGAATGGACACAATAACTAAGGATATATTGGTAACTTTAGAACAGAAAGGGTTGATTCTGTTAAGATCAGATCAAAATTAATCGCAAAGATTTTGCTGCCGCAATTAAATAACAGTAGAATTGTGTCTGATATTTTTCAATAGGTCTGAGTCGTTAGTACTCATAACATGGGCCTCATAGCATTTTTAATTTCACTGAGAATAACTAGATACCTAAGTGACTTGTGTATGTTCACGTTCAAGGAAAACCGGAAAGGTAATATTAAGTATGTGATTCATAATTAGTGCAGGAAAAGGAAGATGTGACGCAAACAGGAAAGGAAAGCACCTCCATCTTCTGCTTACCTCAACAGAAAAACTTTATAAAGTGTACCAACACGTAGACCAGTGACGTCAGCATACCATTACACAGCGGCAATCCCTATACGTCACAACAATTTGTCATACTTTTTTTATGTGGTAGGACGACAAACGTGCAGACGGATTACCTGATGGTAAGAAGTTGGCGCCGCCCATAGACACCAGCAAAATCGCAGGAGTTACGAGTGCGTTGCTAACCTTTTAGGGCATGAAGCAAACATGGGTTTTTGCTTCATATTTGTGAACAAAGGTTTCGAAGGATTAAAACAAGAACTTCTTTGTAATCATAAATAAATAACTACTTGTTTGTAATGAAGACTCACTTTTGGGTGATGCTTATTTATTTATTTTTTTAGAATCATCAAATGACTTCGCTCGCTCAGGGTGAGGCGATAGGTAGTGTCAGACTCTTACTGACTTTAAAACGACTCCGTTCTTTTTGCCCCACTCCCTTATTGCGCTTGGCTCGCAACTCCGCAACCCCAGCTAAATATCGGTCTTATTGGGCCCCATTTCTGGTGGTCTACTGGCCTGGGTATCTATCTATTAGAACCACTTACTTATGTCTCCATCTCCATGATAAAGAGTTTACTTACCTGCCTGAGTTACCCACTCTGATATTTATCCCTTTTCTTGACTTATTTTGAATTTTTTTTTCTAGCACTCTGTAGGTATAGTACTACGTACTCTGTAGAAAGTAACTAATATGAAGGTGGACTTTTTCAGTTCCTGCTCTATTTTAAAACAAATAAATAACTTGTCTCTGTCATTATCCTAAAATTGGTACATTTTTGTGACGTTTGTTTTGTTGCATGTGAATTTAATATTTCATGAAAATATATTATGTCGTGGCGTCGAAATAAACGCCTGCTCTACTAATACTGTTATAAACTGTGCTTCATTAGACATTATACCTTTATATACCTAATTATTTTACGTGATTTAACATTATTCTACTTTCAACTTAAGTAGTTTACACTGTCATATAACCCTCTTACGAATTTTAATACAGATTATAATGTGAAAAATTTAATTTTATCTCGTTGGGTTTCGGTGTGTACCTTCCTACGCTATCTCAAGTTGATGTATTTTTTGGCAATCTGCAAAGAATCACAAATTCTGATCCCTCTCACAACGCATGTAGTCTCATGATTAGCTTTATAATTATACTTATTTTTAAAATCGTTACATCTAACTCGAAGCAACCGTAAAACTTTGCCTAAATGAAAACAGAAACATATTTTTCCGTACTTAAATAAAAATATACTGAAATAATAATAATACAATAGACATTACATAAGTGAAAAGAAAGTAGATAACTAACTAACTAACTATAATTTGCATTGCCAGATGAATAGAAAAGAGAAACATTGATCAAACAATAGCAGTGTTTTCTGTGCGCTGTAGATTGCGATAATATTATGCCAAATACCACGCATGTTTTGATTTACATGTGATTTTTGATACGACTACGGCTGCGGTTTTAAATTATTACCTAACTACTGTTTCTAGTTAGGTCTAGCACCACAGAATCTAGCACCTTAGTACCCATTGGCATAGGCATAATATTTTGATCATTAAGCCCATTAAAAATTCATCTACTTTAGGCTTGTTTGTTCCTAAATATTTATGCTTAGGAATATTATAAGCTTGTATGTTTAAACGCGGTAATCTCCGGAACTACTTGTTAGAATTGAATCATTCTTTTTGTTTTTGTTAGTCTATATTTGTCGACGCTATAAAATATCTCACTTCAATCTATAGGAGCTGAACAGCGAGTGAAACCGCGCGAGATTCGCTAGGAATAAGATATTGTTCTGATTTGACGTTGTAACAAACTGTGAATTGGGTTTTAAGACCACGTCATCATCCTGCAAGAGAATACTAGGGAAACCAACGCTTTTTGCAGAAACAGATACCGTATTCCAGTCTCGCTGCCAAAACGTTCCAGAAACCAACCCCTCATCCACCCGACCCTTGCTAAACGAAACAGCCCACGGTGCTGAGTCAACGGTAGTCATACATGATAATATATCGTATATCTATTGTAAAACAGACGAGGCCCTACAGAGCTGATGTTCTGCTGGGACTACGGGGCAAGCGCAATAAAGTAAGAGAGGGTTTTTAGTCAATAAGAGTCTGACACTTCCTCTTGCCTCACCCTAGGCAAGAGATATTCATCATATTTTGGTCATATTTTGATAATTTTACACTCACAGGAAATCGATTATAAAAAGGTAGTGAATTATGAAAATATTTAGGCGTCTACCGTGCCTTTATAAGAACTCAACATTAGGTCATAGGACATAATACAAGGCCCCATACTTATCCATTAAAGACATATTACGTCATTGTTCAAATTTCATTAAAATAAGTATAAACAGTTAAATCCCACTTTAATTAACACGTAAACACTTTTCCCTATACTCCGTCAGTTGTATGGCTCGTATATAATGCAGAGTAACTCAGTGACGGCCAATATACTAGTTATACGGCTTGACCTGTTACTGAAATATACCTAACACAATAAAGGTTATACAATTGTACTAGTGCCAGTGAAACTGTGAACATTCAATTCTGATCTTGTATTCGAGCGCAGTGCACGACCAACGACCATGCAATCTACAACGATTATACCAATATTATTATTTAGTTTATTCAAATTATATTATTGTGTAGAAATAGTCACAACGGCTCCAGGAACAACGTTTTATTTCGCGTACGGCAGTAATTTGCTAACGAAACGGCTGCACATCAACAATCCGTCGGCGATTTTCTACAGCATCGCCAAACTTAACGTAAGTTTCTTTTTGTTTATTTTTTTTTCAAAGGCAACATTAAATTGGACCTTTTGCGTTAGTCAGTCCTTTAGTCAAAGTAAATAAAGTATTCGTTTCGCCATAATGTTTAAAAAAACAAGCTCCATATTTTCTTTTCAATAACTAGTTTTTTTCTTTTCAAATACTTACTCAAATAAAATTATCATTGCACCAACTAGTACCAATGAAATGTGAAGAATATAGGTATTACAAACCTACAATATAAAATTATATAATTTCGTAACTACCTGCAAACTAAGTATTCTACGAAAACTGGACAAAACATAGTAAATACAAAACAAAATAATAGCGATAATCACAAACAAAGTAAAGTGCCTACTTCCTGAAATTATAAAAGACTTCAATGTTTATCTATGAGAATTAAATTGACAGACAATTTATTCAAGAATATGTGTTATATATTTTTGGCCTTTACACCAACATTATTTTATAATAAATGTGTTCATAACAATTTAGGTTCAAACTTATCTAATTGAGTTAGATAATTAGGTAGTAGCTAGGTATGTACCTATCAACCAGGTTGGAAAGATTAGTCAAAAAGTTACAAAGTAATTTTATCATTTAAAATATGAATTAATTTATTAGGTGCCTATCAGGTAGGTACCTGTTGTCAAGCTGCATAGTCTTAGTTTACCTATGTACCTATAAACGTGTGTGATTGTTGAATTTTCACACACACAACAACATTTTGTAACGACCTTTTCTGATGGACAGACTAACAGACAATTTAAATTTGACGTTTAAGTGCTTTGAATTTGACCTTATAGATAGCAGCCAGCCTGTAATACTTGCTTCTAATACTTATTAAAACATGGCACCAACTTACTTGATGCAATTTGTCATTCTCAATTTAGATAATTACAAGACAGTTTATTAATAGGTAATAAGTATGTAATTATGATTAATATAGAATTACAGGTTAGATTTTAACTACCAAGTGGATGCCTGGCAAGGCGCTGTAGCTACTATCGTAGAAGACCAGGATTCTGATGTATGGGGCACCGTGTGGACCATGGACACAGATCAACTCCATAATCTAGACGAGTAAGTCTCCGAAACATAATATTTTAAACACTTTGTGAATTGTTATGTTGTTTACCAGGGTAGAGGTTTCAATATGTTTCATTTTTTTTATGTAGGTAATAAATCGGCAAACGAGCGAACGGATTACCTACCTGATGGTAAGCAATCAGCACCGCCCATGGACACCCGCAACGGAGGAGTTACGAGTGTGTTGCCGACTTTTTAGGGATTAGGGATTTGGAGATTTAGGGATTGGGGAAGGGTCAGGGGAATTGAAGGATTGGGCCTCCGGTAACCTCACTTATTAGTTTATTTTTTTTTAACAATTTGTCTCTGCTTTGCTCTCACATATGGGTAGAATAATGTATACCTACTAAATAAATATTAGGTAGTGAAGTTAGCAGGTACCTAACAATGAAATTTCTTACTCGTTGAATTTCTAACAATTTGGAACGAGCACCTAGCTTTAATAATATAATACTATCTCTAAATACAAATCTATTTTGACTTTTACAAGTAGATAACTATTTATGGTTTAAGTACCTACCTACGGTAATTGGAATAACTGTTTTTGACTTTGACTTAACTATCATTCTCATCACTTCCTACCTATTGAATACAATCAAAAGTAAGCATAATGAAAAACGTAGCGAAATTATTCTTACTTACTTACTTACCTAATAAAATAAACGTAATAACTATACTTATAAACAGGCAGGAAGGCGTGTCGATCGGCATGTATTACCCCAAGAACGTGACAGTAACGACACCTAGCGGCCAACAGTTAGTAGCTCGCACCTATATAGAAACTAAAAATCCTAAGAAAGCTAATGGCACGGATATACCTATGGAGAGACGTCCTTCCAATACCTACCTCGAGGTGAGTTCCAGGCTTATATAGAGTATTAAACTTCTCATACTTTTGAAGAAACTGTACCTATTGAAAATAAAGACTGTAAAGTTAAAACTAAAAATCGCGGGTTACTCACCACGTTTATGTATTGAGAGAAGTTCTACTAGTTTCGAACCACAGAGGGGTTCTTCCTCATGAGCAGCGCAGTCAGTAGGCTGCGCGACGTCGCCGCGTCCGCGCACGCTGCTCATGAGGAAGAACCCCTCTGTGGTTCGAAACTAGTAGAGCTTTTTCTCGTGAGTAACCCGCGTTTTTTTTATGTCTCACGATAGTTATTATAAAGACTGAAAAGTTCTGAATTATCTGCGCGACATCATCGCAACGCGCACAGTACAACATGAAAGATTCACGTTATAACCTGAAACGAATAGAACTTTTTTCACTTATGTCCAATAACTTTGTATGTCTCACAATAGTTGTTATATAAAATTAAACAAACCACGACTTTTTATCCATTCATTTTATTATGCATCCTAGTCAAATGTTTGGCTTGCGATCTAAGAAAATAGGGAACTAAAAGAGTATTTATTTCACGCAAAAATGCAGCCCCGCGTCTATTCACCAGTCTCTGCAGTCTGAAGTCTTCTAATTATATTTTTTCAATATTACAGGTCATCGCACTCGGGGCTATCGAATCTCACCTTCCATCTGATTACATCGGTTTTATTTTCTCTTTTCCAACTAATGGCAAAATGGCTACTAAAACAAGAAGAGAAGAGTTAGGATATCCTTTTTAATGGGTATCTACTAGAACTAAAAAATACTTAAGAAACTCCTGTGAAGAAAAGTAATACCTACTTACACCTAAAATTACGTATTTATAATGTAGATATAGACGTCAGCACTCAAGCTATTAGCTGACAAAATATATCTTTGGGAAGTACTTTAGTACCAAAATGGATTTTGTGTGAAGGGTCATTCAATGACTTCTCTCGCCCTGGATGAAGCGAGATTGCGTGTCATACTCTTAATGAGGTAAACCCCCCCTGTTCCTGCTCCTGCTCTTAGCCGAGGCCGCGGTACCATATTACGCTAGCCCCGCAACCCCGGCTACCATTATAGGTATCTAGGCTCTGCGCTCTTGCATTTTTATTCTAAGCGAAGTTGTGACATTCTTCAGATGGCGGACGTAGGACCAAGTACCTACACTTCAAAAGTCGGTAACTTTGTGTGCTAACGACTACAAAACTCAACTTTTTTAATAAATCATATTACTTAAACACATACCTTTGATTTTGTTTTATTCTTCTTAACCGGCTTCGAAAAGGAGCATGTTTCTCAATTCGACCGTACCTATAGAATAGATATATGCTTTTTTAACCCCCGACGCAAAAAGAGGGGTGTTATAAGTTTTTTTTTTTTGGTGTCGTGTTGGAAAATCCTCATGGAGACCCATCGCCCTCGGGGAAGGGCGAAGGGTACTGTCAGACTCTTACTGACTAAAAACCAACCCGGTGTTCTTCCACTTACCCATGTGTCGGAGGAGCGGGTATCGCCGAAGCATTCGTCGCAACCCCCCGACGGGTATTGGCCCGCCAGATGGTTTGGCGGGCCCCGTCACCCACTGCGGCCGTCACCCGACCGCAGGACTCAACTATGAGGCGCGCGCGGAACACGGCGCCGCCGCCTCGACGCCTGCTGCTGGTCGGACGACAAGACGCCCCGAGTCTGTCGTCCACAGGCCGCGCCCTACGGTGGCCGCAGGTTCGCCACCCTACGACGTCTAGTGCGTCTGCAGCGGGAGGGGAGAGAGGAGGCAGCCTCTCTCTCCCTTTCCGCCGCCTCCTTTGCGAGCATCACGGCCTCGCAGAAGGTAGCGACGGTACTCCACCCTGACTCGCTCCCGACCATAGTAGACACTACAGCCGGAAGCGAGAGATTTCCCGCAGCACCAACGGCCGCGACCAGGTCACGACGCTGCTCGGCCCAAGCTGAGCACTCCGCCAAGGTATGCAGCGCCGTATCGTCGCGGCAATCACCACAATGGTGGCACTGAGACGTCGGCTCTCGACCTATGCGACACAGTTACTTCCCGAAACACCCGTGTCCGGTAAGCACCTGCGTCAGCCGGAAGCTGAGGGCGCCCTGGCTCCTGAGCCACTCCTCTAGAACGGGCCTTGCCGCCGCTATAGTGGCGTGCCCCGCCGTGGGTTGCGCTAAACGCATCTGCCTCTCTGCCACTAAGGCCTGGTGGAGTTCTGCCCTGCGTGCCTCAACTTGTCAAGGCGGGGTGTTATAAGTTTGACGTGTCTGTCTGTCTGTGGCATCATTGTCTGTCTGTCTGTCTGTCTGTGGCATCCTGGAGCCTGAACGGGTGAAGCGATTTCAATTTAGTTTCTTTTTTGTATTAGAGGTGACTTACGTGCGAGTGTTCTTAGACATGTTTGACGAAAATCGGTTGAGCCGTTTAGAAGTTATAGGGGGGTAAGTGGCGAAGAGTAACCGAAGGTCTGCAAAAATACTCGAGTGGGGTGTCAAATGAAAGCGCACTGAAAGGGAATGTTGATGACTTAACGGAGAGAAAATGATATAAAATACCTATAAAAAGTATAAAATAAAAAAATAAATTAGACCCTTGACAAAATAGAAATATCTACTTAGTTGATAATAAAATGTTTGGATTGGGCTACGGCACATTTTCTTTAAATTATCACTTTTTAAAGGAATATTAAATTTTTAGTCAGGGGTTTTTTAAATTTTAAACTTATAATTCTTGTTATTACTGTTTTTTTATTGGAAAGTAGATATTTTAGAAGGTGGTCCCATAATAAGGAAACCAGGTTGTCTTTTATGCGTCCCAGACGCGAATAAATACTTTTTGTTTGTTTGTTTGTTTAGGTTCTGATAATGGCAGACCAGAGAAATCGAGGGGACACTATTACGTTTTAAAGCTTTTTCGTGAAGTATTTTTAAGCACAAACATTTTGATGACTTCGCCTGAGGTAGACCTAATGATGGAGATAAAAGACGGTCCACGTAGGGTAGACTGGGTACGGTTGAAACAATTTGGCATATTAGGTTTATAATTTTGTCATTTATTAACCAAATGATCAATAAGATACTTGAAATTGAAATAGTTTTAGCTACGATGTGGCAGTGTCATTATGGTTCTCAAATTACTATTTTTGGAGATAAGTGAAATTAAGAAATATTTATAATTTGTTTAAACCGTCCCCATGCCAGGGGCGGTTGAAACAGCGATTGGGGTCAATTGAAACACATAAAAATAAAACAATAAATACTAATGAAACATGTTTTATTTATCATTAATACTAAATATATGAATAATTATCACAACATTAATCAGACTTCAAGATTTTAATACTTCTAAAACGTTTATCGCCCTTTGACAAGTACCTAGTAAAGATTTAAAGAAATTACAAAAACGGTAGTAATAGGTATCAGAATAAACTTAACGAAAACTTCTTTAAAAACAAATAGACTTTGAAAATAAACTAACTAAGAGACACTTCTAAAATTAATAAAATCAACATTGTGAATAAAAGAAAATATTTTTAAATCAAATAAACTTTCAAAATAAACTAATAAAGAAACCTATGCTTAGATCAAATAGACATGGAGAATTAACTTAGAGAAAACATTTAGCTTAGGCATTAATCGGAGTATTCAGAGTCGGAATTATGGCAAACGTAGCTAAGACCACCTTCTGTGCATTCTTCATGTGCCCACTGTTTACACGAAGTACACTGAATCCACTTCCCTCCAGATCTGCTCTCTGAATATGGTGCTAAGTAAACAATACAGTAGCATTCTTCCTCTTCTGATGCTTCCGACGACAATTCCTGCTTAGTATTTCTTTTCTTTCCTTTTGAAATTTCTTTTTTACCTTTCCTTCCATCTAATCTTTTCTTAACTTGCTTAGCTGTGGCCCGTTTTAATTTTACTTCATGCTCTTTTCTAATTTCTTCTTTCTCTGGTTTATCAGTATAAATAGTTGATTTTCTAGTTTTTCGCCTTTTATTACATTTCCTTGGAGGTGCTTTTGGTAATGGTCTTACTGCCTCCGGAGTAAATGCTATTCGATCATTAGTAACTTGTGCACTAGTAGACGGTCTTGGTGAAATATCTTTATAGACACCGATGCTGCCCAGTCTAGGTGGTGTGTTTATAGTTTCTTCAGGTTCATGAACGTTTACTTGCTCGATTATTGGAGCTGGTGAGTCATTGAGGGCTTGTTGTTCAACTGTTGTCTGGAGAGACAATTGTAATTCTTCAGTTAAAAGAGAAGGTGATAATGGTGGTGGTTCATCTTCAGTTGGATTATCATTACATATAGGAACAATTGCAGGCTCAGTAATATTTTCTGGATAAGGTATCTCTGTTCTCTCAGTTGTATTTTCCGGATTAGGTCTATCGGTTACAAATGCAGGAGCATAATCGATGTCAGTAAACAAATTTCGGTTATATGGATAAATTCCAGTTTTGCGAAAACCGGCTTGAATGTTTGCAGATGTCATAGCAAGGGGCATAGCAGACGCTACAATCCCCGGTATGTCATAAATTGACATAGTTTTTCCTGGATGGCTCCTCATCCACGCATCACACGTGGAATTTACAGCCTTCTTTAAAGGGCCATATGCGGAACGATCGAGTGGTTGTAGCTTGTGAGAGCAATGCGGAGGAAAAGACAATAAGACAATTCCATTGTTCTTGCAATAGTCCAGAGTGTTTATGTGAACGGGTGAGGAGTGGTTGTCTAGTATGAGTAAAACTTTGTGTGACAGAGAAACCTTAGAATGCTTTTTAAAGTGTTCTAGAAAATGCAGGAATGATTCATCTTGCATCCATCCTGAGGGGTTAGCGGTTCCTGCAGACCCTATGGGCCCATCCCTAACAAAATGGTGTTGGTATCGCACTCGCGGGAATATAAAGAATGGTGGGAAAACATTTCCAATGGCGTTTACTGCAAAAGTCACTGTCACTATAGTACCCCTTTCAGCTGAGGTCACTGAACCAACTTGACGAGAACCACGTCTGGCTATAACTCTATCGGGCATTTGCACGGTGGTTATGCCGGTTTCATCTATGTTGTATATGTCTTGGGGCTCGAATTTATAACGATCCATTACAATGGATAAATTATCATAGAAGCCCTGTACATTCGTTTTGTTAAAGCTCGTCGCCCTTGACAAGCTTGTAGCTTGTGCGGCGCGTACAGATAGTTCAGGGTTTCTTCTCATAAACATACGAAACCATTCCTCACCAGCCATTCCGTTTTCTTCCCAAGTTCGAGGTCGTGATATATTATACTTAGTAGTAAGTTCGTAAGCTAATTTTCTCACCTCTTTCTTAGATAGTCCGAAATATATATCAGCACATCGTATCAAATATTTTGATAATTCTCGCTCTTGATCTTCATTAAAAACACGATTGTGTGCTTTATACCCCATACCTGTATCGTCACCACCGGTCGCATCTCGCTTTCGAATGTATCTTAACAGGGAACAATGGTTTATACCATGCTTTTCCGCCGCTTTCCGTAAGGTTTCTCCAGCTTTTACCTCCTCATATGCATTACTATAACTCGATAAGTCAATGTTCCCTCTGGAAGTCTTCCTAACGCGAACTCTCGGCATCTACAAAAAAAAACGTAAATATATTTTCTGTTTCAACCGTACCCACAAAAAATGTTTCAACCGTCCCCAACCCCACTTTACGTATAATATTTACGACAGTTATCATAATACATTGAAAATAGTCACTATTCTTTATTCTACATGCATCGTAATAATAACAAACACACGCCTTAATACATTCACTTAAAAATAACAGATAATAAAAGCAATAATGTCAGAAGAAAAATACTTACTTTTGTGTAATAAAAATCAATATGGCGTCCTGCACACAACCTCAACGCGCGGGATACCATCGGGATACGGCGCGGCACTGTTTTCGTGTTCGGACCTTTCGTCCGCTTCGTCTTCCCCTTGCACCCCTTACTCCCCGCATAACCATTTACGAGATATTTACTCTGTTTCAATCGTACCCAGTCTACCCTACTTAACTCATTAAGGATTAACAGCAGATACTTTGTGTCTCAACTTCATTAATTTGTATTGATCAGAACACTTTACTTTAGTTATTTATATTGATGAAAACTTTGCACCTATGTATATAGATTATAATGAAGGTCAGGTACACATGATGATGGAGACCATTGACAGTCAACGGAATTCCTCAACAATTTACAGCTCAGAAGTTTAACTCAGGATAACCATAACCATGATTTTGCTTCTCAAGAGAAGCATCCTTTCTCAGTTTACCATTTACGTAAAGTCGTGATTTAAAAAAACATAGGTAACAAAAAAATTACGTCGAAATTGTTTAATAGGAAATAATAATAAACAACTTTTTTTATAATTTTGAAGTCGGTGCCAAGTACCTAAATGCAACAACAACCTTACTATAATATCAAATTACTACCTTTAAGTAGGTACATACAATAATAATTGAATATATTATTTGTACCCATATTCTTTACAAAATAAACAAAACAACAGCAAGTGTGGGAGAACCAAGCTTCGACGCGAATGGGTCGGCTCGACCGGAATGATGCCACGGCCTCACAGAAAACCGGCTTGTATCATTCAACCAAAACGTTGTGTTTCGCCGTGTGAGTGAGGTTACCGGTGGCCCAATACCACGCCCTCCGCCTTCCCTTCCCAATCCTTAAATGGCCGGCAACGCACTCGACAACAACTCCTTTGATGTTGCGGCTGTCCATGGGCGGCGCTGATTGCTTACCATCAGGTAATTCGTCTGCTCGTTTACCGCCCTATAACATAGGAAAAAATGTGGATTGGTAGGTACCTACCTACTAACCACCTGGAACTTTTTCGACGTAAATCTGATAAAGGCACAACTAATTGGTAGGAAGTTGAGCATCTTGTCGAGGGTGAGGCAGCACTTCAAGACGAAACAGCTACTTGATAAGTAAATCTAAGTAAATAATTTGCAATGTTTTTTTAATTTGCAAGGGTGCGTGTACTCTGTGGATTTAAACAAAGCATAGATTAAAACTAAATGAAATGACACTGACACAATTGACACGGACAACCCAATTATGTCAACATAAGCCAGACGCAGACGAGCGAGCAGGATCACGATTGGAAGTTGCAACTTTACTGTAATCTTGTGTTTATAATTCAAATCAAATAATAAATAAGACTGGCAAAATCACAAAAATTAGGATAATTCTTGTCACATATAGATACAAAATAAAAACAGTATGCGAAGGTGACTTCCTTTAGTATTGATAATTTTAGAAAATAAAGAGAAGTATAATTGATCATGTTCATTGACGGATAAATACAGTATGGTTGTAGTGCCAAAATTTAAGTCTTGATAACTAAAGACAAGGGTAAGACAACTACAGCGAGCCAAAAAGTAACTAACCGTGAACAAATATTTGTTATATCTTAGTCAGTGAATAACTTGTGTTCATCAGAATATCAATTTTAAATAATGAAGTATGTCGATGAACTGTATCTTTGGGTTCTCATTATTTCTTCTGTTACTAGTTGTTCTCAACATTTACTTCTTCTACAACCTCAGTATAGAGCACAGACCTGCTACTTTTAAGCTACCTATTGTGAAGTCAGAACCCATACCACCTATAATCAAAGAAATAAATGAATACCTCAATCGTTTGCCTAGTCAATACCACACCAAAAATTCTAAATTTATTACTATACAAAGAAATTTAATTAATTCATTTAATACCTCTGGAACTAGTTTAGACAGTGTTTGGCAAAATGTTGAAAATGTAAGTACCTACCTGGACATTATTGGTGGCCAGATTAGTGGTAAAAAACTCATTATTAAATTATAATCACTTTATTTCTAATTAAAATGTTTTTACCATTGCATCATATTAAAGTATAACTATGAAATTATATTATATAAGAATGAGTTTCCAGTGGGCTGATGAAGAGTCCCTCTTTCCATATAAGAATGGTGCAGCAGGACAGATACTGCAAGCTATGCGCACCTCACAGATAGCATTTGTGGACAATGCTCCCAAGGGGACACAATTGAAGTTATTACTTGTGTTAAAGGTTTGTTTATATTGTAGTTTCGCTCAGGTTTCTAGTACCTACATACTTCACCCATTCTGGTAACTTTTAATCACTCATTAGTAAACATAGCATGCCCAGTTTCCTAATGGTAGCTACTCAAGCCCTTATAAACTCCGCTGCATTAATATTTAGGTCAGGTTGACTTTGTGGCAGCAACAACCATGTTGTTCCTATATCACTTGTTGAAAAATAATATAAAAAGGACAGGCTAATTTTAATAATTGAATATAATTTTTTTTTTTCAATAGCTTTACCAAGGCAAACTTAATATTTACTTCATGGTTGCAAACATAAATTGATAAGGCTATCAAAGACTAGTTGAGATTATTGTTAATTAAAAACTTTAATCAATGAAATTAATTAATTAATCATTGCTTATTTTTCAGGGAAATCAAAAACTGTACTTTAAGCCAAAAAGGTATAATTTAACTGATGTCATAAGGGGCAACATATATGCTGGCTATGACCGCCATAATTCCGAGGTGTTCACATATTACCTTGCTATGGTATTGAACTACAAATGGGTAGCTCCTTCTGTTATAAGAAGGATCAATATGAAGTATGATATTTTAGCTCATGCTATGCCTGGATTCAAAAGAACTATGGTAAAAAATAGTAAGTAACATACTTATATTAAATAGTATAAAAAATTTTTCATTGCCTAAATTATAATTATAATGTGTTTCAGGTCAAGGGTCAGATTGTATTTATGGAAAGTGCTATTATTGCAAAATTAATGAAACAGTTTGTCCTGATAGCACTGGTCACATTGAAGGTGCAGGCATACTCTACCTAGATAAATATTTTAAAGTTAACAAATCACCTTGGAGACGCTCATACAACAGTATGAAAATGGAATGGGAAAATGATAAAGACTATTGTAAGTAAGTATTTTCCATTTCATTCACAGTGAATCATTTAATACTTTATATTTCATTACCTAATGATCAAACTCATTGTATCTTACAGAAAGGTCTCATCACTTCTCAGTACCAAGAGAATATTAAACTTAATTGATATTGCTATTATTGATTTCTTAATACAAAATGGAGATCGACACAGATATGAAGTATACAAACATAAAATACTCCTACTTGACAATGGAAAGGGGCTGGGTAATCCCATGTTGGATGAACTTGATATATTGGCGCCACTATATCAATGTTGCATGTGAGTAAATTACAAAAACAAAATATACTAGCAACTTTGTTCCCTTAGTATGTCAGAATATCTGTAATGTTCATTAAATATACAGTCAAATTATTATGCTTTTATTTATATAATATATTTTTAAAATGGAAAATATTACTCTGTCTTTAATATTTCAGAATTTCTTCGAAGACATGGCAGATGTTGGAACTAGTGTCTGGTGGAAGCCTTACTGAGACTATACAAATATTAGCTTCATTCCAAGGAGAAAAGTTGACCACTGATGACCATTACCGAGCTATAGAACGACGACTTTTAAAGGTCTATGCTACCGTCATGTATTGTATAGGAAAACGTGGTAGTGCCAATGTTTTTAATAATATAGACGGAATTTAAATAAGCTGGCATTTTTTCTTCCACCTTAAAACTTGTATGTGATGGATTGAAGCGACGAGCTGACGAATGACGATTCTATGAAAGTAGTCAAACGCAAAATAATATGATCTCGTGAAAAATGAGATGATTACACGTGACTTCTGACTGATTTTATCTCAGGTGTAAGTTGTTTATTTTATGTAGATAAAAAGGTACAGTAAATAGGTAACATGTCAGAGTGATGCTCCGACTCCTCTACGCTAGTATTTATTATTATTTGGTACTTATATATGACAACAAACCGTACGTTAATGACACGTGAGTTTTGCTTAATGAACTTGTATCCAGGCCATAAACTCCAATAAAAAAAATGACACATGAGTACAACTTAAAGTGACAAATGACAACTTATGAATGTTGTCAGTCAACACAAGGTGCAATATTTTGATTAAAATTGTTTTTGTTATCAGTATTGAGCTAATTGAGTTTGCATATAATTGCATCCCAACTGTACCGTAAATTCTTTAAGCGTAGTGTTAGTGTAAAGAACATTCTAGATTCTAGGTTTGAACGATTTGCGGTTGAGGTCTCCTTTATCGTCTTGTAAACATGTTTGCAGAAATTGAAAACACTTTTCTTTATTTCGCTTACGGCAGTAATCTACTAAAAAGAAGGATTCACATCAATAACCCCTCAGCAAAATTCTTAGGAATAGGACGTTTAGAGGTAAGTGCCGGTTATTATATAAAACTAATATTTTGCAAAATATTACTTATATGGAATAAATGTCTTATTGTTAAGTAAACTAAATTAAGTGTATATTTACCAGCTCTAATGCTCGAATGTTTTTTATGTTTCCCTTTTCCCCTGTTAAAATAAAGGTTAACAATGATTGTTGCGAATTTTCAGAATCATCTGCTTGATTTTATCAAATATTCTGATCACTGGAGAGGAACCTCAGCCACTATTGTGCCCAACTCAGGATCGCATGTATGGGGAGCAATATGGAGGTTACATAATAGCGATATGCCTGCATTAGACAAGTATACAAAGATTAAATATTTACTCATTTCCTACCTTTAATGTTTTTGTCTTTTTGTGTTGTTATTATATTTAATTACATTTTTAGGCAAGAAGGTGTTGAAACCAATTGGTATTTTGCTAAAACTGTGGACATTATGCTACCGGACGGTTCCCAGACCAAGTGTAGAACATATCAACAAACAATCAATCCTCCAATTAGGAAAGATGGTGAAGAACTACCTCTAGATCGCAGACCTTGTATAACATATTTAGACTGTATTATTAATGGAGCAATTGAATGCAAATTACCTGAATATTACATTGAAGAACTCAAAAAAATACCCCATAACGGACAAGAGGCATCACCTAACATGATTGCAAAACTAAACAAAAGTTCATAACTCTCAAAGTACTCTTTTTATTCAGTGCAATAAAGAGTTTCCAAACATGAAGCTGTGATGACTAATATGACTTTATTCAAATGTATAAATAAAAGGAATATGTGCATATGATTATTTTTATTATTTCTGTAAAAATTTGCTATGAAAAAGAGGAAGTGGAGAAGTAACACCCACATAATTTATCTCACTAGAAGTATCTAGTTACAAGGGCAACCACGTGTACCCTTACTTGCGTTCAATGAAGATCTACTGGAGTACAGTTGACAAAGCCCATTTTAGCTGTGGCTCTTATTTCTGTTTAGGATTTGAAGAACCTTGATAAATAATGTAACAACTTTTGTAAGAGATTGGCATGTCCTAAAATGGTAGGCATGGTTTGCCCTCCTTGACATTTCTTGACTACAAAGCTATTCATTACATTAATATACTTGTTGCCACAAAGAAGGTATAATAATGTGCGCCACTAGCGCCACCAACTGACATCCTTTTGACACAATAAACTTTCTAAGATTAGTGTACAGATTACAGTAAACTAGTCAAAGAGATTAGTGGCTAGGTACTCCTATAAAGTTGTACCTTAAAAATATATTACAATTTGCATACCTTCATGCAATTCGAAACAACAAAATTAAAACCATTCACAAATTCATAATTATCTAAATAAATTGACCTCGAATCAGTTTTGGCATGTGTTTGCCTTCTCAAAACAGTTTATATATAAGGTACTCAATTCATGACAGAAATACCAAAGAAACTTGTCGAACGAACATGAAATCCACAAACATAAAATCTGAACTATTTTAAAAGAATACAATTATTATACAGTGTACCACATTCTGTCTTTGTACCTAGTGTTTTATTTTTATAGCAAGTTAACAAGTTAATGAGAATAAATAATTAATCAAAATGATGAATTCTGAGATTCGCAAACCTGACACGTTTTTGTATTTTGCGTATGATGATAACATGGTAAACTTCCGTATTAAAATGTTCAATCCATCGGCAGAATTTGTCTCTATTGCTCGAGTTGATGTGAGTACCTACCTAATCGCTTAGTAGCTGTTCTTTTCGTATACTCAGCTTACTTGTTAGATAAACCAAATTCTACAGAATTACAGGTTGGATTTTATTAAGTATGTCAAGTTTTGGGGTGGCCCGGTTGCAACTCTCGTGCCCACAGCAAATGCTCACGTATGGGGCATCATCTGGAGACTTCATAACGACGATCTTGAATCTCTTAATAAGTAAGTATAATTTAATTTTATTGAGTAATAAACATAAGAACGCGCCAAAAAACGCTAAGGTGAACCTACCTTTGTAAATTAAGAAACCGAGGTTGGGTTACAAAGTTTAATTTTATTGTTTCAGGCAATATGGTATCGAGTCCGATACATATTTCGTAAAACACCTAGAGGTCCTTACTCCATATATGGGTACATTCAAGTGTCGTACTTACCTGCAAACAATTTATCCCTTGCCTAGAGGTAACAGAGATCCAATTCCCGCTGAGCGATGGCCGTCATGGGGATATAAGAAAATCCTAATATTTGGCGCTAGACAACATGGTCTGCCACAGTATTATTTAAGATTCTTGAGAAAGTTCATAGATAACGGTGATAAAGGATGCTTAAGATCTGATCGTTTACTAGTGCGCTATGGAAGTAATCAACCTTGCCTGTGTAGGGTACCTGGCCGCATACCACGAAAACCTTTAAAGCTAGATTTGAAAGCAATTAGAGAAGCGAAACTGCTTCCACAGCCAGATAAAGAAGGAAAGAAAGTCGAATCAGAAATTAAAATTTGAATGACCTGCTATCTGTTTTTTATAATATTTTATGGAAAGTGAAACTAAAACGATTCCGAACCTATTTACCTGTGTTTATCAGATATTATAATTGAACCTTAACAATCATATATTGTTTTCATCGTTTGTAAATACAGCCTTATTCCAATCTTATTAAATTTAAAAATACATATTAGTAGGTATAAAACACTGAAAAAGTGATCTTGTACTTTGTAAATAGCCTATATAAAATATAACTGAGTCTCATTATCGATTAATTTAATACCAAAGCCGAACCAAGATCTGCACAAATGAGTATAACAATAAAAATAACATAAAGCCAAAAAGATTGAGGGTACAAAGGTAAAACCAAATTTTACTATTTTTTATAACTTTTTTATTAATATAAATATTAAAATTATTAATAGGTACTCGGTTTTATTAAATTAATTATATAAAATTGTACACTATCTCAATCGTTTGGTGAAATTGTATCTAAATTGAGCATATAGCACAACGCTACCCCGACACTTACACAAAACATACACAATTCACACAAGGAAATAAATCATTTGGAAATTACTTTATCAGTCAATAATTTATGCATAATATAATCACTAAAAAATGAGGTAATGTAACTGCCTTGTAGTGATAATCACAATGAAACAAATACTGATAAAAACAAGAGCGTAAGTAACAAAGGTCGACAGTAGGCACAGGCCGCAGGGAACGCTGTGTGAGGCAACGTTGTGCGAGACCTCGCCGCGGCCGCGGTCACTCGGCAACGAACTCCGTCGCCAATACGCCGGTGCAGTACTACTGGTTTGGTGGGGCTTTCTTTATTTCACTGCACTGGAATATTCGCGATAGCAAAATGGAACTAAATTATAGTCCTAATATATTTAGGTTACACTTAACGATACCTACCTACGACATTCCTCATAATTGAGCAAAAGGCACTATGCAAATTTTACACATAAAACAATATTTGGAGTTTAACGAAGATTGTTTCAATTCTACTAAAATGGTTGAATCAGTGTTGCAACGTGCCTTGTGCCCCCGACAACACAAACGTGTACGATAACGTACTAGTCCCAGTCTGTCCTGGTCACATTCCCTTCCCTCTCAACCGACGTATTACTTACATTACTTTTTACCTGGTTTATTACTAATTCACAAATAAAGGTGGTCAACGACTTAAATAAAATACTATCGGTAAGCCATTCGTAACACATCGCCCATATACATAGCCAACCGAGCTGAATTCATTTCCGTGGCACAGTTTCTTGATTGTGTTAAAATGAAAACAATTGTATACTCGACATTCTAGCGTTACTTGTGAAACGAACAACGTAATACACGTACTAAAGAAATAGAGAGTAATGAATGCATGCGGTATGTGTCCACCTCACACAATCAACAAACCTGCATGCAATGAAGGCTGGATGTCTGAAGGCACTCGTTTAAACCCTTAAACCACATTATGATAACAGTTGTTATTTACTACAGCGGACCTCGGACCCCAGCCGCACCCAATGCTACCCAGCATTCTGCTGGGTTCTGACGTCCACCACTGTTGTACATTATTGGAGTTTACCTTTGGTTGATTGTATATTAATATAATTATATTTTATTACAGTTAATTACAATTATGTAGCTAACATTGTCCTAGTTATATTTAACTAGAAACTTGCTATCAATGTAGTTGTAAATACAAAATTAAATGTAAATCAAATGTAATTGTAAATTCATATTCAAACCATCATAAATTCACCCCACGACCTTATTTATTTCTAGGCATGTCATTAATTAAATTAACAAAGTCAATAATATCTACAAACTTGCTGCCAAAAATCACTGCACAATAAATGTGAACAAAAATAATAAAAAGGAACTACATAGTTATAATATACCTAGCTATTACGTTGTGTTACTACATATATATATATTGCAGTGGACTAAAGTACAAACCTGTAACTATACAAATGGAACAATATGAACACAATAAAACTTGGACTTAATGCATGTTCTCATTTTAACGTTTCATTACTTTACGACCTTACATACATAAATATTTTCGCATTTTATAATAAATATATTTCAGTAACTAATTAAGTTATTACCTACGATGAGATACTACAATGTTGTAACAATATATGAAGATGGTTCACTGATTGGCTCTGTATGCATTAGAAGCTAGCATAGGTGACCGGCATACATGACTACAAAAGTATAAATGTACTAATGTACTCCATAATGATCATCCATGTTTATCCTGGGCTCTCTATCCTGCTTTATGCCCTCGTAACGATGTCCTTATTATGCCACACCTTCTTACCCTACAGTAGATCATCACTTGTTAAAAGAATTACTTGAGAGTTGTGCACAGAAATTACTAGAACCAATATTAGATTAAAAAAGATACAATATAGCTAACAAACCCACATTTTTAAATTTAATGTCTGATTGAAAGTATAATTAGAAATTTGCTAGTATTTTACCAAAGGAAACAAAATAAACTATCTATAAAAAAGTCGAGTCAAGAAATATTAAAAAATGACAAATAACAGTTACCTAAATGTGAAAATATTTTTCTAATAGACATAATCATTATTTAAAAATTTGTGACTACATGAATTGAGGAAAAATGAGCAAGGAACTAGTTCAAAAGATAGACGATTTGTTTTTTTGAAATAAAAAATATTTTTATGTATTTTTGGCCTAAGGGATGTATTATTGCTTACGTTTTAGTAAGTCATCAATCTAATAACTTATAATTGACTTAAGTTTGATTAAAATGTTTAAGTTTGATATAGTATTAAAGTTTACTGAATCAGTACAAGCGATGACCCACTGTAAATATAGGCACACTGTCAGTTGCACTCATGCTTTGGTTACATAACATTTACTCGTATTTAAACAATAATAGTATGCAGTCTAGTATATAACTATTTAACAATAGTGGCAGGTATTGTCTATTGCATTTAAGTCGATGGGGAACACATTGTTATCGTTACTTGAACTGAGAATAACTGTAACATGATTACGACCTACATTTATATTCACGTACACAATAACATGTTGTTAAATAAATGTTGCGGTACATAGTCATTTAAATTCAACGTTGTCACTTAACTGGCACTAGTAAGTACTCGCTTGTGCAAAGCGCACGAGTTGTGAGGCTCGTGCAGTCTGCACGTTACACATATATCGATACGTATGGCCGGCAACACTAAGTAACACGTTTTTCGTCTTTTCTCGTTAACTTACGCATTATGACTAAACTGTGGGTGTTGCTTCACGTTCCTACTAAAACCAGTTACAACTAATTTGAAACGACCCTGTATAATTACTCTAATACAATTATATAATTATCTTTGCAAACATTGATAACACAGCTACAATAAGTAACAGCATAAAAGACTTGTAAATTTAGACGTTTACTTTCCAAATCTTTGGTGGTTAATTTTATTTTTATTCAATATTTCAAATTATACTTTATACAAGTAGAAAAATAGCTGATATCTAAAGCGGCAAATCCAACAGTTGAGTATTATAAGCAGATGCAACTTGTATTGATTAGGACAAGTGACAAATTCATTTCGCAAGTACGTTTCTAATAAAAGTACTTGGCACAACAACATAACAACTTCAACGAATTTGACACCTGTTACTTATTCACTTTGAAACAGTAGCAAGGTACCGAACTATACGTCAAGAAATTAATAATAATAAAAATAATTTGTACACGATCTCGCCTACATAAAACTATACACGCTTTACATCTTAAACGGTAAACTTAACATTAATAGGCTATGTCAAAAGTGACATCGATCTATAACTATATAATAACGTCGAGGTAAACTATATAGGATTCACGTCGAGACATATCGACTCACTTAATATCGTCTCAGCAAAAATATTACTTTCCTGATATGAAAACGAATCGTCACACGAAAACAAACGCAACGCCTCTCGCGCCGAGCTCTTGAAAAACAACAAAACTCGAGCGTCCGTCCGTCGGTCGCACGATAACGTAATAAATGCGGGGGAGCCCCGCCCCGCTCTTATAGTCCGGCGGGGCTCGCGGGGCCGGCTGGGCCGGCGAGACTAGCGGGGCCAGCAGGGCTAGCAGGGCGGCAAGAGCCGACGGGGCTAGCAAGGCGGCAAGGGCCCGCCGTTCCCCTTGGGGTCGGCGCGCAGCGGCTGCAGGGGCTCGGCGGCCGCGTCCTCGGAGGCGCGCGAGCGCAGCGACGACAGCTCGCGGACCCACGACGCCAGTCGCCCCGACACGCCGAACAGGTTCGACCCCGACCCCGTGGCCACGGCGCCCACGTTCACCTCGGCCAGCTCCGCCTCCTCCTCTGTGGAACACGTCACGTCACTACTCGGCCTCACCGACTGTCCTACGTGAGCGACACGGGGCACCCCGCCAACCGAGTGCGGGGAAATAGGAAAGCCAGTGAAACTCTAAAAATCATAACAAATCCAGTGACTACTAACATACATTGTCTTTTATACTGTCCCAAACTTTACACTACCATCTTAAGTACAAAAAATAATTTAATAAACCTTTAATTTTAAGACTTCAAGCAGTCAATGAGTCGAGCAGAATGCTTCCAATATATATCTTGTATCCATCCTATTACCCAGACCGACCTTATAATAAGTATTATAGAGTTACAGGTTTGAATCAATACTACTCCTTGTGTAAAGTGTAGGACACTTCTATCTTAATACCTATCTTTGTTCTAAGTATTCTAGACTACTAAAGCCGGGCATTAAAAGCTGTGGGGGGAATGTAAGTATCTAATTTCATGTTGATCTTTATCCAAATGTGCACGGTGACCCCGTGGCATATCTATTCAATTATAAATAGCTTCGTTATAGAAATCAGGACTGCAAATTAATCATACTGGACTACAATGGCTCATGGTCACTCAGGAAATGATAACAAAAGTGGCCGCACACATGTCACGATACGTCAAACATGCAAGCGTCGGTACCTACTTACGTCTCAACAGCGTGCCGGCCACTCGGCACAAGTCTCTACGGGGCGCAACGGGGGACAGAAAGCGGGCTCGTATTATACACAAATCGTTGGCCGTCGCACTAGCAACAAATGTTATCATTTGCTGATATAGACCAGGACGTGGAGGAGTGGGAGGCTTCCATAACAAAATTTCAAAATGTTTTTAAAGTCGCCGCACTAGACGTTCGAATTCTACAGATTTATTTTAGTCGGTGCAATTTATGGGTACTTTCTCAATCACTAATCCGTAAGTTCATCCTGGCATAATCGAGCAACGTCGACATTATAAGTGCAAGAGAAGAGAATAACGCTTCGGTACTGACCCATAGTGGTACGCTGCAAGGAGTACATCTCCTGGCCCTGCGGCGTGTGGAAGAAGCTCCGCTGGCGGAACTGGGCGTGCGCGGAGGGCGCGAGGTCGGCGACGAGCTGCAGGAAGGAGGGCCGCGCGGCCGCGCGATGCGCCCAGCAGGCGCGCATGAGCTCGTACAGGCGGTCCGGGCAGTGCTCCGGCCGCTCCATGACGCCGCCCTCCACCACGTACCGCACCACCTGCTCGTTCGACAGCCCCTGCACACACACACACACACACTCCGTCAGTCGCGCGTCCGCCGCGTCTTATGTCCGCGCTGGGCGCCCCGCACTCACCTGGTACGGCTGCATGGCTAGCGTCGCCATCTCCCACAAGACGACGCCGTAACTCCACACGTCACTACTACTCGAGAACACCTGTAAAAACGAGTTATTAATGATATCGTCGGAAACCGATTTCTTCAATGATAGAGAATAAAATGTCTATCGACTTACTCCATCTTTGAGGCTCTCTGGACTCATCCAGCGCACCGGCAATAGGCCTTTGGTGCCTTTCCTATAATAATCAGTCTCGTAGATGTCTCTGGTCATACCGAAGTCCCCGACCTTCACGGTGAGGTCTCCGGCGACCATACAGTTGCGCGCCGCGAGATCGCGGTGCACGAATTTTTTGGCCGATAGGTAGGCCATACCGTCGGCTATTTCTATAGCCATCTGTAAATTAAATAATAAAAATTATATTAAGAAATTACAGAATGATTGTAAATGTCTCATTGAGCATAGTTAAGTCGTAGCATACCTGCAAAATGTTCTCCAAGGTTGGAGGATCATTGCCGCCCTTGCGCGGGAGCGAGGCGTCTGCGTCGGGTCGGTGCGAGCGCAGATATGTCTTGAGGTCCCCGAACTCCATGAGCTCCATGATGACAAGCGTGGGCTGGCCGCGCGACACTACGCCCAGTAGCCTCACCACGTGGAACGTGTCAAACGCCTTCATCACTGAGGCCTCATTCAAGAATTCTTGACGTTCCCTATCTGTGGCGTGCTCATTAACGGTTTTAACGGCACAACGTGTCTCCACTTTTCCTTTTTCTATACCTTTGACAATACCTTCGTACACCTAAAGAAAAGTTCAGTGTTAAATCAGAGCATTCCCCCTATAATTGTATAATTTTCATAAAGACATAAATATAGCAATTACCATTCCGAAGGAGCCCTGGCCCAGTTCCCGTATGTACTCGACGGAGGCGCGCGGCACTTCCCACTCGTCGGGTACGTACATGGTGGACACGTACTCCGGGTTGACGCTGGCGAAGAGTTTGTTGGCCTCGGCGGAGGGGAGCAGGCCTCGCCGGGCATACCATACCCCGCCGCCCAGCAACAGACCCATCATCACGCAGCCGCCCACCACGCCCCAGATCCAGTCATAGGCATTCTCCGCCGTCCTCTCCTACATAATTACATACGCATAAGTAAGTAAGGTCGGATATTATCTTTCGAATGTGATACAATTTCAGTAAACATTATATTGGAATATTACCGGTATGAAGATGGGCGGATGTACCGCAGAGACGTTTCCTGCGCCGGCGACAGTGATGGGCGTGACCTCGATGGTATAGTTCCCGGGCGCCAGGCTGCGCAGGGTGTAGCTGTGGCCGTTCCTCTCGTACTCGTCCGCCGTCACACAACTCTGCAAGCCTGACGGGCTCTGGCAGTGGACAACAAATTATATATTTAATTTTAATTAAATCAAATCTAAGGTATTAAAATAATTGATAAGATTTTGAAAGACTTTAATTAAGAGGCTGAATAGGATCAAATGTGATTAATAGCATATACATACATCAGTTGTTTGTGTTTTAATTAGACCAGTTTTCCAAATTGTAATCGAGGCTATGTAACATAACATATCTGTAATCAATATTACTTACCGACGGCAAATTCTCGTCGACACGGGCATAATACACGGAGTACGCTACGACAAAACCGTTCGGATTTTTCGGCGGTTTCCACGTAACGTTCACTTCGCCCAACGTTTTGTTTGACACAACCACTTCTGCTTGCAAATTGTCCACTATATCCGCGTTCACTGCAAACATTAATTACATTACATTTAGTATATTAGTAGAGAAATTTGCTGTAGGATTGTCTGCCGAGCAAGTTCAGTTAAATTCTAGAATCAATAAAATATTACGATAAACTAAATGCGTTTAAAGTATGTCCTGCATTAATACAGGCTGGTTACCTCGTTCTGGAGTGCGGAAGGTATTGTAGGATCGGTTGGAGCACCACGTGTCGTTGTAGTCGGCCACGGACTCGTTCTCGTGGCGCGACCGACACGCCCAGATACTGACGGTGTACCACGTGAAGTGACGCATGTTCGTCACCTTTAGCGTTTGCACGTTGCCGCCCAGCTCGAAGTACAACGACTTCACGTAGCCTATAAACAAACATTGTCGTTCAATATCTAACTTCACAAGTTGGGCTTACGTGCAAAGTTCCTCTCTACCTGTTTTATACTCCAAAGTTAACTGTTCTGTCGTTCCTTTGAATTTCGGGCTTAAACAGGGGTCATAAGTCTTGGTCAAGCAATATTTTTGGGTAGCAATTCACAGATTAGGATTGCGATATGAAGAAGGTACTTATTGGTTTTTGTTCAAAACGAATAATCCAAGCTCGGTGGTGTTGCGGTTTCCTTGATTCACAGATAAACCATTAAATATGTTTTGTTCAATTATTGTAATAAAAACCCCTAAGGTCATATTCCAACTTTCATGTAAACTATATTTCAGTCTTCTTTTTGCTTCGCTTAAACTTGTGACTGTTGGGTTTAGGCACAAATTGTAACTAACTATGCACCATATACTTACATCAACTTGTTATTACTTATATAATTTCTTGTAAATAAATTAACTACAACTAAAATTACTGCATGCAATACAAAGTCGAGTCGGTCTGGTGCGACAATAACTACGAAACATCATGCAATGAAAGAGTATCCAGATTAAATCCTTATACTCGGTTGACGATTAACCTTAGAAATGAAGATCAGAAAATGTATGATAATGAGGTGATGTCGGCAACATGCAGCAACCAAATACCCGTGTAATGTAAAACAAATATGTCTATGTTTGTAACCTGTGGAGTCCTTTACGACGCAAGCATTAGGCTCGATGCGACTGCAGTTGGCTGAAATGAGAATGTTAGATGGTCGTGATGAGGTTGTGAGCGGTGAGAAGCGAGGCCATGAAGGACGATCAGAGAAAGCAAGTCTTACGGCGTAAATGAAATGTTAACAGGACAGTGAATAGATGATACGTTGTTAATCCAATTCCTAAAAGTTCGCAACTTACCTTCCTCATCCGTACTGTTCGTGTAATTCAGGCCAACCTGAGGCTCAAAGTTTTTGGTCAGTTTCACAAGCATACTGTTCAGAGTATGGTCGACGGATCGCTTCACTCTCTTCGCTTTCGGCCTGTTATCAGACCTTACGTAGACCTGCATGAAATAAATAGCATGTGTTAATTACATTTTAGTTAGGCCATCGACATAACACACGATTGAATGTGTATACTGTACAGTATTTTGCAGCTGATTCTCGAAGGCGATAGTCTCCCTGCGATCTTCCTCTACGCGGGAATTGAACCGGGTGCCGGGTTTGTCCTCTTCCTTGCAAGCGCATGAGCCATTCGTGACGTCACCAGTAGTCTTTTTCTCCTGCGTTTCCGCAGGTTCCTCCGATTGAGCTGTGATCATGTTTGTAAGCAGACTCGCTAAAACAAAAACATCATTTGTTATGTTATTACACCCAGAGATTAAATAAAAAAATGTGTAACTTAACTTTATTGCCGAAAAATATAGACGTAAGTCTCAAAATATCATTGCCTATTATAAATGTATAAGTTTCAAATAGAACAAAATGTTGCAATGTAGATATAATATGATATAGAAAAACTTACGATTGGAACAATAATTAGTGTTTCCAGCCAATATCTTGGGTTTGTTGTAGCTGTTAGCTTGGACCTCGACGTGGTAGAGAATGATGGTACCGTTGGGCATGGTCGGCGGGGACCAGCTGATGGACACAGAGTGAGGGGAGACCATCTCCACTGACAGCGCTACTGGTGGACTAGGCCCTGTGAACGACAAACTTTATAAAAGATTCAGGTACATAAATTATTGTGTAAGTGATGAAAGCAAACAAATCGACGAGGATATATTTTTATTTATATCTTTTCCACACAATCTTTAACAGTCAACCATAGGTTAGTGCAAAAAAATCACGTGGTTGGTGCGAAACATGGACTCAGTGTCCCAGAACTAATATAAGAGGGGAAAAAATAGAAGTAACAAACACAATTCTTTATCACTAAGTTAAGAGGAAAACAATCGCACTTACTTGCTGGTAAAGTCACGAAATATATGATAGAACTCTGTGCGCCCTTCTTTTCTTGCGTCGTAGTGTATGTCTTAACATATGCTGCGTAACGTGTGAACGGAGTCAGGTGTGAGACCGGACAGAACAAGGGCTGTCTATTGTGACACGGATTCAAAAGATTGTCGTTCTGATTTTGATTGCCAGCAGGTACATCCCTGGTGTAATTACGCGCTTCATCTGCTGTTATATCGAGAACATTCCATCTGAAACGCAGAATTATATTGATGTAAAGAATATTGACTAACTTCGTGATGATTGATCGGCTGAACGGAGATAGACCAGGAATATCTTTTGTGCTGTTCTTTTGTAGATGTTACAAGTTTAGTAAGAGAGTATTATGTACATATGGCCATCTTTACTGCCTTTCTGTGATTACAAGGAGTGATGTTATTTAAAATGAATATGTATAAAAACAGATTTACAATTAAAACACTAACCGATCTGAGCAGACATCCCTCTGTTCATAGAGGGTAACGTTCAAATCTGTCGCGATGTAGTAGATGGAGTAGCCGAGCAGCTTGCGCATGTCTTCAGGACAATACATGTTCCACGTCAGCACCACTGCCTTGTCATACAACTGGCTCGCTCTCACGTGCAGCTTGTCCGGCAAACCTAATTATATAAAATAGTTTTTATAACATTATAATATAAATTATAGTGCCTACATAACTGATTAAAAATTGTACTTAATACTACAGAAATTGTACTTTTCTCGACTTAAAAAGGCGAGGGTAACCATTGACAGTATGCATAGTTATTTCGTATGCAAGTAAGAAAAAAGAAATAAATAATCAGTAAAGAAACAGTCAGTAGCAGTTTGAATGGACGGTGATTTGATTTTTGGAATTGACGCATGAAACAACTCTAATCTAAACTTTAATCCACAAATTGTAGTTTAGGGACTGTCATTGTAAGTGTCATGTATCTAAAATTTTATGTTTTTACACCCACAACACAAGAAAAAGTACTTTACTAGTGTAGTCTACTATTAGTGAAAATCCACATCTAAAAGATGTAACTGTTGTTCGTTTCAGTAGCCAATTAAGTGTTTGACTATCTCATTAATGAACCAATCTTTATATTGGAATCTGCATTCCAAGTTACTGTGTATGTCAAGAGCTCTGTAGCATTATATAAGGATAATACTAGAGATGTTTTTTGATCAAGGAATGTAGTTGAAACTATTGTTAGATTGTTCTAAAGACATGCATTGTTATCATTATACTCAGATATAGTATCTAGATTCCACAGAAGCAAGAACTTGAATGAATAATTGTAGGTTTTATACAATAAATAAAAGACTAGAACTAAGAAAACTATAAGTAGTGTTTAAATAATTGTTCAAAGGAATCACTCGACAATGCTTATCTTCAGAAACAATATGATCTTAATACATTTAACAACCATTCAAATAATACTTTAATCAAAATGTCGAAAACGATCAATTTTCTATGAGGTACAAAAATGTGACGTCTTCATATTTCTGAGCGAATAACATACCTACGTGTTACTTGAAAAATCTAGCTAAACATATCTTCAATGAAAGTATGGTATTTTTTTAATTATGTCATAGTATTGAAAACTCAAAATTATTTATGACCAAGTTAAATACCCAATAATTATGTGACGTATTATGATTCGTATAACAACTTAGTATATAAGCGTATGTACTCACAAGAAGCCTGGTTTCCGTTATTATCCTCCGACACCTCAATCTCAGTGAAATTAGAGCGAGGATCCCTGGTCATGTTCTTAAGCGGCAGTATATTGATGTAACACAGCTTCGGGTTCAGATGTATGAAGAGGCTGCCTCCCACGATGTCGATAGGGCCATGAGTTGGCCAGTCCCACAGCAACTCAAGGTTCGGATTATTGAATATATGTATAACTTGACCACTGAAATGTTATCAGTCAATGTAAATAAAATAGTAATAAATAAATAATATCGTATTTCACAAAACGGTAACTCTGTATCTAACGCTCGTTAAATTATGTGATTTATACGTTTATAAGATTTATGTTGTTTTTATCTATTAGTAGTGTACGCCATCATAAAATTTGTTCTATAAATATTCCAAAGGAATTATGAAATTCTACAATAATGTGATACGTAGATACGTAAACACGCGGTCGCATCGCCACCGCTCCCGACCTGCCAGCTATTACTTTACACATACAAAATTTTCCTAACGCGATGACCTCGAATGTATTCATACTTTGTTTTTAATTGACTTGGAAATGAATCGGAGAAGTAAAGTTTAAGGGGCCATACGCATAATGATTGCGACTCATAGGTGATCATGATGATGTTTTGCAAAACGTAATAATTCAAAAAACTAATAAAACTGGATTTAGATCTAATAGAAGGTGGTTCTTAAATTATTGGTTCTATTTATTATTTATTTGCATTTGCATTACTTTCAGTCGTGCGGTTTTAGCTCTCGCTCTATTTGGTTGTAGCGTGATGATTATTACCCTATATCCGTCCTCGATAAATTGTTTATCCGACACAAAAATAATTATTCAGAAGAGATGTACGTTTAAAAAAACAAACCCTTTAACTTTATGTTTTAGTACAGATTACGTTCATTATTACAATTATTAATGAATGGAAATTACTTAGGAATTTTTTACACAAATCTCTTTTATGTTTAATTCTTACCGATTTTTAGCACCTTGTTCCCACGCCCCCGTAATCTTCTTTAGCTTCTTGAGGAACATCAACGAGACAAGTGGAAACGCGCGCACCACTTGTAACATGCCAGTTATTTCTCGTATGTCGCCCAATGAGTTTTCTAATACTGCCAAAGTATTACCTGTAAAACAAATCAGGTGTGATGTTAATTGCTGTATTATTTGACTGTACGATTTTTGATGTATGTAGAATGATTTCTTTTCCATCAAAACTTGGGTTGGGTTTACACTGTCATGCACAAAAGCAAAACCAATCCAAAACTAAAATTCATTTTTATACTTTAATTAGGTATTTAACTTCTGATTCTACATGTGCAAGCCAGGAAGCAAATTGGTTTGGTAGCCCCTTCCGACATAAGATAACACAAAACTTCAATGCTTGAGTCGTTATTACCTCCTACAATGGACTAGCTTGGCAGAATTGGAAGAGTAAAATCACTAAGCATTGAAGATGTTGTCTATGTACAAAGGTTTGGTTGGGAAATAAATAAAAAGTAATGGGTTTATATGAACCTCACCACCAGAGGCGCGGATATTGATCTCAAGTTTCCCCTTAATGTGTGTGCAGCCTTGGAACTGTTCTGCTGCAGCCACGGAGTCTATCTTTCCCCCAGCACACTCCTTTACACAGCCGGACGCCGGACATTGTTGACATGTTAAGTTGTTAGCGTCGCCCACCTAAAATTCATATAAATCGTTAATATTATAATTAAAGTATTATGAATGACGGTCTGCGGTCGGCCAGCAAGGGTAGCTCCCCGTCCTGAAGCAGACCCGAGCGTGCGGTGAGTAGAATTGCGCGCGCGCCTCAAAGAGCCAATACCCACACAAGGATCGGAGTTTTAGTCAGTAAAAGTCTGACACTCCCTCTCGCCTTACTTTAGGCGAGGGAAGTCATTTGATGATTTTACCTCCAAAAACAGCGTTGTGAAAGAAAGAAACAAATAACAATGAAGGTCACAAGCATGAATGTATAAATTCAACCCCAAATAGACAAGGATAATTACTGAATTTCGTTTGGTTTATACCCTGTATTTGCATTATAATTTATCTTTTAGTAGAATTGAATACGTACCTCCATGTACCCGCTGCGGCAGGTAAATACGCAGCTGTTGTTGAAGATCTTGTACTTGCGTATCTTGGGCGACGCGCCGTGGTGGTCGGCCTCCACGTTGGTGGGCGGCTTAGTGGCGCGGCACGCTGTCTCCGTCACACAGCGGTGGAACAACTGGATACAACGTTAGATGGTTCAGTCCAATAAATGGTTGAGTGTTGACAAAGTCCCAGTACTAGACTACGAACTAAAAAAACATTGCTTCCATTTTGCCGTGTCATCAAATACTTTTATGTATACATTTCGTTCCCACTTATTTTTTACTAGCAGCTCGCCCCTGCTTCGCACTGGTCTCATCATCTCGCTTCCAATGAAAGAAAATTTTAGAAAAGTAGAGGGGAGAGTAATAGGGGATTACTCTCCCCTCTACTTTTCTAAAATTTTCTTTCATAAGAACCTTCTAAAAGAATCAGTAGAATGGGTCCAGGCGTTATTGAGTTATGCGCTTACCAACATATTTTGCGATTAATTTTTATAAATATAGATGTTCCCATGATTTCACTGTTTTTATATCACCTGTTCGTATCCAGTATTAACATTTAATATCATCGAGCTACGTCCTTTCCCAACCCGTGCAAATCCTATTTAGACATGCTAGCAAATTGACTGTGGCTTGTGTTATATCTTCGGCAATCCCCACATTCATACAAACCAAACATATTATTTAACTATACTTTGTGAAACTAAGAAAAAGTGATTAAATCACCTCATAAAGGTGGGAGGGGCATTTTTCGACGCATTTTCTTTCAGGACCTTCGCCTATGGAGAAATTCCGGCACGCGTGGCAATCCCAGGAGGTGGGTCCGGTGCAGCCGCCCAGGCAGGACGGATGGCAACATGTGCCATTACTTAGACAGCCACTGTCGCCGCATTTCTTCGGACAAACTGTATAAACATACATGTAAGTATTAAAAAATATTGAACACCAGAAACAGCAGTTATAATAAAAAACAATTTATGGGTAAGTACTACTCTTACGTCTCCACTATACGAGATAATTAGGGTATGTGATGGTATACCTGAGTTTTGTCAAGTTTACAAACGTTTAGAGTAGATGGAATACATATGATTATGAGAACTAGCCGTAGTATATTGAAAAACATCGGTGATAATCCAGGCGAGCATTACAATCAGCCGTATGTGTCATATCGTTGCATCATCTACGTTACTATAATGACCCATGCTCCCCACGTCTTCAAAGTCCATTGCTCCCTTTGTTTACAATACGTCCATCACTTGCTTAATAATACTCGTAATCTATTAGTTTACATTGAAAGTGCGCTTATAATAATAACTTCTGTACATTCTGCAAATACTGTGACTTACTCACCCTTCTGGCAATGTTTATCATCCCAACATAGCAGACGGCCAGATGCATCAGTCGGGCACTGCGCATGTGACTGTCTATGGTCCCCGTCCACTCGACTCTGTGCATATGGGCACAGCCCACACAGTCGCGTGTCGTAGTTTAACTACAAATGAACAATACATTAGATCAATATTAATGTTAATTGGGAGATGACGAGGTCATCCACATTATTTTAAGAGTTACTCATTTCAACACTATGTGCACGATCCATTTAATATCACAACACTGGAAATGATATCATCTTCTCGAAACATTCCAAATGGATTTTCAAATTCCTAACGTTGTTTGGAAATTATATGAATTCCAGAGTATTTATGTCGATGGCGAATAATGAGACTGAACGTTTAAAGCATAATATGTATAATTAGTGTTGTAGGTTTGAGATAAATAGACCCTTGAACTACAAGTGTAGGTCAACAGGAGTTGGTCTTGGCGTAACTAATAACAAGTAAATCCCACGGCCCACGGACAAGGACACGTTTGATAACGAACAAAAATAACAAGAGGGCACTTACTCCTGCTAGTGGACATGTTTGGGCCGTGCCATTTATCGTATAGTCGAGTATAGGTGGAAGACGGGACAATAATAATTATCTGTTTTCAAAATTGTATTTAGACTTTGAAATGATGCTGCGAGATGGTATAATTGTAAATTTTAAAGTTTATTAGCAAAACTTAAAAGGAAGGATCATTAGTTAATTTTCTTTTGCTTCTTAATCAAAATGTTATGTCGACTGAAGAGCAGATTATTAATAAATACATATAATAATGAACTCACCCTAATAATGTTGACAGCATGTTCCGATGTGATCAGGGACCAGTCAATAGTGTTAGCATAACAAAGCCTGTCGTTTTGTTGTATCCGTACCCCGCCTCTTTCAATCTTCACCAAAGAACGAAGCCCCACAGACTGTGGATAGAATTACATACGTTTATTATTTAACTAGCTTTTACCTACGTCTTTCGGTAATATATATGTGTACCTACGTCTATTCACAGGGTTTACATTATTAAAATCTACGAAATTTTAAGTCAGTCTAACTAGCTTATAGCAAAATGGCTAAAACTCAGTTTTTTGCCGGAGAGCGAAGATCCTTTCGACAAGGCCAGGTCTACCTTTGCGTTTATCCTTGAAGTTACGTTTTACTATGACATAATATATAATATGTATTTTATTAATTCACAATAATTATTGGATGATAAATTTGAAAGCGAATCATAAGCGCAAACACGTTCCTGTAGACTTCGGAAAATAAGTCAACTGCTTATTTTCCAAAGCTTATCAGTGGTAGCTCTGATGCTAACTGAATAGAGGTACATGGATTGTGGTACATGGAAACAATAGTTTTATATACCTCCAGTTATTAATGTGAATATCAGTGTATTTTCTTTTCTAACACAATACAATTAATGTTAAAAACATTAATTGTATTTAAACATTGGACCACCTCAAGGATATTTTCCTGCCAACCGATTATTCCATGCTAGTTAAAATCCATACATACATATGCCTAATCAGTACATGTACAGCGGGCATCCGTAGGAAGTGGTTACCGCTTATGTAATATACCATCAGATTGAAAAGCATTCTTATCTATTCAAACATAAAATATTGGAACTTACTTCCAGATGCTCATTATCGAAAATAACGAGAGCGAAATCCTTGAAGAGTTGCATTCCACGTATCACCGTGAGGTTGGGAAAAAGGTCGCCAAGATTTTGCACACCTTTCGTCCTGCAATGCATAAAACCTGTTAATTGTGAGACCCAATTAGCTATAATTGTATTCATTTACATGTAACCGGGGGAATTCAACGAAATAAATTATTGGTAAAATACTTCCTGTAAAAGTGTTTATGCGGGTTTTTGTATAATGTGTTTAATTGATTAATTAATATCACCTATACATCACTATATAATCGGTGACCTCTCTCAGTTCTGGAAAGCTCATGTTCTCGAAGATCTTGGGTGTGGCGCGTTCCATTAACACCATACTCAGCGTGCCTTCGATAACCCGGCAGCCCTTCAGCTGCGCGAAGCTCTCCGGCTTGTTCCTTATATCCATCGACGAGCATACTAGAACAATGAAAAACAATAAGTCAATAATATTACATTGTGGTGTTTGTTGCAACATGATTTAATTACTTGTTCATACATCAAGTATATTAATTGTCTTTATGCCGTTTTAATATGTTAACCTATTTAAATATCCACCAACAGTTTATATCCAACTTTGTATTAAAAACGCGATTGATATTTCTAACTTCTAGTAATATAACTATAGGTTAGGTAGGTACCTACTATTAAATGCGCTTAATAGGCGTCCATCAGTCAAGTTATACTAAACAACAAATTAGTTATTGCTCTTTTCCGTAAACAATTCAATTATTGGCACAAATAACCCCCCACAGGCTAACTTGTCTCATAATTAACGCACACTAGGAAATTTGTTATTTACCTAGATGCTACAATAGTGTTTGTGGACTGTGGAGTATCATCATCACTATATTCACTATTCACTATACAGTATAAACCAAAGTTGCTTTAACTGGGATTTTATCCCTATGTGTGCTTAAATCTTTAAAACTACGCAATGGATTTTGATGCGGTTTTTTAAATAGATATAGTGATTGAATAGGGTGGTTCTATTGTATAATGATAGCCATCAAATGGTGGACAAATTAAATATTAGCATAGCACCAATGCTTAGCCATGGCGGGTCGCTAATAAGGGGATGTATCTGTGTACCGTTATTCCCTTTTTTTGACTTTGTGTGTTTTTAAACTCCTACCCACGTACAATATTTGAATGGTTCTTTATTCACGAAAATATGTTTTTTTTTATAAATTAACTACAGTATGCTACTTTTCCCGCCAAAAAAACCTTGCTCAATCGCGTCGTAAGATATTCCATCTCCTATTTGTTTACTTTTTAAATGAAGTCCCCCTGTAAAAGTTATGGATGTCTTATTTTATATCCTATAATCAATCTAGCATTCATCTTCCATTCTACTAAACACTACACATGTCATAAAGTTTATTTTGTTTATTAAAAAAACATCAGCGTATAATAAAATTTAAAACTATAGTTGTTCTGTGCTACTACTTAAGTTTGAGCGATTGTAAAACAGGCTTCTAAAGTTGATAGCATAAGTTTACCAATAATACATAGAAATAGTTATTTTTCAGCATGGTATCAATTGCTAACCTTCGGTACTTAATTTACTGCTTGTTTGTTAATGATGTTGTGAGCCTACGACAAAAGAATTGACAGAATTGTAATAATATTACACAAGGCCAATATATTGCGCAGTTTGTAACACTTGATTCGGCTAGGGCTCAGGGCGAGGAAGTTAAGGTCAAAGGCTGACTGCGCATGTGCACAAAATGCGCGGGAGGGAAACCAAGATGGCAGCATAAACAATAGGTACGACGCAAGCCATGAGGTCTGTGGCACGCAATAAGAGTGAGCCACGTTTTCTCACTAAAATGAGGCTCCATATCCTATTTTACTGTCATACTAAGACTACCTCAAATGCTGTGGTAAAGTTAAACATCATTTTTGTATAAAAAAAAACGACTAACTATGCAAAAGCGGAACCACTATTATCGATGGACTAAAATTTGGACCGCAATGGTCAATCAATAACCATTTTATAATAACTGGCATTGGTGCCACGAATCGTAAACTTGTTTGGACTTATAGGCTGAAATGGCGCAATGGCGCGGGAAGGAGGAGGGAATGGCCTGGTGAGTGTCGTGTCGTGGTGTGCGTGATGCAGTGGGGTGGCGGGTGGAACAATACCACGTACCTATCTAACCTGAAAACACGTCAGTCGACAGCGAGCGACACGACACAATGCAAATGAACTCGACGCATGTTGCTGTCTCACGTTCCGCAAACCTCGGTCACTCAGCTCACTGAGTATTTATAGAGCACGGAATGTTATTGTAAAACTTTGAAGAATAGTGCTGAACCTCTTAGCTATGTCGATAGTTCAACATCTATACTAAGTTAAGAAAGAGGTTTTGTAATAAAATTGTACTTTAATAGTTATCATTACTGGTCCCCGTTACACATTATGCTTTGGCCTAATGAGGTGGCAATCGATGCTCTTTTGACATAAGTTACTTGGGTGGCATATACGTCTCCAACATCTGAGTAGGAGATGAGGCTCGTATGTTGCGGAAATTGTAAAAACCTTACAACGTAGGTATAATATGTATTAGGTATTATCAATTACTAAAAATCAGTGGAGTTACAAGTGCGTTGTCGGCCTTTTAAGTAGTTGTTACCAGAATTCAAATCCCCTAGATTGGGCCTTAGCTGAAAAGATAACTAAAATCATGTTTTGCCTGATAACCTTTATCAGATTGGTAAGCGATGGAAACATTGACAATAAGAAACTCATAATAGCTAAGTCAAATACATACTTATAAAATTTCGAGAAAATGTATTTTAGTAAAACGTAAAATACCGACAACACTATTACAATAGTTGCACTGGATGTGCGCGGTAATAATGAAGCTTCCCCCCTCCCCCACAGCACGCCGCGCGATTACTACGTCTCTACTACAGCCTCCTCTCCTCCCGCTCGCACCCTTGGCCGTCATATTGTGGCGCCGCGCGCCGTCGCCGTGCGTTTTATACATCCAACGAACAGGTTTAACACATCTCATTTACTCATAATATCTGGGGCATTAAACCTCAAAACAAGGGAAAAAGGTCCGTACTAAAAAAGTGGAACGCAAGAAATTACGTTAAATTTACATTACAACACATTTCAAGCAAAGGTAGCTTTTACGTTTTACGATATTTTGTAAAATTGCAGTCATTGAGCTCAGCTTCGAATTGTGGATAAACAAGTCGGTTCACGTGTTGGATTTCAACGTATTGTCAAGGCCTGGGTAGTACGACGCGTGTAATGTAATGCAATGATGCATATCACGTCGGTGCATTCTTTGCTTGCAATAGTAGGTACATTGCGTAGATACGCGTAATCCACTTACACGTGGATTGTACTCGACCAATTCAATGAATGAATGCGGTACTTACATAATCAGTTATATGGTTCCAATGTTGGGCTCTCTCCCGTCAACTCGGTGAGAGTGAATTGATTTAACCAGTAAATGGGCCACGCGGTTAGTCTCAAGTTAGCGCTTGTTGATGGGCCCATCAATGGTTTATTTTTATTTTGACAGATTTATGCATTTTATTTATTATGACGAAGTATGACAACCAGTTGACTGAGACGTGTTACAATCTCATGATGTCATGACAGGGGATGAAAATAAGACTGATGAACGACAGGACATGAGATGAAAAAAAATAACTATGTGATGTAGGTAGTTATAGTTACTATAGCTAAAATAATTGCAGCCCGGGTTGCGGAGCAAGCGCATTTAAGACAACGCGGCCTCGGTCTGGGTCAGGAATGGGGGTTTTTAGACAGTAAGAGTCTGGCAATCCTTCTGCCCCACCCTGGGAGAGAGAAGTCCTTTGATGGAAGTCACGAGAATCAACTGAAACTCGTCAGAGTAAACCGGAACGTGTAATACTAAAACAGTTCGATGATAAAATAGTTACAGTCCATCTAAAGTGACAGAAAGGTCCTTCCTACCTCGGTAAATTAGTTCAGAATAAAGGTCCAACCAAACCTACAATAGTTGATAAATAGGAAGCGAGATCTTTTTACAGATAATTTTAAGATTGCAGATAATGCAGATACTACTATAATTATTGTGGTCACGTGAAGTTCAGTTTGCAGCGACCTTCCTAACGACCTTGTGCAGCGGCACTTATTTCATTGAAGGTCATCGTTTCTTTTCCCATCTCTGAAGATAATTCATATACGTTGTGTTTTTCTATAAAGTCTCTTATAATGATTAACGATAAAATAAAAATATATACACACACCGTGGTGTTTCATGAATGTTTCATAGACTCGTGACATACAGCGATAGTAGATTAGGTCAATGATTATAACCTTTTCATATCAATAATAAAATTTAGTTTCACGTCCCCTTTAAGAAATCAGTACCAGTAATTATACTTAAATCTGCTGATTTTGTTAGTTTCCGAAAGGCTAACAGGGAAAATTGTACTAAATGTAGTAATCTACCGAGCGGTGAACGGCCGTCGGTGCCGCCAACGCGCCACCCGCAAGCGCAGCCGCAACATCAGCGCGGGCGCAGCTCTATTTCCGACCATCGTAGTCGCAAGTATCGGCGCACATGACTCACTGCACTTTCACTGCAAATAGTACCGTTCGTCTACTATCTACAATATAACTAATAGATAAGTTCACACGTGTCAAACTACGATTATTATTATAACGAAATTTAAATACACTTTCAAGGAAATGTTCCAAACCATTGAACATATAACCAACTAATTAATTTAGAAGTAGTTAATCGAGCTGCTGCGTGCTTTGATGTACAGCGAGGACTTGTGATACGTAATCATTCTCCATTCATTAATTGTACTTAAAAATTTGACATCACAAAACTATATGGATATTAAGTAAAATGACTACTTGTATTTGAATGACACGATAAAAACAATTGTATCATTTAGTGGCTCTTAAGTGTATGTTATTGCAAACAGAAAATATGGACGTCCGTGTGTCGGTCGTGGGCCGCAGCGACGCGTAGCAGCTCTACTTTGATTTATGTTTCCGGTCTTTGAATGAAGATATCAACGTTCAATCCGCAGACCGCGACCGCGCGGGGCTCATCAGCCTTATTGAATGACTCTATGGATAGTACACGCTCATTCAAATTCGCTGCACATCATTGCGTTGGTAGAAATTGTAAACGATTGCCTGTTCTCCTATAAAGTATATACTTTTACTTCGGCACTATATTGTTTGCTGCAGTCCATTTAAGAACACGTTTTGTAAACTTAACGTGTATTTTGAAAGGACTTTGTTCATTCGATTGAGTTTTAAAATCCTCGTTTGAACTTAAACGTAAAATGTTCTCCAGATCTTAAATTAAATATCACTAAATCTTTCTTGAACTTGTAGCAACTGCTAGTTTTTAGTGATCTGCAAATTCTTAAAGTTAGCTAGCTTG